AAAATCTGACAATATTATGATAAGGAAACTTCTTTTACGATTTCATGATATACTTAAAACAAAATCTGTTATATTATATTGGATTCCAAGTCATGTAGGTATACGAGGTAATGAAAAAGTAGATGCTTTAGCTAAACAATCATTAAATTAAAAAAAAAACTGACATATTGTTTTTTAGACCGGCTATAAATAAACTCGTATCATCTAAATGGAAAGCAAATTGGGACAATGACGTTTTTAATAAACTTCACGGTATAAACCCATCTCTTGATGTGTCACCATCTCTATCTCTGTCAAACCGCCATGATCAAACAGTTCTTCTTCGATGCCGAATTGGACACACTAAAATTACCCACTCTTATCTCTTCACGAATGACAAAGCCCCTTTCTGTGTAGCTTGTAATGAAACTTTTACTGTAAAGCATTTTCTTCTTGAATGTCATGATTTTTCACAGGCCCGTAATAGATTTTATTGTGTAAATTCACTCAAAGAACTCTTTAATACAATTCCATCAAAAAACATCATTGATTATTTGAAAGAGATAAACAGATTATTTGAAAGAGATAAACATGTATTCTAGGATCTAATTGGCTCATTTTCATTGTCATTTACAAAGTTTAACATAACATTTTAAGCCTATTAATTATGGCATTCGGCACGATATGGCCAGTTATGTGTTGGCGTGCCGTAAAAATCCAAACAAACAAACACTCCAACTCTTCGGAAAACAAGGTAACCTTTCTTAGGTTATGTATTATCAGATGGTTCTTATATTTATAAATTGTACACATATATTACCAGCACCAACACATTATAGATAGAACCCAGTATATCAGTTATTGTCCCCCGCCTTTTCGAAGATAAAAGGGGGATATAGAAATAGGCTCTGTCCGTCTTTCCATCCGTCCGTCCGTCCGTCCGTCTGTCCGTCCGTCACACTTTTGTGCCCGGTCCATAACTTTGTCATTTATTGAAGGAATCTGAAATAACTTTGCACAAATGTTTGTTATAATAAGACGATGTGTCCTGCGCAACAACCAGACCCCTACCTCCAGGGTCAAGGGCGCACTTGCTCATTCAAGGTCAACATTGTCTATTTGAGGGTATATGTCGTGTCCGGTCCATAACTTTTTTATATTTAAAGGGATTTTGTAAATACTTGCCATAATTGTTCACAATAATGTGAAGATGTGTCATACGAAAAAACCGATCACCTTCCTCAAAGGTCAAGGTCACACTTGAAGGTCAAAGATTAACATAGTCTGTTACAGGGTATATTTCGTGTCCGGTCCATAACTTTGTCATTTTTCAAAGGAATTTGAAATAACTTGGCACAAATGTTTGTTATAATAAGGCAATGTGTCATGCGCAAAAACCAGACCCCTACCTCCAGGGTCAAGGTCGCACTTGCTCATTTAAGGTCAACATTGTCTATTTCAGGGTATATCTCGTGTCCGGTCTATAACTTTCTTATCTTTAAAGGGATTTTGTAAATACTTGCCACAATTGTTCACAACAATAAGATGATGTGTCATGCGCAACAATCGGTCACCAACCTCCAAGATCAAGGTCACACTTGGAGGCCAAAGATTAACATAGTCTGTTATAGGGTATATTTTGTGTCCGTTCCATAACTTTTCCATATATCAAAGGGTTTTGAAAATACTTGGCACAAATAGTCACTATAATAAGACGATGTGTCATGCGCAACACCTGCATCCCTACCTCCAAGGTCAAGGTCACATTTTGAGGTCAAAAATTAACATAGTCTTTTAAAGGGTATATTTTGTGTCCCGTCCATAACTTCTTCATAGATCAAGGGATTTTGAAAATACTTGGCACAAATAGTCACAATAATAAGATAATATGTCATGTGTTACACCATTGTCCCTACCTCCAAGGTCAAGGTCACATGTAGAGGTCAAAGATATACATAGTCTGCTATAGGGTATATTTTGTGTCCAGTCCATAACTTTTTCATAGATCAAGGGATTTTAAAAATACTTTGCACAAATAATCACAATAATAAGACGATATGTCAGGTGCAAAACATGGGTCCCTACCTCCAAGGTCTCATTAAGAGGTCAAAGATTAACATCTGTTAGAGGGTATATTTTGTGTCCCATCTATAACTTCTTCATTGTTCAAGGGATTTTGAAAATAATTGGTACAAATAGTTACAATAATAAGACGATATGTCATGCACAACACCTGCACCCCTATCTCCAAGGTCAAGGTCACACTTAGAGGTCAAAGCTTAACATGATAGATTTTTAAATTCAGTGTTTCATTTTATTTTTTAATTTTATTGTTGCATTTGCAGATCTAGCATTGATCATAATTTTTGACTGAAAGTCCTGAAATCCATACCTCAATCTTTTGAAATAGCACAATTTTGTGCTTCATATAAAACTTCCCCGAGGCGGGGGACGTTGGTAACTCTGTTACAAATTCTTGTTTTGGTTAGCACTGACCAGCTCATGTTACTTTATCTTTCAACATTAGTTTCATTGAACACTGTATTGAATGGTTTTGGTCCTATAAAAAAACGAATCGCCCTGATAAAGATAGTACTTAGTTTGATATAGACGAATATATTAAGTCCCTAAAGATTTGTCTAAAATTGTTCATGAACGTATAATACAAACCAATTACTGCTATCTATTTCTATTTATCAATATGACTGGTTATTTCCATTTGAAACCAAAAAAAATGGTCTCTCCAAAGGGAAAAATGGTTAATGTGTTTAAGATACATGGATGAAATTTCTAATTTATTTGAAAGCCCATTAAGCCCCAAAGAATGTTATTATTTCTATTTCTCAAAAGCTTTTTTGTTTTAGTGTCCTGTTACAGTTTACAAATCATTTCTATTTGCTCAGCTGTGCTATCATTTGGTGTTTTTTTTTATTTTTGACTGTTAAATTAGTAAAGTTACATTGATTTTATCTGTATTTTGCATGGAAGACAAAATGGCATGTTGTTTACATTGTGCTCTTTTTTATGACATTCATGTGATAGACATCTAAAATGATCTAAGTTCATTATAAAACAATATAAAACCGTCCCTTTCTTTTTAGGCTTAATGTAGTTTGAACGAAAATTCTTATAACTAGTTTAATTTTCCATGACACTTTACCAAACAATACAAACTTAAGTTTAAGGTCCAGCTAGTATGCCCAGTATGCCCAGAAATACATTTAAGTTTATTTCTCTAAAGCTTTTTTTTTGATGACAAAAGACTTCTCATTGTGCAATTAACTTAACCATCTGTTGCCCATATTGCCTTTTGGGAATAAATACAGTTATAGTGATTTAGTATTTTTGTACTATTTTGTTTACAGTTTGCTATTTTATGACAAACAATTTTACATCAATCGCTACTATTTCATATGATAAGCTTTTAACATGTTCTTAAATTATTATTTAAACATGATAAATCTCACGTTTGCCCTTTCTATTGAAAGGAACAGCTTATTCGTTTCTGAGTCATAATGTACCTTTAATAGCAGCAATTTTTTTTATCGGAGACAGTTTCGGTAATTTGGCATTATATCTCTTAAATTAATGTATTAGAACAAATGCCAGCCTCCCTTTAGGTAAAAATTATTTTTCTTTAACCTTTTTTGAATTCGTTCTATAATTTTATAGGAAACGTTTTCGCATAATGTATCAAAATGTGATCATAGAACAATGTAAGTAAACAAAATGGTTTCTTTGATTCTCGTCTTGTTATTCCTTTTATCATACCGACTTCATAAAGGCGGGATTTATTGCTAAAATAACATCATTATTTCATTATATCATATTTATATTAATACAAAGATATAAAAGTAAACTGTACTTTTTTGCTAGTACAAACCAAAACTTTGTTTGACGTTGGTGTATTTATTGGCATCGTTTTATTGAAATACACATGATATACGCTAAAGTACCTCTTTACATCTTTTTACCTCTTGTGCATCCGAGTTTGTTTGAAGAATCTTCAAACCTTGTTCTAAAAATTTTCCGAGATTTTTATTGTTTATCGGCGAGGTGTTCCGAGCCAAAGTGTAGGTTTAAGTGAGTGCTTATCTCCGCTGCTTGATAGACACAACTGATCAGACATGTTTGCATGAATTCAGGACAAGTGATTTTAATAACCATAGAGCAGTAAAAAAGAAACAAGATATTTACAACCATTGTATCATTTTCTGCAATGTTATACGGTTCAACTTGTATCAATTTTGCAAGCACAGGGAACAGATGTGTATTAGTTTAAATGACGGGAGCCCCGTTGTTTCGGGCAGACGTTAGTCGTTCCACACAACACCATGTTTGATTTTTATTTCGAATGCTAAGGAAACGCAGATTGAGTTATTGACGTGTCCCCGGAGGCTTTTACCGAGATTAGGTTCTTTCTGCAATGGTTGAACACTTAGTAACGCCGTGCTCGGAATCAATCCACTCTATAAGAAACAACTATCCACAAATAAGTCGTGCTCTTCTCACCTTAGCAAGAAGTACTGTTACTTTAACAGTCCTGATCTTTCTCCATGTGAATTTTAGATCAATCCCTTACATTAGTTAAGAACTGCGTGAGAGAGTCGATAATGTCATCTCAAGTCATGCCGTCGACATATTGTGCCTAAGTCTATGTGAGGTACATTTTGTACCTTTGATTTTCTCCTCGATGTTTTCAAGCGGCTTGAATGTTGTTGATTGTTTTGATAGTTAAAAAGGTACATATGTAGTGAAATTTAAAGAAGTATTGTGTTACTTTGTGTCACAATAGCCATGATGAATAAAAATATTATGAGTGAACTTTGAGAAGTTGTTCTAGTATATTATATCATCTTTAACTAAGTTGTTATAAATCTAACTAATTTGTTAAACATTATATACATGTATGTGTTTCATCTTAAACTAAGTTAATTATAAAAAGGAATACAAGATAGAAAATGTAAACTAGGTATCAATTAACTATTTACTGATAAATGTCGAATTTTAGTTCTAATTGTAAAACATTTTTGTCGCAAAATTATGTCGGTATCTCTTGTTCAGCCACGTTAAATAATGAAAAAAGCTATTTGCGGTTTGATTACCTAAATTAAAAAAGGTCATGTTTGATTTTATGTTCATGTAAGTACTGTCTATCACGGAAGAATTGCATTCTAGCTGTGCGGAATATGGAATGTTCAACAATCCTGTGATTCGTTATTTCATTTATTGCATTGATTCCGGGCACGCTTCCTTTCTCTTTCACTGCGATTTTCTCCACGTTTCATCAAAGAATGTTTGAACAGTTTTGTAAATGGATCATCTGTTTATTGGAATTTCTTTACGCTCTGAAAATGTGATTGTTTGTGTACCCTTTAGGCCAAATAGACAGGCACTAATTGTTCACATTTTTTACTTGGAGCAAAATGAAATAAAGTAAGATGAAATGTTTCACTTTTTGATGTGTTGTCTTTCCGGATGTGGAATAAAATTACGTTTGCGTATTCATTTCTGACCATTATGACTGTAAAATTTTGTATATAATATTTTCCGATTTTTAATCAACATGAATGCCGGAAAAAAAGTTTTTACAAGAAAGAAAAAGACAGTGTAGTTATTTCTATAAGAAAGTTATGATCAGTTAAATTGAAACGGAAAATGGTTTGCTGTGTCAACAAAGGTATGTATTAATATTTCTTTCGTTTTGTAATTTCAAAATTCTATGGGATTTACTTTATACCGTACGGCGGGAAGAAACCTTACAAAATGTTGCTGATAAATAATTGCCGCAGAATTCTAAACAGTTGTGTGGCTTTAATATATACAATGTAGTTATTTTTCCTTAGAATGATGATCTTAATTACTTTGGGTTTTTTTTTCTCTCACATATTTGATAATTTATAAAATAATGATGTGGAAAAACGATCATGAGACTGAAAAAAAATTAAAATGCTGTGTATCTCATTTTTGTATATAACAAGAATAAAATAAAACTTTATTCTAGATGAAACACAAACATTATAATTTTAATGTGTTACCGTAAATAAAATAACATCGATATACATGCAAGCATTTTTAATAGTTTATACAAATTTGTTTTAGTTCGATCGTGTTGGAACAATTAGTTTATCTAAATACTCTCGACTCCGTGGCTGGCATGCCGAAAACTTTTTTAAAATTTTATTTCGGATGCTGGGGCTCCCATTGCTGTACCATGCATTCTTCTCTCTTTCCCGTTACAATGGCCATCTGCCGGAAAATTATCCGTGTCAGCATACGAGTTTGCATATAGGACTACTTTATCATGTAGCGTAGCGACCGGAGTCGTTTAGGTATTAATAAAAGATCTACGTCTCAGTCTTTTGAAGAAATGCAGACAGAAGTCTAAAGTTTTTTTTCTAAAAAAGAAAGTAAAATCTAAACTGATTTTGTTGTAATGAAATTATGACAGTGATCATTTAAATGAACATAGCCACCCCAAGTCAACAATATTTACCTGAATTCCATTTTATCATTTTAGAAGGTGCAGACTGTATTAAATGTCTATAATAAGAAGACTACGAAAGACCGATGGGGACATTTCAACTTCATGGATTTCCGATTACAGCATCATGAATTTTCGATTTCAACTTCACGAATTCACGATTTCAACTTCACGAATTCATGATTTCAACTTCCCGAATTCATCGTGAATTCACAAAGTTGAATTTGTGAAGTTGAAATCGTGAATTCATAAAGTTTAAATCGTAAATTCATGATGTTGAAATCGTGAATTCATGAAGTCGAAATCGTGAATTCGTGAAGTTGAAATCGTGAATTCATGATGTTGAAATCGTGAATTCATGAAGTTGAATCCGTGAATTCGTGAGGTTTAAGTCGTGAATTCTCGATGCTGAAATCGTGAATTTTTGAATTGTGTATGTTGAAAACGTGAATTCACGAAGTTTTGATTGTGAATTCATGAAGATGAAATCGGGAATTCATGAAGTTGAAATGGCCCTACCGGTCTTTCGTAGAAGACTGATAATGTTTCAGTGTTTAATGATTGACATTTTCGGCACGTTATTTCTTCTGTACTTTTATTTTTATATTTGTTTATTTTATCAGCTTCCTTTTTGCAGCGGATGTCTCTTTTTTCTAAACAGATTCATTATAGGCCCATTATGTGCCAGATATACTATCATTGTTATTTCTAAAATGCTTTCATTTATGGTACCTTTTTTACAGTTTCAAAAAAAACAAAACTTATCTGCGATATAGATTAACTATCATTTGCTTCTGTTGTTGTATTAGTAATTGGTATTTCATAGTGAATTAGTATTTTGTATAGAAGTCATTATACTACTTTCATTTATGACACATAACTGCACGTCCAGCGCTACTTTCTTCAGTTGTTAAACATCTTACTCTAAATTCATTATAAAATCATTTTAATCACATGTTTGACATTTTCTAAAGAATTGAAAAATATGGACTTTTGAGGCATAATGTGCCTTTAAATTTAGACAATATGCCTATATATAGCGTGTAACAATGAAACGGAATGGTATTGTTTGTATTGAACAACATTTTTCAGGAAATATTTGTATACAAGAATTGACTGACTCGGTGACATTGTATATGTTTATAATTAATCAAACTTGCAGTCAATGAAATTGTATACATAAAAGTATCACTATTTTTTCACTCGAAGAGAGGCAGTAAACTGCTTGTTCTTCCCACTTGATTTCCGGTAGATATTTATTTGCCAACTGTTTCCTGGAATATGTGCTATAGCATTCCTTATAAAACGAGACAATATTTAGCAACCGCCACGCGGCCCGCGCTTCACTTTTTCTTTTTTTCTAAAGCCAGAACACATCGTTAAAAATGTTATATAGTAAAAAATATTCCTAGAAAAGATGATTTTCTTGTTCACATTTCATATTGACCATGACAGTCCAGGTCACTCACATATCAAGGTCATACTTGAATTACTCTCAACATGTTGGTGTTGTTTTAAATGATGTGGTGGTGTTGGAAGTTTTCACTCCGGATCACGGCAGTAAGCCACATTGAATTTACCAGAGCACAGTTCAGTCGCCCATCGTTCCATGGGCAGGCAGTTTACCAGTACTAGTTGCTTTCATTCTCGCAAGGAAATGATTGTACATGCCAGAGCAGATGTACAGTGCGAATGATCATAGAAAGGATTTCATGATCAATCAAAACGAAAGTGAACTGCTCCGTCCGGGAATCGAATCCGGGTTGCCCGATTCACAGTCCAACGCTATATCTATTGAGCTAACCGGACGGCTCTCTTTAAATGACGTTTATTCATAGTTGTGCATCCCTAATTCAAAGGTATTATCACGGTCAGAAAGCACAAACACACATGGTTTTGGGTTTTTTTATCAGTCATTCTAAATACAATAAATTAAACTACACAACATTTATCATTTTATTCATAAATAAGTTTAAGTGTTGCCAAGCTGCTTAAATCAGATACATATAATGCTTAATATATTCTCACAAAAACAAAGTAAAAGCAAGGAGATATTTGTTTTTAATCACATTCTTTAACTTAATGTTATCCTGTGATGAATTTTAGAGTGCTACCACTTGTACATGTTTTATGTTATTTCTATCAGTCACCTGTTATTGTCGCTGGACATCTTGAATGATGTTCTTACAATATGCCCAGACATGATTGATGTGGCAGTTAATCATGTTACATCGATTTGTATAAATCTGTAACAATTCATATACAATTGCAGGGAACGGAATGAATTGAGTAGAGTCATTAATGACTTCTATGAGAAAATCTCCGTCCTGTTCATTCGCACATTACTCATTTGCTGAATAAAAATCTCATTTTGGTAAGTGAAAAATGGCAACACCGTGTATTTAACGAGTAATTGTGTCTCAAATAAAAAATGTGCAAATAAAAAAAAATGGTGTATATACTCAGAACAACAGTATTCATGCATCCTTTAGTTACATATATCCCCATAAAGAACTCTATTACAAACTTACAGTTTCAGACGTTTAAATAAAACGTCTGCAAAATTAATGATTATAACCATATGGCCATATGATAAAAAATTTATTTTACAAAGACTGAAAAATGAATTACTGCAAAATATGAATTTATTTCATTTTAAAAAAAGTTAAATGAACACACTATTGTTATTTGGTTGATGGTGTAGCTGTGTGTGTTTTATTTATATATATAGAAGACCACATTTAAAATAAATTGTTATTGGATTTTTAAGGCTGGTATATCTTCATGTGTAACCTTCTGTTACTACTAATAATAATAATAATAATAATAATAATTCTGCGTTTGACAAAAACACAATAACGATGACTACAATTTATCATATTTAAAGGCTCTAATAGACGTGATTTCAAGTTATGTCACCCCGAAAACAGTAATTTTGGGATGACTTAAAGCAGTAAGTACTTAAAACATGATCTGTATCTATAACAGATATACGAAACTATGATCGATGGACTAAAACTTCAATGGAAAAAAACGCATGTAAAAGATTTAATTTTTTATTACCCCTGTATTACATGATATTGCAGAATTTGTATCACAGATTGACACGCATTTCCAGCTAGTTTACATTATCCTTCAACCCGGTAAAATTATGAAAATCGTAATTTAAGTAACTTTTACATATACAGAAAAAATCTTTGTTTAATCGTTAAAATATTGACTAAAGTTTTTTTTCCCGAACATCTTAAGATTAAAATTTCTATTGTATATTCCATTCAATATAGATATGTATATTTGTTTAGTAGCATACACGACTATTTATCCTGCAATATTGATGTTGTGTTTCATGTGAACTAGTTATAATTTATATGTTTCAGGTGACTTATTGGTCCGTTGGGCCGGGTGCTATGTTAAATTATTTAATTTCGTTATTTGTAAACTGTCATACACATGTCACTATAATAAAATATTTACTTACTTACCTATTTACCTACTTACCTACTTACTTACTTATACCATTGATTTTGTGAAGTGACAAACAGTGTGACGTGCATTTACGTGTGTATGATAAAAGTGTGTTATTTCACTACCCACTACCTATCTTAATTTCTCAATATTTTGAAAAAATGATTGAAATATATTTATATGATTTAAAAGTTTTCTGTTCGGTATCAGTCGGATAAAGGATAAAATCAGGTAAACTGAAAACTTTAAATGCATTATCACGTGTTCTGACTTTTTTTCAAAATGATAGTTAACCTCGATTTCATATATATGTATTATTAAAATTTCTTTAGTTTTTTATATTAATCATTTCAACAACAATTATGTTGACCTCTTTATTTGCTTTTAAATATATTTCCTTTTTTTAAAACAATGTCAATGTCAGGTCCGTGATCGTTAGATGGAATTATTAATCTTTTTCATGCCTTTTTATGGCAAACTTAGCCACAAAGCTATAAAGGCATATTTTATGTTTTTGTTAAAAGCTATTTCATATAATTTTCTACTTTTTACCTTAAACTAACTCAGAATTGTCTTTGAACGTCTACTATTTTCCTATATATGGTGATGCCCTTTTTGCCCTACGCAAATTGCGCATGCGCAAGAAAATACTACTTCCGATCGATTTTTCATAGCAACGGATCGCGTCGTAAAAAGGTCTATAATGTGCCTTTAAAGATCTTGTAACACAATTTTTTCATGGTTTTATTTCATAATTATGATGCTCAATTTAAGATTTGTCAATATTGTAAGTTCCAACAGGTACGTATATACGTACCTGGTTCCAATAAGCATTATTTATAGAGATATTACCGAATTTAACATTTCATGGAAATAAAGGGAGGTAATTAGAAATTTATTATTTTAAATTCTAAGTCAAATTTTCCAATAAGAAATGAATGCATAAAATTTATTGATTAAATATAATGTGCACAAATATTTGCAGTACACATTTTACATATTCTTCGATGTTTGAAAATTGTTTTATTTGCATAATTATATTATTTTAAATTCTAAGTCAAATTTTCCAATAAGAAATGAATGCATAAAATTTATTGATTAAATATAATGTGCACAAATATTTGCAGTACACATTTTACATATTCTTCGATGTTTGAAAATTGTTTTATTTGCATAATTATATACATATATAAATATTTGGAAGTGTGGTATACACACAGTAACAATATCAATCACAAAACATACAGGATCTTTAATATCAAAAAGAAAACTTTTATTTTGGAAGACCTGATCGTCGATTACCCATAATCATCTCGGAAATAATACAAATATATAAAGAATTTCTACACTTGACTATTGATATTTGTTATCATTGTATATTGTGTGACAAATGTATTTTGACATCCATCGGAAAATAAAGTCTATCTCGGTAATTAAATGACTGAAAAATACATGTATGTCTGACAAAAGACCACATCCATATAAGACCACATCCGAACTATTTTGAGCAATTATACAATTTGTACTTTCAGTTTCTAGAAAATTGATAATGTGCAGAACGCAACAACCAGGTTACTACCCCGAGGTCAAGGTCATTATTCAAGGTTAAATGTAAAAAAAACATTTTTTTTAAATAGCTCGGCACCAATATCATCATTATGAGACAATGTGCAAAGCACAATAACCAGAGTCAAGATCAATTCAGGTTAACGAGCAAAGGGCATATGTAAACTATGGTCTCATTGAAATTATTAATAATGCAGACAGGGTGCTGTAAAGATTAATGAAAATTTAAGGCTTTTTTTTTGATAATTTGCCTTGATATTTTCTTTTGTGGCTTCTCAAAAGGAGTTTCGATTGCAAATCAAGCATTGACAGTTACTACAAAACAAGTTAGGCAGCTTGAATGAATTTTGTGAAATATCAAAACATATGACTGACACGTTATTATTCATTTAAATTGTTATTGATTACACTATGGTAATAAAAGCAAGATGGCCAATAATCGTATGTTTCGAGAGTAATTTCGGATAGGCAATTAATTTTTTGTATGATTTATCTCATTGAGACATGAAGTTTTCAGTTAGAAGACAAATGTGGCTTTTGTTTTGAGATGTGAGCAAACTTTGCTAATCCTCCTCTCAACACCAAATATTCCGTTGTTCTATGGCCTCATTTGTTTTCTTCTCTGATTGTTTACAAACACACCATATAGTTACTTAGCTGATCTCTCAGTGCGTTTGGCGTCCACTCTGTGCTTGTTTCTTTATTTCCCCCAATTGTCATGAAACATATTTCGACAACTTTGAGCGTATCATAGACACAAACACATGTTAGTTGTTATTCTCTGCAAAAACTTGCAGACTTCTGAAATGTTTTCTGCGGTACATTTTAACCCAAACGGAGACTCTGAACTTTATTTGTCAGTGAATGAAAAGTTTATTAATTCTTTGTAATGCAAGTCGATAACCTTTCTCCTTTAACATATCAAGGACAACTACATAATTCCTACTGGACAGAGCCAATCCTTCAATTGCACGTTTTGCTTGTCCATACAGTTTGTTCAACACATCACTGATTTTACAAATTGTTGTTTCGGTGCACTGTTCATTCGTAAGTATCACAAACTTCAATCCAATACAAGGTATTTCGACCAAAGGAAGATTTTTCTAGTTTTGGAAGCTTGACAGCACTTGCTTCTATACATTCCTTTTATTCTCGTTGTTCTAAGAACTCTTGTTGTTGTTTTAGTAGAGACAGCATAAGCTGCAGCATTATTTCCTGACCTTTTATTAGTATTTTAAATCTCCTTTACAAAAACTTATTTAAATCTAAGCAATTTTTTTCATTTTTTGTTTGTTATATCCGGTTTGCGGGACCAATTCAATGGGACGAAGAATCCATTTTCATTATACTCGTGAAATAATACAGCATGAAATACTCAAGAATCACGAGAAGAAGTATACAATTAAAGTAATGCTTTAATGCACGTGATATATATGACATGAGGTGTAAACACACACACAAATTCTTACATAAATTATCAATGTCAAGCAATTCAAAATGAGTAAAGAATAATCATCAACAAAGAACAGTATATACTTTAATAAACCTGCTTGAGTATATGTTTTTGATTTTTTTTTCTAAACTGAAAAAAAAATTGTTTCATACACTCTTCTTATCAATTAAAGTCAGACGAACTGGTCGCCAGTCCAAACTCTTTTGCGTACATATATTAAATTTTAAATTACAGTTTACCAAGGAAAACGACTTGTATTTTCTTTTTATAATATGGTATATTTTAAGAGAATCTAGCATGACCATATAATAATTTGTTAAATTAAAAAAAGAAACTTATGAAATAATCATATTCTGTTGTTTTTGTTTCAGAGAAATGATGTTATTCTAACATGGATTCAAACCATTAGTTATTTTACTTGATGTGTTCTTGAATATTCAACTGAAGTCAAAAATGGATAAATGTTTTATAACCCGTGCCATAATAATCTTCCTATTTCTTAAAGGTAAATGTGAACATTGTGTTGTTATTGTCAATTTCTGTATGCAAGAAAAATGAAGTTATACTTTTTGTCTACACTTAATTTTGATATAGATAATTTACTTTAATGCACAATAACTGTATAGGATTTAAAGTAATTTTTATCTTTTTTTCCATGAGCACTCGCCTCTTTGGGTACTTGTGATTTGAATTTTTAACTTTCTGTTATATTTTGATGTAACATATGAGCTATTTCTTTGAAACATTGAATCTTAGTGACGTTCGCTTCTATTTTCAATCAAGAAAACTATGTCATTAAGCCTCTAACAAGCTGCGTCCTGCGAACGTTGCCTTTGCCTTCTTGAACTTTGTTCTCATTCTTTGTGTCTATTGCAGGAATACACACGCTCTCTAAAATCATTAGTCAATTTTATATTTTCTGATGAATACTGACTTTTTCACTTCACGTCTTCCAATTTTGATGAAAACATTCAATTTATTTTACTTCATTTAGAAAGCATGCAAATTGATAAAGAAAAAATGTTTTTATCGAAAGATAAGTAAAATATATGCAATGAAGCAAAAATAAGCTATAATTTACGTTCTTTTTTCATCTGTTACATCTAAAATTTATTATTGACACAACGTCATAGTTTGATTGATGACATTAAGTGCATTATTGTATGAAATGTAACGAGAAACCCTGTAAAATAGGAGACTTGTATGTTAACAGACAGGAATAGTAAACAGATCAGCTCAAATAAAATATTTGATTAGTAATCAATCAATCATTGATACACTGTGTTATTAATCTACTGATGGACTGAAAAAAATGACGAGAGAAATTCATTAACTGGCAATTAATGAAAACCTGTTTTGCAGTTGAATGGATATACAATATTAAAGCATAAAAGGCAGATATTTCAACACTCATTTGATGCTCACAGAGTCCATGCACCGACTAATGTGTCTAACTAAAAGAGCGCCAACAGTTTTATGCAATTGTTGCACTTGAATTTGACATGAAAAGTTACATGTATCTATATGATTCTAACAACTAGTGTGTCGACATCTGCATGTATTGATGCAAATACAGATGTCGCCACACTAGTTGTTAGAATCATAGATACATGTAACTAGAACTGTCACATTAATATGGAATGCCGGTAGGGAATGCCGGTAGGGACATGCCAATTTGCTTATTTGCCAATTGCTGAATTGCTTATTTGCTAATTGCCGATTTGCTTATTTGCCAATGGCTGATAGGCTTAACGACAAATTTGCTTATTTGCCAATTGCTGAATTGCTAATTTGCTTATTTGTTAACCGCTGGTTTACGTATTTGCTTATTTGCCTATTGCTAATTTGCTCTTTTGCAGTAGAAAAAGTTTACACTGTGCCGGAAGTATATGGACAATCTGACTACAGACAACCAGTTGAGTCAGATCTGTTAACTTTTACCAACAGTATTCTTGTAAATTCAGTGTTTTCCAAGAATACTGTTGGTCAACGAATTTAGTTGCAGTGATGCCTACGCAGATATATGTCTACAACTGATGGCTGACATGTCCTTGAGAACACAGACGCTTAGGGTCAGATTCCGTACCCCAACGTGCCCCTGTAAACACTAGATCTATTTAAAATATTTTAATATTCAAACACGAATTGGACATCGTTAAAACTGGTTTTCAAGCAATTTTTACATATACGGGTATGAAAAAATACCATATACCACCAAGTCTCAATAAAGTACTTAATGGTTTTATCGTTGTAACAAATGTCCAATTCGTATTTAAATAAATATTAAAATAGTTTTGATATAGTGTTTACAGACGCGTATCACGTAAGGGGCAGGATTTGACCCGCCAGCATCTGTGCTTGAGAATGCCTTATAATGTGTTGCAGCTATAGATATGTTTGTGCAGCTTAAGTCAGAGATTGATGGCATAATAAACACTTGATTAGTCATATTTAAGTGAAAAATATTGAGTAAAGATTGAAAATAAATGAACTTGAAAACAAAACTATTTCTTATTTTATGGCATATAAAATGTCGTTATTCTCAGCAGATTTGTCACAGAGGGCCTCATTTAAGTGGTACGAACACATAGTATCACGAATGATACATTTGGTGCATGCTTAAGCACTTAAGCAATAGCCTTCGTTTTTAGCTCTGTAATATTTTGAGATCACTTATGTCAGTGTGTGCATCAACATTTTGCTTTGATTCAATGTTTTTGATATTGGTCACACTTTTCCATTTCTTCATGTTGTACATTTTACATGCTATCAGGTGACCATGACCATGATCATGACCTAGGGTATAATGGACAAAGCCTCTTTGAATATTGTGTATGCATGCTGCCCATTTAATGCTTATGTGAAGTTACAGTTAGATATAAGCGATAGTAACAGAGATATGACAGAAAAACAAAGGCTTCTCAGTACAATACATTGGTGACCTTGACATTCAGTATATAACGGGGCACAGTTTCTTCGTGTACTTTGTATGCATGCATGTAACGCAATGTTTATGCAAAGTTGCAGTAAGATGCATGAATCAGCAAAAGTAACAGAGATATGACAGAAAAACAAGTAACCAAGAAAACCAATGTATTGGTGGGTAGAATAGCATGAATAGTGGAGCTAAAACTGACACTCAAGATAATTAAAAAAAACAACTACTTTCTGAAACTGAATTTATTTTTTTCGAAATTTATTAAAATGTATCCATCTGTCTTTCTACCTATATTATAGGTAATGATGGATTGATCATAATTGTCACAAAGTATAATTTATTAACAAAACTTTATAAACATAACGGACGTGTCGCCTGACAATAGCATAAAAATTTATGTATATAAGAAAATAAGCAATTAGCAAATAAGCAAATTGGTAAATCAGCAAATAAGCAAATTGGCAAATCAGCAATTAGCAAATAAGCAATTAAGTAGTTGGCAAATAAGCAAAGTGGCATGTCCCTACCGGCATTCCATACATTAAAGTGTAACAATTATTGATGCATGAAACTGATGTCGTCACACGTCACATTATCATCAAAGAATTGCAATACAATAATATCATTTTATAAGTCATGTTTTTGGCTACTGACAAAAATAACGTCATATCTCTGGTCTTTATATACACATATAGACATTTACACATATAGACATATACACATATAGACTGGCTGTATTACGGTTTTCTACAATTGTTCTATATACAGTGGAACCTGTCTAATCTGAACTCGTCCGGACCAGAAGAAAAGTTCGGATTAGAAAGGTTTCCGGATTAGAAAGGTTTCCGAATTAGAAGGTTCTTTTACATGTTTTTTCATGTTACATGTATTTGCAAAATAGTTGAGGGAAAGAAAACAGGAATGCATTTGAAATTGCAATTTAGATATTTTTATTTTCGCAGTCTCTTATCGTTCATTCTAATACATGTGAATACAAAAATAAGGAAATGAAAATAAATAAATAAGCAAAAAAATATTATGTCCTCAAGGGTAAGTTAACTTACCATGTAAAACAGGAGGCGGGGACATAATTAAATATTCGTACCAGCATTTGTCAATTGTTGTTTACTCTTATCCGATTCAGCGACTATCCGAATTTACTGACAGTTTCTATTGTTTTCATTGCTTTATCACGTATCATTGAATCCATTACAAAGGATTAAAAGATATTTTTATTGCATTAAATCAAAATGTTTATTGAAGGTGACGAAAAACAATCAATTAAGCAATTATAGAAGATATGAAGGCAAGCTAAGTGTAGTTTTCACACCTTCGCAGATCATACGTTTCACCCATTAATCAAGTGAAATAACACATAAGTTTGGTGTATGTTGACACCTGTAAGATTGCGATTTTTTGTTATTTTGAATGAAGGTGTGACATTTGGCAAAATCTGTTCGGATCCGAGAGGTAAATTTTAGAGTAAAATAAGAACAAAAATTGAAAAAAATCGTCCGGAATTCGGAGTAGACAGGTTCCGGATCCGAAAGGTTTTTTACTATTGAAAATAGAACGAATAAAATCGGGACTGGACACTTCGTTCGGATAAGAAAGGATTCCGGATTAGAAGGGTTCGGATTAGCAAGGCTCCACTGTACTAACTTTTTATCATCATTTTGTTAAATAGAGTCACAGCAAGGTACAAACGAGAAGAGATTGTTTCATGATTTGTTTCAAGAACGCTATTACAGTCCATTAGAACGTCCAGTTGAAAACGAGTCATTACCTATACGTGTTAATTTTACACTAGTTCTACAACAAATTATTGACGTGGTAAGTCCACAAACGTTTGCTAACTTTCTTAGGGTCCTATAGTATTTGTAACAGCAATAAATAAACGTGTAATGATCGGGTTGTTACAATAAAAGTTATAGCTCCCGCCAAATATAGCCCCTCAGAGAACTTTATCTGTTGACATCTTCTATGACTTTAGGAAATTGTTTTAACATGCATTCTGTAAAAAGTGATATTTTTAAAGATCACCAAGTACATTATATGTTACTTAGTATCATAAAAATCACCTTTATTTCTAATTTCGTTCAACACTGTTCATTACCAGTTGATTGGTAGATTAACTATCTGATTTCGTTAAACTGATATACATGTACATGGATTTAACAGAGTTAATATACACTGGTTTAACTAAGAGAATATATTATAGTTATTTCTTGCAATCAAAGCAAACAATGATCAAATTGCTGTTATTTATTTTCTACATTTTTCTCCTGATGATTTTGGTATTATATTGATTGTTATTGGATGAAATTGTCTCATAAATATTCATTTTTAGCTCGACTTTTCTATGAAAAGGGGAGCTATCCTACTCGCCCCGGCGTCGGCGTCGGCGTTAGCGTTGGCGTCACACCTTGGTTAAGTTTTTCGTACCACCCCACTTTATTTCAGAAGTATTACAAGTATGGCTTTGAAACTTACCATACTTGTTCACCATCATAACCTCCATCTACAGACAAGAGTACATAACTCTGTCAAGGTTTTTGACAGAATTATGGCCCTTTTTTGACTTAGAAAGTGTATTGAGCTTGGTTAAGTTTTTTGTACCACCTCACTTTATTTCAAAACCATTGGGAGGTATTGCTTTGAAACTGACCATACTTGTTTACCATCACGACCTTCATCAACAGACAAGAGGACATAACTCTGTCAAGGTTTTTGACAGAATTATGCCCCTTTTTGACTTAGAAAATACATTGAATATGGGTAAAATCCACTTATTGCCTTAACCCTTTGAGATATTGCTTTGAAACTTTTAATGCTATTTCACATCATTACCCCCATCTGTACGCAAGAGAAGGTAACTCTGTCAAGGATTTGTTTTAAAAATTAAGGCCTTTTATCGACTTAGAATCTTGGTTAAGTTTTTAGTACCAGTCCACTTTTTGACTGAACTGTTTGAGATATTAATTTGAAAGTTGGAATACTTGTTTACCATCATGGTCCCAAAACATGGGCAGGAGAAGGTAATTCTGTTAAGGATTTTATTTGAATTATGGCCCTTTTTGACTTAGAAACTCAGTTAAGATTTTCATTCTTGTCCACTTGTTGACTTAACCATTTGAGATATTACTTTGGAAGTTGGAGTTCTTATGTGCCATCATGAGACCTATCTGTAAGCAAGAGAAGATAACTCTGTGAAAATGTTTCTTGATTTGTACTTAGAAATTCCTAGTTAAAGTCTTGTGTGCCCTTAACTGTCAAAGTTTTGTTTTATAGGCAAGCACTAAAAAAGTCGAGCGCGCTGTCCTTCTGACAGCTCTTGTTCCTCTTTTTTTACAGGACGAGAAGAATCAAATCATACATACGAATATTTGGTTACAGATGGTAATTACATTTCTTTTCTATTTTAATGACTTTTTCTATAATCAAGGTGTACATTAATTTTTTGTACTGTAAGAAACTATGTCACTATATTTCTTGTTTTACAATAGTTAGCATCAAAAATTAGCCATGTATCTCATAATATGATACTGAACATTAACAAGTGACTGAAATTTATAGGTATTATTTAATTTTTTATTAGAATGTTTGTGTGCGCGTGCGTGTGTGTGTATGTTTTAATTTTTGTGCCTTCATTAACGAAAAAAAGTGTTCCTAATTAAATTGTGGATAAATCTTAATTAATCTTTTTTCTTATTTCCCAAACAGTTTTACAGTTATTAATTTGGAAATATTAACATAAACATAATGTTGATTAATATGTATACTAAGGGATATATTGCAAGTTCGATTGAAATTTGTGATCAGATGAAATTTGTATTGATGTGTTAGATAAAATCTGATTTTTTGTTTTAATATTCTTGACAATAACATAACAAATATCTGGGGTTTTTTGTTACGTGAAATTTGTTTTATATATGAATATTATATTGCATGAAGTAATAGAAAAACATTCTTAGGTCAAATCAATATATGAACAGAAAAGTATGTTTATAATTGCTCAAACTGTTTTAATAAAAAAACGAATCAAATGTTAGACTATGATCAATTTTACTGAAAAACTGAGTTTGTATATATTGTACATGTGACAATGAGAGCAGGCTAAGAGGTTTAGACCCACAGAGAATGGATTCAGTTTTTCCATGTGCAAAGTTTTAATACACTAAGAGTTTTGTGTCCAGAAGAAAGAACAGATTATGTTTCAACATTGTTATAACCAGACACTAAAAGCAGAGTCATCTACACACAGATATGATTTATTTCTCGCTGCAGCAGATATGTCATTCACATATATCAAAAAAAAGAAGAGAATCTTAACTAGCCCTTCATGTACTACTCAAAGACATTAGCACGAGATGAAAGTGCACCTGAAATATCGACCAACTGTTTTCTAACAGATAAAAAAGAAGAAAACCATCTGACTTAATCTTCGGATACACTTCTTGCCTTTAATTTTTATGCCCCCACAATGTGGGAGCATATAGCGTTGCACTTGTCCGTTTGTTCGTCCGTCCGTCCGTCTGTCCGTACGTCCCGAAATCTTGTGAACGCAACTCCTCTTAAACCTTATGGCAGATTTTGCTTAAACTTCAAGGGATGAACAACCTTAATGTGTAGATGGTAGTAAAGGAAGGAATTTACGCTGCGACCAAATTTAACAGAATTATGGCCCTTTGTTGATTTTTTCACTATATACTATGGAGAAATTTTGTGAACGCAACTCCTCTTAAACTGGATGGCAGATTTTGCTTAAACTTCCAGGGATGAACAACCTTAATGTGTAGAAGGTAGTAAAGGAAGGAATTTTTGCTGCGACCAAATTTAACAGAATTATGGCCCTTTGTTGATTTTTAGTTTTCTACTTGTGGCACAAGTAGTCCAAAAATATTTGACCTAGAGTCATAAGATTGACAGAACAGTGGTGTGTGGGGGCATCCGTGTCCTATGGACACATTTCTAGTATAAATATAATATCAAAGTCTTTTATAATTCACGGACAACCATTTAAAGGTCTGAAACCAGAGCGATCATTATAAAAAAAAGACTATAAATTTCAGGAATCTGATTATATTTTACTCTCTCTAAGACTTTTGATACAATGCTCTAATTTTTCTTATACAATGAAACATCTCTGATAAATTTTAAGTCATTTGGAACATCACCATGAACAATAAGACAAATTGTTAATATAAGACACAGGATGTTCCTTTAACAGCAGCAAAGTCCATGGATACATCGAAACCAGTTGCCTTGTTAAGTGTTCCTTAAAACTTTACATTAAAAAACAAATTCATCAAAATAAAGTTTGATTCTTTCGGATGAATGGTAATTTAAACAAAGTTTTTTGCCAAACATTTTGAACATTTTTGCTTTTTTTAACAAGTTTACTTGCAACAGAAGTGGAAAAAGAATTGAATGTTTCAGCATTTCAATTTATCGAATTATATACCATCTATTTGCAGACCAGTGTTACTTGAAGATTTACGCTTTTTAATGTTACTTCCAATTGCTATAAGCTATTCTACACAAATTTTGAAATAAAATCATTTCCATCCTGGGCTTTCTTAAAATAACTTGCTTTTTTGTCTGGGATTTATTCCTGCGTTGTCTGAAATATTGTCTTCCGTTTTATTTTACTTGGATTTAAGTGTTTAAAATAATTTGTCTCTAGCCTTGTTCTGCTTAACTTTTGCATATTGTCAGGTATATATTATCATCATTGTAATTATAGAAGATATTTAAGTTTTTTCCTATAAATACAAGATTTATTTTCATCGAGTGGTATGAAAATAAATATGCCATGAGTGGCGATAGCCACGAGTGAAATATGATATTGTTCTTACCACAAGATGAAAATAAATCCTGTATTTATAGAAAAAATCTTGTTTCGTGTATTGGAAAGTAGCTCGGCAAGATACCAGTAAAAATACGGAAAAAAAAAACGTTTTACTGCAGTGAAAAATAAATTTTTACAGTAAAGAAATGAAAATTACGTATTTTATTACATCAGTTTAACTCAATATTTCATTTTTAAGCATATAATAAAATAATTTATTTAATGAAGCAATGTTTCATTGCCGCTGATGAAATTTCAATTTCTCAAATATAACCTTAATTATTATGCTCCCTACTGAAAAACTAGATCTATACTGTAATTGTATTGCTGTCCGTATGTACGCACGTACGTTCTGTTATCATTGTCCTATCAATAACTTGAGATGGAATAAGTTGTGGTTTATATAACCTTGTAGGGACATTGTACATGGTTAGTAGATGATCCTAATTTAGATTCTCGGTGACACTAAATGTAAAATGCTTGTCCGATAGATACCGTGACATAATGTATGTAACTTGTCATGGCCAAAAGGTGTTCTGTAATGGTCAAAGGTCAATGTCACTGTGACACATTGTGACATTCTTTTCCGATCAATACCTGTAGAAGGAATAAGCCAAAGTTTATTTCATTTGGAAAAGATATTGACCATGGCCAGTAGGTGATCCGTAGTTTAAGGACAATGGCCAAGTGGCACATTTGGTTAAATCCTTTTCTGATCATTACCTTTAAAAGGATCAAAGCTTGTTTGTTTAAGTTAATTTAATTACTCATGGCCAGTAGCTGTCACCCATTTATTTTGAGCTCATGTGGTCAAGGTCACATTGACACGTACTGTGAATCCTTGTCTCATATCAAGTAACTAGAGTTTCCTCTGTTATAGGTTTGTGAAATTTATTAGTTTCAATTCTGTTTGTATATATACATATTACTTATTTATTTAATAATTAACCTTAATGAAATTAACATAAGTATATGTTAATAAGATTTGTTAATAAAACATGCTTATAAAAGGCAAATAAAGTTGGGGCATCAGTGTGCTATGAACACATTTCTAGTTTTCTTTCAAACTTATAGATAGTGACCTCTCAATCAATTCTAATCGAATAGTATTTTCTGCAATGTGATATTATTTGATTACAAGCGTGTTAAGTTTATTTCCATCCAGTCTTAAAGTTTACCAGCTCTCATTCGTTTTCGTTATATCAAACAGCAAAACAATTAAGTATTGGATAGAAGAGAAAATGAAACACATTAAGTTAACCGATCATCATTACTTTGTATCATCATTTATCATCATTTATCATCGTTAATCATCATCTGTTGTAGAATAATTCCTCTATTTAACTTGGGGTAAATTTTCAAGATTTGATACTACGTCCTTTTTAACCTGTTTCCTCTCTTTCTCTATACATTTAGATTATAGATGCATATTCACGTAGAACATAAACGTACATAATCTTCAGTAGTAGGTATTCTCACGCATATATATAAAATATACATATACACACATATATAAAAATAAGTGCTGGAAAAAAGTCACATATAAATGAAACAATATATATATCAAAAACGCTAATTTAAATTTGCCGTAGCTTTCGGCCTTGTGGCCTTCTTCAGCAGCATTATATATATTTATATAGATTATCATCATTGTGAATTGGTCTGCAATAGAAGGTCTGTACTACAATAAATAATTACATTGATAGTATTTAGTAACAGACTTAACAACAAACAACATAAGATATTTATTTTGTTGGCAAGTGTGAGACACATGATTCGATATTGCATATATTTATACAGCAGATAATGAAATGTTCTAGAACAAAATGTTACTTTTCAGCTTATAAATGTTATAAATGTTCATATTAAATCACTTAGAACTTTATAATATTAACCGTTCTATTGTTTTTATCAATACTTGAAATACTTGTAGAAAATGTGCCCTTTATAGACCAATCTACAACTATCATTTTTATTTAGCTACTTCATTAAACCAAGACGTTACATTGAATATGCTATTAGTATACTATTGTATCATTTTATCACCGGTATACTCCGGTACGCAATATCTTTACGAGCCTAAAAGATTTTTAACAGAAATATTAACGTTGTTAGCATAATACGCGTATATGTTTGTTATTTGACTAAACCTGTGTCTTTTGCTTCGCATCACTTGAGAGATTGATGATGTCAATATTGATATATGTTCTTTACAACGTTCCTGTTGAACATGAGGGTCTTTCTGTCTACAAAATGTTCCTTCTTTCAGAAATGGAGGGCTGCCAACCTAATGTGGGATCCATACGAGTATGGTGGTATAGAGGCTATACCTGTACCAGCCAAACTCATCTGGACACCTGATATTTTATTGTACAACAGGTATATGGTGGGACATTTATTCTAGTAAAAGTTATTTGTGAGGCTTTGTTAATTTAAAAGTAACACAATGTAGATTTTAATTTTTTTCTTGCTAAAACCTTTTTCGTATTAAAATTAAAATTTGTCCTTGGATGTATCCCTGTAGTCCACCATTCTAGGGGTGTTGATACTTTCGTTTTCTGTTGTATATTTGTTTAATAAATCTGAACTACTATTAAACAATAATGTAATGTTAAAATAAAATTATCTGAATCAAATGCTATTTTCATTTCAAAAGTCTACCGTTTACAGTTTAACATTTCGTGACATTATGACATATAGCGCCGCCTTTATGTCCACTCCCGGTTTTGGTTTGGTGCCTTCTGGGTGCCCTGCTGTGGTAGCTTGGGTGTGTCAGGGGCAGATGTTGCCTTTGCCTTGTTGATCTTTATTCTTGTCTTTTATGACTGTACGAGTTAGAGTTGTGGTTTTAAAAATGTCAAAATATAGCAGAATAACGTTTTATTCTGCTATAATACGATATGGAATCTAGAATTAAAAATTATTTGGTTTGTAACACTGTCCAGATGTGTATTACAGAATAAAATGTCAGAAATACTCCAGATATCGACGTTAATGTTACATTTGTCCTTATATATGTCTGTTATTGTATCCAAATCTGCTTTATAATATTACAATAAAAAAATAAATGCATTAAAATTTCTCTGTCGTTTTGGCAAAAAACTACAAATATCATCATTTATAATATCCATTTTCCTTAAAATAAAACATAGCACGTGAATATGTTTCTGTTTCTAGCGCAGACGACAAGTTTGATGGTACCTACCATAGTAATGTAGTTGTGCGCTCAGACGGATCGTGTCTCTGGGTACCACCCGGCATGCTCAGGAGCACGTGCTCAATAGGTACGAGTATTTTAAACAATGGTATATGATATCTTAATGCTCAAAAATGATATTCGTTTTGTAAAACGATAAGTTTTCCAATCGTTAAATACTTTTATTATGTTTCATTTAGGATATAGAGATATTCGAGTTTTTTTCTATGAGTACAGGATAAATTTTCATCGAGTGATATGAGAATAAATATTTCATAAGTGGCAGCAGCCACGAGTGAAATATATGATAGTATTCAAACCACAAGATGAATAATTTAAAATATACAGGTTTCTCTTTTTTGACATTAAAACACTTTTAAAATACTGTTGTATATTGGCTGAATTTAGAAGAAAGTAGTTCGGCAAGACACCAGTGAAAATACGGAAAATATGTTTCACTGCAGTAAAAATAATATTTTTACAGTGAAAATAAAATGAATGTTTTATTTCATCAATATTTCTCAATATTTCATTTATAAGTACATGTATATAATAAATACAATTGAGATATAAAATCTTTATCATATTACAGATATAACCTGGTTCCCATTCGATGATCAACACTGTGATCTCAAGTTTGGTTCCTGGACTTATGATGGCCGGATGCTGGATCTTCAAATGGAAGATCCAAATGGTGGCTCCATACTCGAGTTCCGGCGTAACGGTGAATGGGAACTTATAGGTAAAATAGTATTTTTGGGCGAAAATATGTACAGTGTACTCATAATGCCATTTCAATGTTGACCGTTGTATTCCTTTACAGGAAGCACTCAAAATTTGTGTTTTTGTATTACAATGTATATTAATGGTCACTTCTAGTACAATATAATATTTCTTTAGAACTTTTGGACTCAAGAAAACGGGGCGAAATAGAGGAAGAGTACAATACGGATTTGATATGGACATGAAAAAGAGGTTTTGGAATACAGATTTTTCAACTGTTAATAAATTAATACATCTTTTTATGATTTATTTACTAAAATAATTGAATATGTCATATTGATTTTTTGAAAAAATTGTTCTTCGCATGTTTTCCCCAAATCATAGAAGTCTAGATATAATAGATCTAACTAAATTTGTTTTGATGGTAAAATTAAGTCAGCGTATCAAGCATGTTGAATCAAGTCTTCAAAGTGTATGTTTCGCAACAACGTGTACACACGTACCAAGGGTGTTAGAGTGTGAAATTGCGTGCTTATGGCCAACGTGCACATTGTTCAATAGCCAAAGGGTTAACAACCCTGTCATAGCTCTCTTTAGGTTTGATTAACACAGTAGATCACGGGAACCAAAATTAAAACTATTAATTACTGTAAAATTAAATAAATTATCATTATCACAGATAGGCAAAATGTGTATTCTGTATATAATTTTTATATGTTAGATTTTCAAAGCTTGTTTTGTTTTATTTTATTATCCGTAATATACAGTTGCCAAGTATCAGTTTTTGAACATTTTATTCTCTACTTATACTATACGTCATGCCTGTAAGATAAGTAGCTATGATTATCTTCAATAACTTTCTCTAAACTTTATTTTATTATCATGCACCAATATAAATTCCGCTTGGCATGCGTAATATTTTTCGAGTTTACAATACACGACAAATGTTTTGAAAAAATAAAGCTATTTGCTATTTTTGGATCATTTATGCTTATCATATCGTATTTTCAATATCACTTATGGCAAATATAGTTTGTAATAGCAAAGAATATCGTTGAAAAATAAGTTATATTTCCGTAATGTTAAGAATGACAAATATGTCTGCATGACAACCATAATAATAATTATCGGCACATTATGTCTAAAAATCGAACAAATTTTTAATTCCTTATGATGCGATGGCCCAATGTTACCGATAACAAATGTCACGTGATCACCCACCCACTGCACTATAGCTTTCACACTGGCGTCAGTTAATAAGCAATGCACGCTGTACTGTAATGATAGGTGTAAATTATATTACAGGAGTGCCAGGACATCGTCACGTGCAGGAATACGACTGCTGTGAAGAGTTTTATATAGATCTAGTGTACACCATTCATATTCGCCGACGAACATTGTATTATGGGTTCAATATAATTATTCCTTGCCTTCTGATCTCGTCGATGTCATTACTACTGTTTCTGCTTCCACCCGACGCCGGCGAGAAAATATCTCTAGGTAAATCATTACATTGAAAGGTTGAACAGTATCGAGACGAAACAATACTAATAGGCAATATAAATGTTTATTTTATGCTTTTCAGTGGATTACTGATTTATCCGTGAAAATTATATTTGGTAATTTCACAGTGAAAATTATCAAAATATAATTTCACTCTTTTCAATGACGAAACTACTTTTTTAAGATTTTCCCCATGTGGTACCTCAATTTTATTTTTGCTGACAATTCTGACAATGTCAGGCTGTTTAAAGAAAAAGCAAAACTGAAATTGATAAATAACTTAAATGTCAAAAGTAATAAAAAGAAGAAAACTTACTTCTATTCATTCAAATTCATGAAATTCCAATCACCAAATTTCGTTTTTTTGTTTCATTTTGACAGTCTCAAAAATACATTCCTTCCCCATGCAAAACTGCTCTTGATGACATTTGGGCATATTAAAGTATCCTACGAGCAATAACTGCCGTATGCTTTATGAAAAATTGAAAGCATTGACAGCCATAACCCGAAGAATAAGTTAAATCAACCCAGCGTTCTTGAGCAGGTTTCCAAGTTTTCCATTTTCCTAGCTCCTTTTCTGAATGTTTTCACATATGTCAACACTTATTTTTTGTCTGTTACAATCCTCAAATAAGTTTTCTTTCTTTTAAAAATGTGTATGACTAACAAATCCAAATTATATCCCTCTGAATCTTACACAATTATTTTCCTCCCATGAAATACACAACTTTAAAAAATGGCTGCCGCTTACAATTTACAAAGCCAGGTCTAATATAAATTCGCACTAAGTAACAGAAATATGGATGGATAGTTGGACTTTTTCTCCTACAAGAATTGTTTGTTTTTATTATCAAAACAAGCGATCATTCATATTTTTTTAATAAAATTAATAAATATCACCGTCATTTAATGTTGATTGGCGGACTTATTTTTCAGCTCAAGACTTCTTTTTTTTAATGAGAAATTCCGAATAAATGGGGCTCTCAATGGGGGAAACAGTTTTAATATTAACGTTAAAATTATGGAAATTTCGTTTTAACTTGTTTTTAAGCATAAAATAAAAAGAAAATTTGTCTGTTTGTTGTGTAAGATATAATTTTATTTCATCTCGTGAACTTTAAAAACAGTATTCTCACTCGTGGCTTCGCCACTCGTGAGAATACTGTTTTTAAAGCCCACTCGATGAAATAAAATTTCATCTTACACACAAACAAACAAATATCCTCTATATGATACACGATACTTTTAAAATTCTTTCCTACCGAGATCCGATCAGATAAATGAAATGAACAGAACGAGACCTGATTCTTTGAGCTGAGACTTATTTGTTATAATGTAAATTTAATGCCTGCGTCTATCTATGTCTGTAAATAAATAGAACAATAAGAATTATCAGTATCCATCTAAACGAAAAAGAGACCACATGTCAATATCAATGATCAAAAACCAAATGATGTTATGTTTTGTGTACTGATGATAATTCGCTGAAAACCTTATCTATCGGCGTATCTTTGCCGAACACTGTCCTATGTTTCATTTGCTCGGTTATATTACATTGTTTAACGATTATACAACGATAAAACATTTTATAGCTTGCGATATGATGCGATTTAGTAAATATTACCAACATAAATCAAACTCTACAAACACTTTATCGGGTGAAGAACAAACTTTAAATGGGAGACATTACGCATGCATTTATTTCTGTTGCACAGGCTGAATAATTGTTTATTAAAATAAGATATGATAACAGAAATCTGCAAATTAAAAAAGAGCGAATAATACAATAATGTGTTTATTTTGGAAATTGTGGCGTTGTGGTTCAGATGTATGTCTCTAAAGCAATGTCTGGTTTAAACATAATTGCAAAACAAGTTCTTACAACTTATGAAGAAATATGGTCGTGAACCCAATTAGGCCTCGAACCCATGTTCCCTAGGTTGAGAGGCAGACACCTTAACCAGTAGGCCATCGCTCCCCTTATTAAGCAATGTTTATAGGTTAAATTGCTACAGGGGTCACAAACATGTCTCCCATGAGACACCAGTACTGTTTCGTTTGAAGGAGCAGGCTCGACAGTGATCCAAAATGAGCTTTATTACAATCGAGCCCGCCCGAAATAACAGAAACTTAAATGAACAATTAGTTTACTTGATTTTGATATAGTATAAATGTTCATATTCTCAGGTGTCGTTTTATAAATGTTCATGTTCTCAGGTGTCACTATATTACTCTCACTGATGGTGTTTCTGTTACTTGTTGCCGAGACAATGCCTCCAACATCAGATGCTTTACCACTTATAGGTATGATTAAATGTTATATAGGTATGATACAATGTTATTATAGGTATGATACAATGTTATTATAGGTATGATTAAATGTTATTATAGGTATGATTAAATGTTATTATAGGTATGATAAAATGTTATTATAGGTACAAAAAACTGAACCAGTTCCAATTGATTTGATACTCACAATTACATATTCATTGTAAGTCAATACTAAAGTTATTAGTACTGAACAGTGACTTGCAAATATGATCATTGATACGTGTGTAAAGTGCCAAGTGGATATCTTCTGTGAAATTATAACAAAATGAGGGCTAGTTAATTATAATAAGACTGCTTCACTATTCTTCGAATGGAGCTAAAAATAGAATGAATGATTAACTCATTTTGCATACCTATTTCAGGTATTTATTTTTGTTGTATCATGGTGATGACGTCATTGTCTGTGCTGTTTACAGTGGTTGTGTTGAATTTTCATTACCGTGGACCAGAAACACACGTTATGCCCTCATGGGTATGTAAATCATATTTCAGCATACATTTATGTAAGTCGTAGTGTTATTGTTTAAATTTCATTTGTTGTCAAGCAAACTATAAAAGCTAAAAGTAGCACTAAGTCTTATAATTGTAGAAAGTTTGAGCCAGCGTAAGGAAAACACACACAAGAAAATTGCCTTTGGTTCATATGTTGCGCCTATAATCGTGATGTATTCCATGCCGATTTATTAACGTGAAACATGTAGAAATATTTAAGTGTTATATATATATATATTCCTTTTCTTATGTAGGTTAAATTCGGGATAAATGTAGTGCTTGCAAAGGCGCTATGTATGACCCGGCCGACAACAGAAAAACGACGTCAAAGTATACTACAGAGACATCGCCTTGGAGATGTTCAGATGCACGAAAGAATGACAACTCATTCATTGCTTCCAAATTTGCTCGAATCGGAAGAGGAGTATCGCGCATGTGCAGAAAATGGCCTTTGCGGACTGAATACTTTAGGTGCATCTGATTGGATACGCCAAGCACAGGCGTGTAACATTAACATGACGCAAACAAGCGGAGACGATACGGGCAGTACGAAATACGTAAATGACAAATCTGAATTTGCAAGTCCAAACCTTGTTGCAATTCTTGTAGAACTCAAGAAAATAACCTCGAAATTAAAAGAGGACGAGGAAGACACAAATATTAAAAATGAGTGGAAATTTGCAGCAATAGTGATTGACAGGTTGTGTTTATGGATATGTTTGGCTGCTACGCTTATTTCGACGATTGCAATCTTAAGTTCAGCACCGCATTTAGTTGCTTAAAAGCAGAGTAGGAAGCAATAATTTCCTACCTATATTATAGAAAGAGACTTGCCAGTAATGAAAGTCATTTAACGTCAGATGAAAATACAGCAAAACCTTTACTTCTGAAGCAGTGTGTACTAAACGCATGAGTGTTTGTAAACTAATTGTATTCATGCTAGCTTTATCTTGATATCTTGTAATTTGTGTAAATGACACCACAAATTGAGAAAATGTGCTGAACCGTACTGAATCATGTGAATAGTTTCTAAGATTGAAAAGTGCTTTGAGAAGGGACGGTAAAAAAGAATGATTATATCTGTGGCATACAAATAATCATACTCCATGTACAAAATACACAAACATTTCTGAATGAAATGACATACAGCCTAATGTTGGTTGTTCTTTGAGTAAAGATACTTAGATACTTTTAAAGAACTGCAAAAAGTCTGTGGAGAAGGACATTATAACATTTTACTATAAAGGCAGACAAACGGAATACATTGTAAAAAGTAAACGTCCTATTTTGTCAATGATTAAAAAAGCATGCACACTAGTATTATGGGAATGACATTAAATGTTGTGCACCCTATATGTATCATGCTTTAGGTAGTACAGTATGTCAGGAAGATAATTGTACCGTAATGCAGATTTTTGTTGTAAATCAAATTTTTTGACAACAAAATTTCCATGTCATCTTTATTTATCATGAAATAAATGTATTTAGTATTAGAGAATGAAAAGTGTTTTTCACTGTTCAAAGCACATGAAAAGACGCTAGTAAATAAGATGACGTAAGACGTTCAAAGGCCATACAAACTGCACATTCAAAAGTAATTCAAGTTTATACTCAAAATGGCGTTGCAACTTTTAACTTTGATAGTAAAATAATGATATTTGGATCAAAAATATGTTTAACAGTGCAAAACAAATCGATTACTTTCATTCGCACGCGTAAGTTAACAGTGGTCGTTGAATAGGAGTTTCATTCTATTTGTAAATCAGGAAAATCTAAATCAACCAGTCAACCCAGTGATAATGATTGATAATATGTTATGTTAACTACTGTTTATACCAATGAGATTGCATATATCTAAGATAATATAATGATCTTTATTATTACAGGACTAGTAAATCTATATATAGTGAACAAGTTACATTGACCTCGACTGTTGATGAAATTTAGATCGCCTTATTTAGCCGTCTATAATTTTTTAAAATAGAAAATCAATTGTAAATTGCTTTACGGCATATGATTCAAAAACAACGTGACGTGAAATGAATCATATATTCCGGTGAATATCTCTATCTATGGACCTGGCTACTGTGACATTTACCGAGGTCGAATCATCATACAATATTTGTATGACAGTGCACCTATTTCCTAAGTAACATACAGCCAGCCCATCTATACTTTTGTACTTTGATACCTCTCCGGTAAATTATCACCAAAATAACCCTTTGACGTTTTCCAGAAATGTTATATAGCAGTTATCAAGAAAAATACTTGACAAGCATTCCGCCTTTCGTTTGTACCCCGTGCTTAATAACTTAGATGCGACCATTTGCTCCAGGCCTATTACTACTAAGTGAATAATTTAGAATAAGAGAGTTAGGGCAGTTGTTGGAATATTTGTTTGTTATTAATCACGGTCATACTGTAACAATGAATGAAGTGATTTTCTTGATTAAAATGGTAGTTTCTTGTTTTTCACTGGAAACGGTCTGATAAATCGATTTCCTTTACAATCTCTGTTTATGAGTTATGTGAGTAGCTTTTATTCATCCAAATGTTTCGGAAAACTTCTAACTTATCCCTTATTATATCAAACTAGCGATTCCAAGACTAACATATTTAGCGGCCTTCTCCCGTATTAAGATGAGCGAGCGGTTCAACTTTGATACTTGATCATCAATAATAATATAACTGATATTTTAATTAACCCAATCTGAGTTCACAACGGCGAACTTTGACGATAGCACGGAAACTTTCTGTCATCTCCTTAACCTCATAGTAGATGTTGACCAAACTTTACATTGATTATCTTTAAGCACCCATCTATGATGTTTTATATAAATTAATCAAGTATGATGCATATGTTGATCACATGGGCTAAAATAGACTTAACAAGAGTTGTCAGAATAGACAGCACGCTCGACTCATATAAGACTGGAAGCAGTAATCAACGACAAAATTATGGTATAAATACCTCAAATATAATTAACATACTTTTATCCCTATCACGAAAAAAACCCTCAAAATTTCAAACATTTTTGCACTAAACAACACACATGCCATTGAAAGTGAAGCATGAAAAAGACATTTATAAAAGACATTTTCATGTCTGGAGTACTTTGCTTAAGTAATAAGGGTGATAAGAGTTAAAAGACTGTCATATGTATGCAAAAATCAAGTTAAAAGATAACTCTCAAAATGTAGATGCATAAGTTGAATTTGTAAGGAAACTTACTTTAAGACTTTTCTAACCAATATGATATGTGCTTCAATCTTGAAGCTGTCACGTCATTCCTATGATCAAAGACCGTTCCGCATAGGGATTATTGCTCGCATGTACTATTTATGGTAGTTAACATTGTTAATGAATGAAAGTGAATTTTATTCCATTGAAAGAAGTGCACGAAAATCCCGTGCGAATACAATTTGCCCACATCTTGAACAGGCCATGTTAATATTTTTCGATATTTTTTATATTTCCAACAAAAACATACATTATTTTAAATAAGATCAATTTATGTTATCCAAGCACACGGTCTTCTTTCTTTTGAAGAAAACTCGTACTGTATCTGTTACTTACACCTGAAAATGACGTGTACATATACAATATTTATGTATATACCGTCAAATGATTGAAAAACATGTATAATTCCAAAGTGGTAAACCATTTTATCTACATGCATTTCTTTTATGACACCCTGGAGTTTGTTTGAAATGTAGTTTAACCACTTCCAGATAGCTACTTCATTTTATGATATTGTAAACTTGACATGTAATCGTTGATTTTGATGCATTTGTTGAAGACATGCTGAAATAAGGGTCATATCCAGATGCCAGTAATCGTCTTAGCTCTGCCTGACAAAACTTTATACAACTAACAGAATACAATGTAGTGCCATATGTTTGGTATTTAAAGATTTGTATCATTGCTTCATTTCTTCAAATAAAATAGCTCAAACAAGGGTGACAAATTCAATATAGTAAATGTATATTTATGTACTTCCTATGATTAATTTATTGCTCGCATATACACGTTAGATACAATTAACAAGAAAAATTTGAATTTTGAACGGATTTTAACACTTTTACTCATTTCAATGGGCAAAACAAATTGTCTGTAACTGAAAGTATGTAAACAACGTCACAAAAGACAGTACAGTACATCTCATTCAAGCTATGTTTTAGTACTTCAATAAACATTAGCGAATTAATTGTGATTGTCTTTCATTTAAATTTCACATTTTAAAAATCCTGAATTCAAATCTTGATATTTGAAAAAGTCACTTAAAATATGAGATTTGGCCATTTTCTTCAGGAATATTATCAAACTAACGTTGACAGTTCTTTCCCGGTCGCTGATTCTTTTCCGTCTTTCCCATATAACACGCAGTCAAAAACCGGAAGTCCCTTCAAAGCGCGAGACCTTTCTAGCCTCCAATGGTAAGTGTTCTGTATTACGCTGAGCACGCAAAACACGCTGCCAACAATAAGCATGACCATGGCTGTAATGGCGGCAGCTGTTGTGAATTTCAGAATGACATACAGAATCAAAGCTGAAATAACAAATAATAAATATGCAAATATTTAAATAATAAGAACACCAGAAAATTATTATGTTTGACATGTAGTAAATGGTCATTAAAGATGAGTACATTTTGTTATTTATTTTGTCTCTAACATAACAATATTATAAGCTGCCTTCACTGGTTTACTAATTGGGTAAGATATCAGGTCTGTTAACCCTTAATTAGTCAACAGTATAGAGTCAGACTTGTATGTAAGTCGCAAGTATAGAGCCAAAAGACTCTGTTAGTCATTTGCCAGAGTATAATTATGCTAATGCCTGATCAATGCCAGTAGCCAATGAGGAAAGGAAAAATTTGTTTTGTTTATTTTGGGTTTAACGTCACATCGACACAGTATAGGTCATATCGCGACATTCCAGCTTTACTGGTGGAGGAAGACCTCAGGTGCCCTTCCGTGCATTATTTCAGGCACGAACGGGCACCTGAGTAGAACCACCGACGTTCCTAAAGGAAAAGTCAACTACAAAATTTCAACATTTTGAGGTAAAATAATTATATAAAATTAACTTACAAATGAGGAACACTGGGATTGAAACAAAGAAACCGGAAACAGTTATATCTCTGCTGCTTGAACACTCCTTTAAATATTTCAACGCCCTGGAAAACAAACAATAGTTAAACACATAATTATTCTATAAAAGAATCATATATAACAAATGTCCCAAGGGTAAATTTGTATACTTATTTTCCTAGACAAATGATTGTTGTGATAAATGACAATATTAGACTAAATGAATAAGACTTTATATATTTCTGGTGGGATTTTTAACTATCATACGGTAAATTACCAGATTAACCGACGATGTGCTCCTCCCTTATATACAAGTGACAACTGAGTAAAGTGCGATTACGTATTTATAAATAAAATTAGGCAAAAACTTAGATATTACATGTATACACGCGAAGCTTAATATGGGAAGAAGGTCATATTTTTACATTGAAAGTAAGTACAGACTACAATTTATTTATAGTTTATCAAATCACATTTCAATTATTGAAAGTCTTTTATTTTATTTTTATCTTAAACGAATGAACAAATGTGACAAAAGATTCAACTATTTTACATTGTAAAGACAAGTATGAAGACAGTTTATAAGATGGAGAGCTCTGTTTATTGTAACATTACACCATGTACTAAACTGACACATCTCTCATGGATTTTTGTCAGCAGATAATTGTCAGATGATGTAAAAATATTTTCTCATTCTTACATGCTAGTATTTATTAAGACAATATTTAGTGAAAAAAGAAACTGCAATACCTTTCATCTCCTAAATTCAATTTTAATAGTTTCACAACAATCAGACACTGAAGGGAGCAGACGAGCAAGCATGTAATATCACAAACCACAACAAACATTGACAACGCTGTTGCAACTTCCGTCACAGTCATATATGTCCTGTTTACGTCAACAAAAGTTTCATGTGTCACAGAGTCACGTGACACGGCAGCATTATTATCCTCAGACAGCGAGACAATCAGCAAAATGGAGAGTAATCCAAGCACCAATGACAATATACAAAGAAGGAGAAGTATTAACAAATTCAGCTTTATTTCCTCATATTTTGAGCTGCTCTTGTCTTTCTCTATTAAATCATCATCTAATATATCACTGAGCTTCTCTTGTGACAATGTTCCACTACGCCTAGAAACAAAACTTGCTGGACGGCTCAAATTTCCGGTTGACCTTAGACTGGCATGATGGAGAACCAAGGAGCTAAGTCTTGAACCTGCCGACTCGTTAAGACGACAGGGCTCTTCAGATTTCTGCAGCACAGCCTCAATAAGCTCCCTGTCTTGAAATTCGGACATGTCAGAACGATTTAAATCCATTAGATGGTTTATAATACTCAATAGCCACCCTTCTTTTCTTTTCTATTCTGCAATTTAGTTAAAATACATATCAAACTTACAACTACAGTATCCTACGAGCTTTTAACTAATATTGAGCATGAAAATGATTTGCATTGATAAAATATGTAACTGATAAGGCATTGTCAATATTTAGCAAGCTTCAGAGAAACATCAAAGGCACGCTTTAGTTGTAACAACTTAATGGGCATATTTTTCTTAGCAACTTCGTGTATTTTACAGTATTACCGCAGACAAAATTAAAGCAACCACTTCAGATATTGATGGATTTACTTGGTTTAAAATAAAAAGAAAACATGTTAAATAATTATCATGTAAATACGTTGTTCCTTTGTTCTTAAAACAGCCAGCGAATAATCGTGTGCTTATTAATACGATTGCGTTATATATGCGTTATTATTTGGTGGCTGGTTTTGAACACATTTGCATGGTGGCTAATTTGATACATTGCGTGTTGCGTTGTCGATAGCGATAACGCAACCTATATCGTTGTCGCGCTCTCGTCTTGTCGTCCTGTCTCTAGCGAAGCACGCCAAACGGCGCGTTTCTTGTGGCGCGTTGTCGCGATGTCGCCTTGTCGCTTGGCTTATAAGCCAATTCTTCGATTTGAACCGAGCGACAAAGTGACATCGCGACAATACGCCGCACGACAACGCGCCGTTTGGCGTAAATCGTTAGCGACAGGGCGACAAGACGAAAGTCCGACAACGCGCCGTTTGGCGCTTTGTCCTGTTGTCGCTAGCGCCAACACGACGCACAAAAGTGTCAAATCTATGGTGGCTGATTTGGTATATTGCGCGATACGCATCCTATATCGTTATCGCCTTTTCGTCTTGTCGCTAGCGACAACACGACATGGCGCCAAACGGCGCGTTGTCGCGCTATCGTCTTGTCGTCCTGTCTCTTGCGAAGCACGCCAAACGGCGCATTTTCGCGATGTCGCCCTGTCGCTTGGCTTATAAGCCAATCCTACCGAGCGACAATGTGACATCGCGACAACATGCCGCACGACAACGCGCCGTTTGGCGTACATCGTTAGCGACAGGACGACAAGACGAAAGTCCGACATTGCGCCGTTTTGCGCTTTGTCCTGTTGTCGCTAGCGCCAACACGACGCACAAAAGCGTACCAAATCAGCCACCGTTGAAATCCGCCACCATAAATTTCAGTTTCTCTTTTAAAAAGCTGACATTACTACCGATTCAGTATGACATGAACAAGCACATGTTCGGATAGCTACTCAAAAAAATCTGAGTAAATAATGTTTTAAAGAATGCATTTTATTACATTTTTGAAACATGTATGCCATAAATTTCACGAATTTATGCCTAAACATTGGGGTACATATATATAATGATGCTTCAGGTACAACTTTGTCATATGTAATGAAAATTATAAAGCCTTCAATTTTAGCATAACTTAGTTATATTGTTTGCTGACGGGAAGACGGAGATGTAATTGGCTTATAAAATATTGAAGCATTCATTTACGGATTTGTTACACTTTATAATTATATGTATATAAAATTACGAACACTTAGAAAATGTTTCTCTTTGTAGAGATCATGGGGAGGGGGTGCGCCTAAAAGGGCAATTAAATAAAGTGCTGATGGTATATTTTGAATAGTATACATATATGTTAGCCGGAAGGACTCTGAAAATTAAAAATACCCTTCTTCATCCAATCGCAACTTTTTGGCCCCGGATAATGACGTCGAGGATTTCCAATTGCTTCACTGCTTCAGTTCACTGAAGATTATGTGTGGGCAATCAATATATTTGCGATTTTATTTACACATTTACTTTTAAATTTGATTTTTTTCTGGTTGGGGAATATTTGTCATGAATACACGAGTATGCCTCTTTCAGAAAAACCATAAACCATCATGAGGTCTTTAAGATAGAATACATTGTTAAACATAAACACGTCCAAACACGCACATTCTAAAGAATTAATGAAGTTAAAAGTCATTGATGAGTAAATGTACAATTATTCGTGTTTCCCTAGTGAATTTTATTCGAATGAACGAGTTAAGTGATATCGGGACAATCTTTGTTTCTATGAAGGATCGAGATATAGATCTTTTTCACGAGAAAAAAAATAAACAAAAAACTAAATGATATATTTTTGTAAGTAACGTTCATGTAAAGAAATGTAACCACGTTTCCTGGGTAATGCGGGGACCAACATGTGTTAAAATAATCGTTAATAAAAAGCCCTGCAGTGCGAGTTTCACATAATTATCACATGTGACCAATGTGACTCCAAAACAAAATACTCGACAGTGCGGGGACAGACAGAAGATAACTGAATTAAAGGCTCTCATTTCCCCCTCTACCCTTCTCCGAGATTGAGGGCCGGAGTTACAACTGCCTGATGAATTTTGAACATTCACGCTTCTTGATAGAAATAGTGCCACACTGTGGATAGATGAAAGGTACAGCTAGTGACTGGACCTAGTATGTGACACAGTACACAATGAAATGTAATTTCGTTTGTCCATTGTGAACATGCTTGTTCATCTTTATCCGAAATTTCTACAAACAATTTGTCTTTTCTTATTATATTACACAAATTAAACAAATCAATTAACACACTGACAACTCTTACATTATATCAACATAGGGAGGGTACAAACAAACTTTATTGTTGTTATTTTCAGTTCTGACTTCCGTAACTTTTTATGTAAATTTTATGATTTTTGACGATTTGCTTTGTATCGGTCTAGCAATACTATAAAAACTGTTTGCTTAAGTTAAGCTAAGTTTTCTTGAGAGTATTTTCAATAAATTACCTTTAAACAATGAACAATAATAATCAAATCCGTAAAATTTCCACAACATTTTGTTCTTATCCTACATTTGTATTTTTCATAACAGCACATATATCTCGTGCACTACACTGGCCTGTCATAACTGTAAAACACACTAAAAACCGTTATATATGTTCCATAGACTTCGTGTTTTTCACAGTGACAGATCAGCTCGTGTTTTTACTATATACATTTTGTAATGTATTTGGTAAAAACTATGTTTGGCCGATAAAGTACAATTAAGAGAAATTTCTCAAATTAGCATGGATATATCCTACTAGGAAATATAGAAAATAGTTATCGAGTGAATTTTCGTGCCAGCTTTGAACTTTGTTTTGTTTTTTATTTGCCTATGTTATTGTTCTGGTGCATCGAACTTTTACTACAAGCTCACCTTTCATTTGTGAAGTTTAAAATTGATAAATTCAATACTTTTAGTCTCGCACAAAATAAGCAAGAGCTCCACAATTGAAATGCTCATGCACTGCAATTCTCCTGAAAAAGATCTGTTAATTAATGAAGTTTCAAGTTGACATCTGATTTTCTTATTGAGTTATGTTCGAAAGAAAAATTAGGTATAACATAATGAAAGGACAATAACTTCAAAACTTTGCAGTACAGAACTTTTTTTTTGATGAAGTTAACCAGATATTAAGTTTGAGATTTGGTAACTGAAGTAGTTTCAGTTTATTCTCTTGATTTGGATATCAACTCACGCCTCACGAATATTACCAAGATTTGTGCAGCTCTTCAAAGCCCGTAAAATGCCAAACCGCCTACTGTGATATACATTGCCCTATGTTGAAATTTTGCGACCCATTCTTGTAGCAGTATTTCGTGAAATAAGTTGAGAAAAACAATGATCCCAAATGTGAGAAAAATATTTTCAAGTTAATACCCCAAAAAGTTGTGAAGTTAAGTTCAAAGTCGGCAAACTACCATCTGCTTATTTTTGAATTGTCATATGAAATTGGCAGGAAAGCGCTTCATCGTGCTGACCGTTTGTTTTAGGTCATTCGAGGCTTCAGTATTTGTAGCAAAACTTATCATTCGAGTATTTCCCGCCCGCCTACCCAATTTAAAAATATGAACAGCATATAAATCACTAGTTATTTAGTGTTTTAAGATTTTACTTGGTCATATCAGTGTTAAGGATCGTTAAAATTTGACGGCTTTGATAAGGTAATAGTTGTTTTACGTTAACTCAGTGGTTGATGAGAAATACACAAAACTTTCATGACATTTAAATTAAATGTCAAGACTTAAACAAGAGGGCCATGATGGCCCTGAAATCGCTCACTTGTATATAGGCCCCGGGGCAGGGCCAATTTTAAACAGGGGCTTTTATTTGAACAAACTTGGTAGACACCCATTCGAAGATGTTTCATGATAAATATCTAAGCTCTAGCTCTTTTGGGTTTTTAAAAGAAGATTTTTTTACACATATAGGGAAATCAATGATCCTCAGACGGGCCAATTTTGACCACAGGGCTTTTATTTAGACACTCACTTGAAGATATTTAATGCTTAGTATCTTAACTCTAGCTCTTTGGGTTTTTTAAAAGAAGATTTATTTTTTTACAGTTTTTACTATACTATAAGGAAAATCAATGACCCCGGGACGGGGCCAATTTTACCCCAGGGCCCTTTTTTGAACAAACTTGGTAGACACCCTTTAAAAGATGTTTCATGCTAAATATCTTAGCTCTAGCTCTTAAGGTTTTTTAAAAGAAGATTTTTTAAAGTTTTTTCTATATACATAAAAGGAGAAACAATGACTCCCTGGGGCCAGGCCATTTTTGACCCCAGGGCTTTTATTTGAACAAACTTGGTAGACACCCACTAGAAGATGTTTCATGCTTAACATCTAAGCTCTTGCTATTTTGGGTTTTTTAAGTGATTTCTAAGTTTTTACTATATACAAATAAGGAAAACCAATGACCCCCGGGGCGGGGCTAATTTTAACCCCAGAGCTTTTATTTGAACAAACTTGGTAGACACTGACTACACAATGTTTCATGCCAAATATTTAAAATCTAGGTCTTTCGGTTTTTTAAAAGAAGATTTTTTAAGTTTTTTATTTCGGTGGCCATGGCAACCAGAGTTCTGCATGGACTTAAATTCTTTGAACAATTTTTAAAGTTGACTACCAAAGGAGCATTCCTGTGAAGTTTGGATGAAATTGGCTCAGCGGTTTATGAGGAGATGTCGTTTAAAGTAAAAGTTTACGAGCGGACGGACGCTGGAAGAAAAGCGATCACAGTGTGAGGTGAGCTAAAAAGGCAAAAGAAAGCTAGGCATAAAGATTTTGAGCATTTGCTTTTTACATATATAAGCTTCTAACCACAAGACGGTGTCATTTTAGACCGAGATAAATTATTTAAAAAAAATGTATATGGTTTCCATGTGGACCGTGTGGAGGACCACTAGCCAATAAGATTTAAATAAGCTTTCATGTACACGTATAATTATACACCGTATACGGGTGACCGTGGGGATCCAGAGGCATTATTTATGTAACATTTGTAAAGGATTATATGGTCCGGTAGAAAACTAATGTACCGGAGTCTCTTGGTGTTTTCTTTTGTGAACGAAGTGACCTACAGGGTTTCAATAATTCTAATATGGGGGGGCATGATTTATACAACTTTGTAGAGCTTAACGCGTCGGACTAGTAATCTAACCAGGTTAGGGGCAAGCCGTTGTTTATGTGAGCAAGAAACTACAATCATTGCTTAGTACGGATTCGAGAGAGTTTCAATAAGCTTATAGTTTCCAACACAATCGAACTTAAATAAATTCCTACGAACTAACTTTGTAGAGCACAAAATCCATGCGCATTATGTGATATATGTTTATGCTGAGTAAACTTTTGAATCTTGAAAATCTGTTATAAAAATCATGTAAACTAGGGGACAGAAAACAATCATAAAACTTCTGTAACAGTTCGCCTAAGGATCATTCTTAGCAGATTGCATTATTTCTCAATCATTAAAGGTTGTTATAAATTAATAAAGGTTCAAAAAGAAATCAGACCATTTATGATACAGATTTTAGCCTTGTTCATAATCATGTTTAACACCTTATCACATTTTTTTAAATAAAGTTGATGTGGATTTTTTCCATACCAACAATAGAATTCATATTCACTAGTTTTTTTATGATTAACTTCTAGCAAAGTAAAATCGCATCAAAAGATCACTTGCCAAAATCAAAATACATTAAATTTAACATAATCAAACTGTAATTCGCAAAGTTTTTTTTGTAAGAACACCCTGTAATTATGTCTGAACTTATTGAATACAGAAGTGGCAGAAATGAAAAACTAATTTCCTAATATAGCTTGTTTTTGTTCATCATGTTCATCAAACTACATTGAACGTCTTTGTTTTGTTTTAGTAAAACCACTTTAAATCGTATTTCGTTTATAGCAATAATAGAGTAATATGAACTCTGGCCGAATGAAATTCACAATTACGAGGGACATATTTTAATAAGTGGCAACAACTCAATTTAACCATGATTTGCATGTCAGAGTACATGTATAAAATACCGTTAGATTTTCTAACTAACAGACTATTTTCGCACGATTTGCACGTGCAATAGGATTTTAGTTAGTCATTACAATACATGTGGTTTTGTATACTGGTTCTAAACATGGCCGAGTTGCATTGTAATTTGAGAGAGGAGCAGAGATTTTTGCAAAATTCGTGATTTATTGGGTCATCAGAAATAAAAACGTTTCTATAATTAGTTTATGAAATAAAGATGCAAGGAAAGTGTGCGCCCGTTGGATCCCGCATTTGCTAACTTCTGACGGGATGGAAAAGCAATAGGCCTTTTTTAGGTAAAAGATCGAGACCCTAGACGGCCGAGAGAATGTGCCACTTGGGATAAAACGTCGAGGCTTTATTTATTTTTTTCAGTCCGACAATAACCTAAGTAATAAATTGTAGGTAGGCGAAAACAGCGATCGCCCAGTTTTTGCTAGCGTTAAGAGTTCAGTACGCTCAGTTCAGTATTAGTGGCCCGTGTGGCTATGCCTGAGAGGGATAAGTGTCACTGGAACATTTTACCCTGACCATGTTTTCACTGCTGTAGTTAATCACTACATTACAAAGAACCCAAGGTCCGGGGTGCGGAGGATGACAATGCACCTGCGCACCAGTCAGTCTTGGTTCAAGCATATTCAGAGGAGCAGAAAACTGAGGTTTTAGCAGAAAACTGAGGTTTTGCTACATCCCCTTTATAGTTCTGACCTCTTTACCTGCGACTTAGGTCAGATATTGCCTTTCACGGCCGAGAGCCATCGGAAGCGCTCTCTACCAGTGTATAAACAGTCTACCAAAAATGCTTTTTCGGATGGATTTTGAGGCAGGAAGTGTGTAGATGGTGAATATTTTGAAGGCGCTGCCGTTAAAATATCCTACTGGTATAATACATGCATATATCATTAATTGGAAATACATTAACATACTATGTCCTACATCATAGGTTATTTAAATAAGGTGAGCAGGCCATATTGCTGATCATCTTGCTGAGTAACCGTAAGGCGTTTGCACGGGGTAAAGAAAGATTCCTTGAGGAGAACGGGTTAAATGACCAAAGAATCATAAATCCATTCAGTTCTTCCGCTGTAATAGACTAAGCAGAACACACTTTTTATTTGTTTTTTTTATGCAACTTAACAACTTTTATTTCAGTAATAATTTAGAGATCAGTATCTTAATTTTTGTTTGTTTTTGGATAGGTTTGTATACAGGTTTGATGCAATGTTACATTGGAAGTTTGGGAGATTTTAGGTAAGAAATTGGGGGGGGGGGCTATTTCCATCGGGAATCTATACAAGGAACATCATTCTGTGCTAAAGGGAGATAAAAACAAAAATAAAATCATGTCATGACATTTTATTCTAAACATAAAATATGGAGTTATCACAAAAATGCCTCCAATGCCTCCATTTTAAAAGCAATTGAGTTATATGAAAAACAGACTTAAATGTTCCCTAACAAAATATTTCAGGTATATATATAAAATCCATAAACTCAATTACCTGGTTTAGTGATCATTTGGCACATACATGACACCAATAATAAAAAATTTACATACATCATTGGTTCTATTCAGAAACTTTGGTGTGATTTATACAATATAAAATATTCTACCAATTACATGTATTAACAACTTCAAATTTAGTTCAAGATACACTTTCAAATGTTCATCTAAACTTCTTGGCACAGATAAAGTTAACATGAAAGCTCTGTTGATTGTATGTACAGCCAATCCAAATCAATAAATGAAGAATTATACCAAAACTAGTGTACAGAACCTTTTCCTGGCAAATCCAAAAATCATTGTAATATTTATCAATAACATTATGTTTATATTAAACTATCACAGGATGTTATGATTTCTTTTTTGGGTCAGAGTTTTGAAGTATAAGAAGCTGTGATTTGATCCATGCTGAAAGAACACTTCTACTTGTGTCATCTTCTATAAAATTCTGAATATATGGATGGGCCTGAAATAAATAAATAATGTTCAATCATTGAAAATTCAAAAGAAATACATTTTATATACAAGAAGTTCAAATTACTAAATGGTTAATCAACAAATAAACACTATGATAATATATGTGAGATGGCTATAGCTTGCAAACTGTATTATAACATTAGACATCAGGTGGAGGCAAATCTCAATACACAAATGAACTTAGATGAAATTTACACATTTTCTTGCTGGAAAACATATTCTTGCCAAAGATCTTTTACATTTTAGCAAATCAATATTAAGATTGGCTTCATAACTATATAATTTTCCTTTAAAATGCTTATTTTAAAGTTACGGAGCGGTATAATGAAATATATGGATTTTGATGGTACTAAATGAGCATTATCTCCACATTATCATATTCATTTATGCTTTGTAATTATATAATCTAACTAACTAATTGTAAAATATACAAGTGGAAATTATTTTCTTTAAAATGTTTTGCAAGACCATAGCTCAAAACCCCATCAGTGAATTATTATGGAATGTAATGACCTTCATTTTCATACTTGTATACACATTCATGCTAAGTTCTGAGAGGATTGGACCCAACAAATGTAACATATGATCTGGGTAGGACAGATGGGTGAATCAATGCACAGATTATCAGAAGAGGAAAATTAAAACATCATTAATCATCACTCATTAGCAAAAGGCTTTTATTCAATTTGTTTTTGTTGTAAATTTTCAAATTTATTCTCAGTGCAATAAAAAAATAAACAAGTTGTTTGTTTATGTGTTGTAAATCTACTTGTTATCCTGTAAGACATATACATACCAATAATTCTGGATGAGTGATCCTCTTCTGTGGGTCTTTATGTAAACTAAAATTAACCACAAACATACATATAATCACCAAAATATACATACACATTTTTTTTTACATTGTAGCAATGTAGTTTGAATTATATGATAAAATTGCATTACAGTTAATGGGCAACCAGGAAAACATCCCATTGCCAGTAAAGTTATGTAGCCGCTCTCTTTCATCTGCCTTAAACTCTAAACAATTAAAGTTAACACTTCTCCTTCACATTGTGAAATTTATAGAAAATATATACAAACCATTTAGCCACAAAATCACATAAAGCTGGTGAAAACTTTTCCTCCGACAATTTTGGTGACTTCTGCAATAACAAAGAAACAAAGGTTGTGGAAATACTTTGTTAGAACAAAAGTTTCCATAAAACAATAAACATTTGAAATAGTTTAAATATCTACAGCAATGATACAAAATCTCAAAACTAACAAGTGATTTGCAATTTTAAATGAAGATTTTTATGTATTGTTATTCAAATTCAAACTTTTATAGACATGTGTGTATCTATGCTTAAATAAGATAAATAAAACAAGACATGTCAGGATGGAAGACAATCCACAAGGATGGATGAGTGTGGATGAAGGAATGTAATCACAAAAGCTTATCTTTAACATGTTGTGGTTCATTTTTATTTAAATGTATCTATTAGAACTTAATTGAGGTGAAAACTTGAAGTTTATCTGAACCACCTTAGAACTAGCCAGTACATGAGTTGTATGAGAAAATATGGTTGTAACCCCAGTAGTAGGTCTATAACTAAACAAAAATCCCATGATGTGTTGAGAGGTTTTAACCTTTGGTAGTGTTACTTTAAACATTATATACATGTAAAAACATACCTCTTCTAGAATAGTATTGCATAATCTTAACACCTGAAAAGTAAGCGTAAAATCTTAGTATCTTTCAATTGACTTATTTAAACTTTTACCAACTAATTAAATGAAAGAATACATCATTGATATATAATATATATTGATATAGTAAAAATTTTATGTTGGATTGAATTACAAAGAAAAAAAAAGGACTTGTAATCAGAAGTTGACAAATTCCCACAGTAGAAACCATGACCCTTGAATTACAACAATGGACTTGGTCACTATAAAAAGTGTTACAAATTTTTATTTGTTAATACAAATTGGAAAATAAAAAATTTACAACAAAAAAAGTGTTACATGAATAAAGATGGTGAACAAGTGTGCAAAGTTTCAAAGCCATATGTAAATGGACCTTGAAAATATTTGAGGTATTACAAAAACTTTAACATAAGTGGTTACGCCGAAGTGGGCGCAGACGCCGACGCTTGGGTGACTACAATAGCTCTACTTATTCTTTTATTCTTGTCGAATAGTCAAGCTAAAAAGTATGCATGAATGAATGACAAAATATGACCAAACTCTTCTGTACTATTTTGACAAAAATGTATAAACTATACTTTTCTAGCTGTCTTAATCTTACATCTTCATGTGACAATTTTTCTTAATGTACCACAAAATTATGCCGACTTATTTGAAATCCATCTATGAAAGATAAAGTCATGGACTGGACATAACTGCTTATTTACAAATATATCATGACTTTAGACTTAAAACTTTGAAATTTGAAGTGGATACCTGGTTCTTGCATGTCACATGTTGTCACCATGTCCAAAAAATTTATACCCTGTTATTTTAAAATATATCAAACAAGAGCTGTCGGTAGGACAGCACGCTCGACTATTCTAAGTGCTTGATAGTAAAAGAACCTTGATAATGTTAAATTTTTCAAGTTCACAAAAGGGCTAATTTTTTTTATAAATTCATGTTATAGGCCTAAGAGAGAGTCTAATTATACAGTAATGCCACAAGGGTGTTTTATTGAGTATAATAATACTAATACCTATGAATAAATAAATTTGACAGAAAAGGTACAAAGGCTTGTTATTTGGATGTTTTATCAAGTAAATCACTGCTTTATTATTATGAATGCATAAAATTGTCCCAAAAAAGGCACAAACCCTTCAGTAGTTATTGAGATAACAGCTTACAAGCAAAACTTTACCATGAATTTCTAAGTTGAAAAAGGGGAGAAAAGTCAGCCTAAATGCTAGATAGAATTATGGATCTTTGTCAGTGACCTACAATTACGACCCTAAATGCATATGTGAAGTTTTAAATAAATATCTTTAATAGTTATTGAGATATGTAAAACTTGCATGTAAACATTAACCAAGAGACTAAGTAGAAAAGGGGATATGAATCAGCCTTAATGCAAGATAGAGTTATGGAACTTGGTCAGTGACATACAATCATGACCCTCCAATTATGACCCTAATTGCATGTGTAAAGTTTCAAGTAAATATCTTTGAAGACCTTTAATCTTTAACCAAAATTTCTAAGTTTCAAAGGGGCTAATAATTCTGCAAATATTTTAGGCAGAGTTATGCAATTTTGCAAACCGATGTACATTGTTACTATAAAAAAGTATGTTAAATTTCAATTGAATATCTCAAGCAATCATTGAGATATTTGACTTTACAAAAAGACTTTAACCAAAATTTCTAAGTTCCAAAGGGCCATAATTCTGTCAATAATGTAGGCAGAGTTATCCAACTTGTCAATCTGATGTACCTTGTTACTATAAATAAGTATTGTAAGTTTCAATTGAATATCTCGAGCAATCACTGAGATATTTGACTTTACAAAAAACTTTAACCAAAATTTCTAAGTTAAAAAGGGGCATAATTCTGTCAATATTGTAGGCAGAGTTATCCAACTTGTCAATCTGATGTACCTTGTTACTATAAATAAGTATTGTAAGTTTCAATTGAATATCTCAAGTAATAATTGAGATATTTGACTTTACAAAAAACTTTAACCAACGCAGACGCGGACGCTGACGCCGGGGCGACTACAATAGTTCTCATATTCTTCGAATAGTCGAGCTAAAAATGACAGAATAACTGACCAGAATAACTGACCAGACACTACCATCAATGCACTTTTATGAAAAAATTGTTTGATGAGTTTTAATGTGTAAGTGTGACCTATAAGCTAGAGACCCTATTTCTGTGCACACACATCATCATTATGTCAAACAAATTTAAGCATAGTTTCTATTATGAGTTAACTTACATTGACGCTTCCCTCTTCAAACATCTGAAATGAAAACAACAAACTAGAGTTACTACACTGACATTCCTTACATCTATCTATACTCTGCTTGATATTTTAACATTGCAGGAATTTTTATTACACAAAGAGAACAATGAAATATAGTTATCTTTCTTGAACATTGACCTACAATTCTGACTCTTTTTAGAATTTATGAAGTTTTCAATGAGTATTGCTATAGATTTTATCTCCAAGAAAATTTTTTACCATGAATTTCTTATGTTCAGTCAAAATCTAGCTTCAACTAAATAAACCAAGTGGGCTAAGGGGAAGAACTGATTCAATTTAAACAAACTTATAAAAGATATACATAAGACAACACTACCTGGTTTACTACCGGGTATTTATGATTTCATTATACATGTATTGTGCTAACTTTAACTTACATTTTCAAAAGGAAACCTCCCTGCAGCAAGCTGGAAATAAAATTTATCATTCTTTGTTATATATACAAACACTTGCATGAAAATTAAAGAAGAATGGAGATTGAATAAAAACTGAATGATATTTCAAATCATTCAAAAAATTCATTAAACATTTCATGAAATTTATAGGAATCATGCTGCAAAAGCGGAAATAAATAAGATAGAAACTTGCCCAGTTCATGGCATTTGCACTGGTAAGTTTAGTATGTTATTGGTAGAGATAAAACTTAAGACATATCCAGTTTTATAAAACAGGTGCATACAGACAGACAGATACAGACAGACAGATGCACAGACATTACACTTAAATAGACTGGGGGCATTGACTTTGTTATTCAGAATAATTCTATTTTATTCTGTAGTTCTCTTTTGTATTCTTTACTGTTAGTTGGTTTTCTCAATCTCTCTGACTGACAAGGAGGATATGCCAGTGCATAAAAAACTCATAATAAGATCTGTCCGCACGGCAACAAGCTCCACTATCACAAATATGATTGTGGAAGAGAAATAGATCCTTAAAATTTCAATATTGTTCTAGCATTAGCGGACATCAACCTATTCAAATCAATCACCTCATATAATGTAACTCCTAAACTCCAGACTTCTGACGGGGCACCATAATGTTCAGCTTTTATTCTCTCTGGCTGCATGTAAATATATAAACAACTATAAAACATTATGTACACAAAGTTTTTCATTGGGATGGCAACAAATCTTTAGAATTTAAATGATAATGTGATAATGATAATGTGATAATGATAATGTGATAATGATAATGTGATAATGAAACAACAAATTCTGTAAGCTTGAAAGTAAAACAAGATGGCTATAATGTGTAAACTATTATTATAACATAACCCGCATTTTTCCCTATTGAACATAGAAGAACCAAAAGTATGTGTTATTATGCAATAAAATCACTGTTGACGTTCTATATTCAGACATGTGACATAATCATTATACACTTGACGTAACCACTAAAAAATGTGACACGCTGACAATAAGTACGGCAATTTAGCTTAATATCCGGTATGGCAGCATTTATTTGTTGATTTGTTGTGTTAGTATCGAAATAAGTTCAAAGTGTAAAAACAACCTAAACATTGCGAGCAACACGTCGTATAAATATGGTGATCATTTCTGTGAAATAGTTGTAAAATCTGACTTGAAATAACAAACTTATGGGCTGGACACGATTTTGCTGCAAGGTCATGCTGTGACCTTGACCTTCAAGGTAGCGACACAAATGTTGCGCACGACATGTCGTCTTGATATGGTGATCATTTCTGTGAAATAGTAAACTCCGACTTCAAATAACAAAGTTATTGGCCGGACACTATTTTGCTGCAAGGTCATACTGTGACCTTGACCTTTAAGATAGCATCCCAATTGCTGCGTGCGACATGTTGTCTCAATATGGTGATCATTTCTGTGAAATAGTTGTAAAATCCAACTTCGAATAACAAAGTTATGGGCCGGACACGATTTTGCTGCAAAGTCATGCTGTGACCTTCAAGGTAGTGACCCAAATTTTGCGCGCGACACATCGTCTCATTATGGTGATTATTTCTGTGAAATAGTTGTAAAATCCAACTTCAAATAATGAAGTTATGGGCCGGACACAAATTCGGGACATACTTACGGACGTACTGACTGACTAACGGAAATTTTTCGGGGAGCATAAAAAGTTAAATGAGTAATTAAGCAAAACATTTTGATTTTTACAAACATTTTATAAGAGTAAAAATTTACTTACAGCCATGTATGCATTTGTTCCCACATGACTCTTTGTAATTGATTCAACTAACTGAAAATAAAAGAATAGAAACATGATGTCTGTTTTATATCTCAACTGTCTGAGTGATGCAACTTTTATACCATGCTGTAACATGTAACAAGCGCAGGTCTAGCTCAATGAAGCTACAAAACAAGATTGTAAGTATGGCTCTAGATCATTCATATATTAAATGAAAACAAAGCAAACGGGAATAACATGAATTATAAATCTAAGACAAACATTTATCTGTATTAGTTGGTAATGCCGACATATTATACACATAATAGTTGTACGCTGTAACTACATGATGAACATGTTTTGGTAGCTAACTTACTTGAGTGCTGACTCCAAAATCACACAGCTTCACAAAACCATCTGTGTTGACTAGAATATTTGATGGCTTAATGTCTGAAATATAACATTCAAATAAAGACATTGCTCTCTTTTCCAAAAACAATGCTTTTTGACAGTAAAGGACAACTAGACAATTTTAAATACCCAAATACCAACCCTTAGTGGAAGATGCCTTTTCAAGGCTGTTAACCATTTACAAATTTACACCCAAGAGAACAGTCAATTTAAAAAAAATCAATTTTTATATATAGGGTATGATAAATATAAAGTCAAACAAGACAATGCTAAATATCAACAACTTAACCTGTTGTTTGTAGTTTCAGATGATTGACTATAACTTAAACTTAATAAATGTCCCAGGAATATTGTCAAATTGACCCAAATCTATAATTTAAATAATTTTATCAAATATCCAACTTCTAGATATCTAAAATTCTTGGGATGATGTTTTTGTCTTTTTTCTACATAAATGCTCTTTTATGCTCTTTCATATATAAAGGTACAAACCTCTGTGTAATATCTTGAGACTCCACATGTATATTAGACCTTGTACCATATTGACAGCCATACGGCCAAGTATCGGCTCCGGAATCTGACCATAATTATCCAATGACCCGCCTGTAAAAATTCAGTGCATTATAAAGCTAGATAGAGACTCTATCTCAAGTAGTTTAAGTTTCTTTATGTTACACTGTATATTTCCATGATAGAAAGCTATCCGGCTAGCCTACAGTATACCAAACAATTTTAGGTGACTATACCTGTCTACATAGAAAGTCAATTATAACGTAGACAGTTTGTCTTACCATATAATAATTTCTTTAGGTTTTAGCTTTGAATACTTTTGTAACTTGATTATTGTTTGGATTTTATGCCAATTAAAGAATTGGGCATGCTGCTACACAGATTCATTAAGAGTCCTTACCTCTGAACAATCTGTGCTCAATATAAATGAAAATATTTACCATCCATGAACTCTGTGCATATTGAGATCCTATTCTCTATAAAGAATGCACCATAAAATCCGATAATTGATGGAGAATGACACTGAAATGGAATTCAAAAACATAAATTTATAATAATCAACAAAAGCCACTGCCTATATGGAGACACTCTCTAATTTTTTCTTATTTCTAAAGTCAAACAAATCAGAGGAAGAATATTGTAATAAAGTGTACTCCTACAAAACACATTTTTTGTAGCAAATAAAATTCAAATTTCATATTTGACCTTGATGGTCTAGGTCAAGTAAAGGTCAATGTCATATCAGAATAATTCAACAATGTCAGTTTGTTATATATGTTCTTTGTCCAAGTATGAATAATATCTGTAATAAATAACAAATATATGACAATTTAAGGAAATTTCATTAATTTGAATTTGACGGTCAAGGTCAGATAACAGCCAAAGTCATATCAGAATAATTCATCATGTTGGTTTTGTCAAATATGTTCTTTTGTCCAAGTATGAATCAAATCTGTAAATAAATAACAAAGTTATGACAATTTAAGCAAGGTCAAATAAAGGTCAAGGTCATATCAGAATAATTCAGCATGTTGTTTAGTCATCTATAGGTGTTCTTTTGCCCAAGTTTAAATGAAATCCATGAATAAATAACAGTGATGGCCAATTGTAGCAAAATTCATCATTTGACCTAATAGTGACATTTAAGTTCCTGGATGGCAACAAAAACCTGACTTTAGCCATAGCTAGAAATGTTTCTTTGAAAAAGTAAAGCTAAAAATGTTAAAGTATTTGTAAAGTGTTAGTGTAGTATATGTATATGACTGAGGTGATTATAACATGTTCCAATTTCACCATTGTATTTATGCTAACAATAAATTTAGGATTTAAATACCAACATAATGTCACAAGAAGAATTATGTCAAGCATGTCTGTGCCTTTTCATATTTTTACAAATTCTCTTTCAGTCATTTCTTCAGTTTCTAGTGCAAAATCAAGGTAAAAATCAATTTGATAATATATATGAAATGAAAGTCTTACAATTGTGAAATTGTGAATTCCTACAAACTCTCAATAAAATCAAACACTACCTTATATAAAATATCTAATTCTAGAAGAATTTTCTTCTGTACTTCAACATCAACATCTAGCTGTATTATCTGAAATTTAAAAACATAATCAATTTAATCAATTCATTTGAAGTTATGAATTACAATGTCCACCAAACTAAATAATTTACTATGACATGACCTTCAGTAACTGCTCATTCTGATATACACTTACTTTGTCTTGTAAGATACTAACACCAGTAGACCAGTACTGGTTTGATACACATAGTATTCAAATGATTTGTCAGTAGACTGAGGGGCGTCCGTGGCCGAGTGGTTAAGGTCATTGACTTCAAACTACTTGCCCCTCACCGCTGTGGGTTAAATTCCCAACAGGGACTTTGGATTCTTTCATGTCAGGAAGCTATCCAGCTAGCTTACGGAACGTTGGTGGTTCTACTCAGGTGCACCTGAGGTCTTCCACCACCAGTAAAGCTGGAATGTCGCAATATGACCTATACTGTGTCGATGTGACTTAAAACACAAAACAAACAAACAAATCAGTATACTGATGGACTGCTTGACAGTGGGGCAGCTGAATTGATGCCTCCATAAAAGTCTAGTCAATATACACAATGGAGAATAAGTGAATATTTCCTACAATTCTTATTTACATACAACATAAGAACAATTAAACATCTATTAAAATGCTCACCTTTACTGCCATTAGTTTTTGAGTAGGAATATGAAAAGCTCTGAAATATACCAAATATATATGTGACTGTTTATAAACATCTTTACATCAATTTATAAGTCAGTCAACAAATTTGCAAATTGAACTTCTTATTATGATAGATTATTATATCACACTTAAAATTCAACCATAAAACTATGCATATATGAATATAAAATTAAATAAAACTTTTTTCCACACAAAAGTTTTTTATACACTTTGTATTTCATCTGAACATGCTTGTATGAAATTGTTTTCAAATTTATCTGTTGTCCAGAACTGATGAAAATTCTAGGAATTTTAGAAGACAAACTTCATTATAATTTTTCATGAAAGACACTACTAATGTTTTGACTTTTATAAAATCAGCAATCTCTAACTAATATTTACTTATATACTTTCCCTCCATTGCCACTACCAATAAGTGCAATCTGTTGTAAATCAGCGGCAGTCATTCTCCCACTGGTTAAAATCTCTTTAATATTTTCTGCCCTACTTTGACCTTGACTTGACTGATGTATTTGTACAGAACTAGTTAATGGACTGGTTATGTGATGTTGTGGGGAACCGGACACTTGTTGCTCCAGATATAGAGAATGAGGATTAGACTGAATATTTGGATGAGAAGAGGTATCTGACATTTGACTGTATCTAGGTGTACTAATTTCCATTGGTTCTGCACTTGTTTGACCTCTTGTGACTCGACTCTGTAAACTGAAAATAGAAAAAAACATACTGGTAATAATATTTGGTTCACTCTTTATTATCTGCTATATAAATATAAGTAATACCGGATCAAGTATCTCACACTTGCCAACAACTTCCATGTATAGTTCTTTTGTGGTTTGTATTTTTAGTACCATTTACCTTGACCTTGACTTTAGAGGGTCCAAAAGCAATCTTCAGTGAGGTCTCTTCAAGTACATAAGCCCTGACATATACCAAGTTTGATTCCTAACTCCAGTTAGCAACCAGAAGCAACATGTTTGATGCCCGTCTGCTGCCATTTGCCAGTCTTATATCAGGGATTTTCAAAACTGAAAATCTGGTTTACAAGTTAAAAATAATTTGTCATGTTTTTTAGAGAAGAAGTAGATACCCACCCTTTATCTTGAAACTGTGGAGCATTTGATGCTGGTTTTTTAGTGCCTTTTTGTGTTTTTATCTGAAACAAAAATAAAAACTTTTTTAAGAAAATCAATTTCTCCAATCAACCACAGTTCAATACTACTTAACAAGAAATAAAAGAAGCAAGTACATTAACTTAAATTTGAAGACAGAGGTATAATCCTAGATTATGTTTAAACTTCTTCAATAAAACAACAATAATTAAAAGAACTATAATATCTATATCCAAAATGTTTTAAAACGAGTTCCACAAAAGCGGGAAATAAACACCCAAATGTAAAATTTCATGACACAATAATAATTGCTCAATTAGAGAAGAAATTGTCCAATCTGAAACAAGCCATGCTTTCACATGATAGTGCTTTCTGATTTGACACTTATATTATGATAAGGAAACTACTGAGACTGTCATTACAGAAAGCTATTTTGACATGGCTTCTTCGGTCATGCATAAAAAAACATGCAGCAACAGTGCATGCGCATGCTTCCCTGATTTTATCCCTTAATGCATGTTATCTTCAGTGTGTGTGTTAAGTTTTTATACAAGAATTTAAAATACAACATGTACATGTTATACTTACTCTGAGATCAAATCTGTTTCTGTCTTTAGGAGTTTTACCCACTGAAAATATTAGAACAATTATTCAAGTCAAATACATTAAAACCTTTTTCACCAAACCCAAACAGGCTTCGGCCTACCAAGCTGAATGTGTAATAACTTGGCCTGCTTCTTCTATCTTTTATTGATTCAAGTGATTTCAGTATCACACCACTAAAATTAAGCAGTTACTAGAATAATCTGATGTGCTAACTCGATAGGCAAGCCTTCATCATTAAACTAGTGTCTTCTTATGATGTATTTCAATAATAATACTGTGAAATATAACAAAAATACAACACTCAATAAGTTTGATACAATCTAATAAGTAATACATGTATCAATTTTCTTCAAAATATCATTGATATTGATTTGTTTCTACAAAACAGAAGTAACATCAAAAAGGTCATGTACATCATGTAAAGAAATATAACATACAAACTCACCTCTTGGATAAATTACTAATGGTTCCAGAAGACCTCTTTGTATATCTTCTTCTGTAAGTTCACACATATACTACAAATATGTTAAAGTAAGGATAAGATATACATCAATTCAATAACCCAGATAAAACAAGACTTGTCCGCAGCAAATGCCCCCACTTTATTTTTAGGAAGAATAAAGACATATTTATGTATGTTTTGCAACAATATTTGATTTACTTAAGATAAAGGAAATATAATATGACTAAGATTAAGGGATTATGCAGGATTACAACAGTTGGGGGGGGGGGGCCATGTGCCAAGTTCTTACTTTTCAACTGTTCCAGCACAGCAGTGTTGGTTCCAAAGCGACATGCCAAACTTACCACAGTGCCTGGGCTCTTAATATGGATTTCATCATCTTACATTCCCAGTAAATAAGGGCTTTTACAAGGTGTTTTCTCAAAATGCCTGCTAATCCCCTAAGGTGAAGGTCATGGTCAACATTGACTGGTGTATTACAACACTTAAGATGAAGGGAAAAAATAACCAAGTGTATGATAATGGAGATATACAGGTAAGAGAAAATATGTAATTATTTACCATTTGAAACATTGCTTTAAGTTCATCATCACTCCTAACTGTAATCTTTTCACCGTCTTCATCTATATCTGAAAATAACATTCATCTTTAAATCAATTATACCAACACATGATAAAACTGTGATGAAATATGTGAACATTCCTACATTATATTATGGCTAACAGAATAATCAACTTTCCAGTTATACAAAACCTGCATTTATAGTTAAATCTTTGCTATGTTTCCTATCTTCACAAGTCTGGTAATCATAATTAAATAGTATTTTTGTTGTTGTTGTAAACTTGTATTTTTCAGATCTAATAAAGGAGCAAGTTACAAGTTGTAACCTACATTGGAAAGCTGTTGTTGATGTCCCTGGTAGAGTTTTTGAAATCACTTCCTGAAATAAGTATGATACACAAAGTTATACATGTATACCATTATCTTCACAGACAGTTTGTTTTAAGTGATCTGTTTAAAATTCAAGTTAAAATGGGGGTAATTGTTTATAATTTTATACATTTATCATGAACCTTGTCCAGTGTCATGCTTAGTAACTTCAAGTCTAAACCTGTAACAAGGTAACATGGTACAATGATAACTAGAACTGCCACTGTCTTGGCGTGAATACCCCCGCATACCACTTTGTCAGAATCAACAGTGGCCATTAAGAGCTCAAGGACAACCTCCATGCCAAATCTGAGGTTAGTAAGCCAGTGCATTGCTAATGCTTCAAATGTGAAAATGTCAAAATCAATACACTGAGGACCTTAAGCATTTGAGCAGACAAGCTTATTGAAGTAAAAGCCCCTGTGAACTTGACCTTTGACACAGTCACCTAAAAATCAATAGGGGTCATAAACAACCTCAAAACCAAATATGAAGACTGTTGACCAAAGCATTCTTAAACAATTAAGCCAACAAGCTTTGTTAGGTCAAGGTCACTGTCACCTTTGACCCAGTGACCTCAAAATCAATAGGGGTCATCTAATAATCATAAACAACCTCTATATCAAATATGAAGACTGTGGGTCGAAGGAATCTTAAGTTATTGGGCGGACAAGCTTTTTTTAGTCAAGGCCCCTGTGACCTTGACCTTTGACCCAGTGACCTCAAAATCTATAGGGGTCCTCTTCTCATCATGAATAACCTCCATGCCAATTATGAAGACTGTGGGTCTAAGGAATCTTAAGTTCTTAAGGCGGACAAGGAAAAACCGACGGACGGCCGGACGGCCAGTGGGCCGGATAAGCTGATTCCAGTATACCCCCCTGACAACTTTGTTGTGCGGGGGTATAAAAATCACAATCATGCAAAATGTTAACCATTAATACCAGTTACATTTTACAAGTATATGTAATATATGATATTAATCATGATAGGGAACAACAATTTCATGGAATTAGCAAAACTCCTTTCTGACAGTAAAATTAAACAGATTTTAGCCAGTCTTTTGACAATAATTATCATTATGTATACAAAGTTTTAACTCAATAGCTTTTATAGTTTATGAGAATATTGACCTTAACAAACTCCAGCTCAATCCCCGACAAGAGGGTCATGACAATAACTAGCTTATAAAATAAATATGTGGATAATAATCAGTATTGCCTCTAAATTCTGTAAGTAAGATTAAAATAACAATGAATACAATGCAAATAGTTGACAACCCCTGTTGTAAATCAACATTTTGATTGAGAAAAGAATTAATAAATTGAAAGTATACCATTGCCTGATGAAAGGTTATTTCATCTGGGTGCACCATCCAGTCAATATCCTGATCTTGTTCAGTTCTTATTCTCAATGTACATTGTAGATTTTGATTCATAATTATGATTAAAAAATCTGAAAACATATATAACATAATGCAATTTACATGTGTAGATCCCAAGAATCATAATGTTACTGTCTTCCAAAACAACAAATTTAACAGAAAGCCCATAAACAAAACTTTAACACATAAAAGTACACCAACATTGGCTTTAACAATACTATTTCAGATATTTTACTGAAGTGCTTAATCATTTCCCATCAATCTTATCACATATAAAATTCATCATATATTTCGTATTCATATGGATGAAAATTAATACAATTATTAATTCTAATTTTGCTTTGTACATGCAAAAAGTTAAAAAAATTTGATGCAATACATTTACAATAATATCATTTTATATAAAGAGTTTTACACATTTATCAACAAAACATAAATCAAGTGGTAGGTGCCCCAAACGGCCTCATCATACTAAAGGTATCAGTTAATCTTCACCTTTAACGCTTTATTAAATGGTATAACTCACCTTTCTTTTTTCTTGGAAGGTATATTGAACCAGTTGAATCAGTCTCACATAGTTAAATGTCATATAATCATGATCAGAAAAAAAATATGTTTTGACACTGGTAGTATGAATGTAATCTGTAAATAAATAAGAAAGTTGTCATAATTTAAGATAATTTCAGTGACTTGATTTCAAGGTCATATCAAAATTATTCAACATGTATGCTATGTCATTTATAAGTGTTGCTATGCCTATGAATAAATCAATTCTGTAAATAAATAACACAAAGCTAAGGTCAATTTAAGAAATTTCATATACGACCTTGGTAAATGCTGTCATTTAAACTAAAGGTCAAGGTCAAATATGAACTATTTAACATGTCATGTTGGTCCTATCTTAACTTATAGTATATTTTTGACACTTTTAAGATGAACACAGGTTTTTATATCAATCAGGTTATATTTTTTCTTCCCAGGTCCGATACTCGTGCCTGTGGTCATTAATAACAAAGTTAAAGCAAAAATTTAGCAAAAATCAATTATTTTACCTTCAAGTTAAAGGTCATTTATGAGTCAAGGTCAAGTTCAGTTCGATCTTTTAGATCATGTAAACATTGTTACTGTGATACTCAACAATTAAAGTTAAATGATGTCCAATTCTGATGCCCATTTTTGTTCATATTGTGCTTGCATTTGCTTGTACATGTACATGAATTTTATGTTTATATTGGTGTACCTACCCCCTGCAGTTGCCCTACTCCCTACCCCAGAGCAGTTCACTGCAGCCATAGCTTACATTGTACATGCCTCACCCTAGTTTCCCAGCCCTGTTTTTAATATTCTTATTTTATCATCTTTTTAAACAACTCTTTTTAACTTTCCTGCGATTCGATGCCCAGGCATGTCTACGTTCCCGCAATGGGTTTGACTTTAATAGAAGATAGATTAATGGATGATAGATAAAAAGATAATAATTTCTTGTTCTGGCTTCCACAACTTTATATTTCGCTTTTATTTTGACATTGTGCGACAGTAAAGTTATGGGTCAACCCTATTTGCAAAGGCTACCAGAATTTTGGCAGATGTGTGCCGTACATAAAAACCTATTAAAATCACCCTTAATAATCAAATTTGGCTTAAATAAAAATACCATTTGATAAACAAATCAATTTTGAATCAATTCATGTTTTGTTTTTAAATGAAACTTCCATGACATTGTGTACCCAACTGTTTGTTAGGGAAATATGTAGAGAATGTTTACCAATATGGAGTCTGCATTCAAAGGACTTCAAGTTTTGGGAATTCTAGCATCTATTTTTAGTAACGGACCATATACTATTTTTAGTAAGTGTACAATTTTAAATAAAAACAAACAAATAATTCATGAATCATCAATCAAAACAATATAAATCCAACAAGTTTTTGGTACAATGTCTGTTATTGAATAAATACACCCTCATTCATAATTGCAAAGCCATGTTTTCAATTAAAAATAGCATTTGGGTCACGGACCAAATGTCATGCAAAGGTACCCGAACCTAAATTCTCGCTAGTCACGTGATAATTAGGACAGCAAATGCGGCGAATTTTATGAAATGTGAACCCACTGATAAACTTTGAGGCATTATTTCATCAATCTAACGTTTTTGTTCAAGTGACTGAAGTGTCACGAAATCAAATATATCTAACTACCTGTATTGAATACAGGTAGTTAGATATATTTGATTTCGTGACACTTCAATTATTATTCAAAATAGCTTTTGTCCAAATCACGCAAATTTATTGAATTACAGCATGACATATCCACATACTGCCAGTTTTCAATCACAACCACTTTTCAATCATCCCTAGAAATTCTTTACTTTGGTCCTTATTTGTCATGTAACCAAACTGTAAGAACATCTTGTGTTTACCTTGACTACATTTATCAGGAACACTGTCAATTATGGTGATAAAAAACAAAATACCAGTATTTTAGTTCAAAATGTGTGAAATAAACATTTTCAACTAATCCTTAATTTACCCAGTTACAAATTGCAATAATTTTCTTAAAATATTTGATTTACAGACTCGTTTTTTTTTTTTTTGTCAGTCTGCAGAACTGGATATTAAGTTGTATCATTAGTCATAATGTATACTGCACTTCAAAAGCTATAATTTTGGTATGTACATATTTTACCGCATAATTCTTAATTGGAAGGTAATATGTCAGTAAAGTAACAGTCAATTAACCAAGGAAAAACATTCTCTCAGATAACTTTTCAGTAAGCTGTCACTAGAAGGGGGTCATATACACCCTAAGATCCAAAAAAAATTCACAAGAACATGCTTTTTCAGTTATGCAAATTGAGATGTACAGCCATACCCTAATTGTGAGAGCTTTACTACTGCAAATAGGTATCAAGATTGAAAAAAGACATTACAAATAGGTTAAAATTGTTTATCATTTACATGTATCTGAAATTGAGTTAGTCAAAATTTCTTCAAAATACATAACTGGTTAAACATTTTGTATTTTAACATTGTATGACAATTTTTATGTGGTACAGAATATATTTTGCTAACTGATTGAAAAGTGGCAGTGAAATTTTGAAGAACAGGAAAATGGATCAGTAATGGTTTGTCTTCGATACATAATAATAATTAGGTAAAATTTAAAAAAAATTGATATTTAAAGAATTGTCAGGGAAATTTCTTTTTTATAATTTCACTGTCAGTAATTGTAGAAAAATCCACAGACACTTGGGATGTGGAGCTTAAAACACCTTTAAAATCCAAATAAAATGTATATTTGTCAATCCCCAGCACATGTACTGATCATATATATCGAAAAAACTTAATATAAGCCGTTTTGAAAAAATTTCAAATATCAACGTCTTATATTATAGACGTTGAAATACAGTGATTTTTTTACAAACACATCTGTGTGGGTCCTAGGACTTGCTGGGCTATAAATCTATGAGTCCCAAAATTTAGCCGACTATCCAAGTTACAAGGCTTAATATTGCTTTAGTGATATGAAAGGTATATGTATTAACAGTGGAATGAAGAAAAAATGAATTTGATTTCTACATTAATTACAATGCTTCTGATACTGAAATTATTCAAAACTGTCAAATAAATTTCATAAGTTTATTTCCATTAATTTAGTTTGAGATTTATCAAAACTTCATTTTCCTTAATATTTTTATGCTTATCTATAGTATAGCACATTATTATTTCTGTAGAAGATTTGCAAACCTAGAATATGATTGACATAACTTGACACAATTAGGTATTTATTACCAAATTCCTTTCAGACAGGACTCCCTACTCAGAAAAGGTATGCATCCAAAAGATGCACATTTTAGTGACATTATTTGAAACTTTGCATCCACAGCAAATTCAATGAGTTCTGGACTCAGGATGCAGAGGTAAAAAAATCACTGGAAATATGATTTTTTTTTTCAAAACGGCTTATATAAAGTTTTTTTGATAAATATGATCAGTACATGTGCTGGGATTGACAAAAATTTTATTTGGATTTTGAAGGCGTTTTAAGCTCCACACACCAAGTGTCTGTGGAAAAATCTGTTAACTGATCGGAAAGTGGCAGTACGGGGATAAATATGTCACGGTTCTGGTTGACTTTCGATACGGGATTGGCTTCAGCGAACAGGTCTAGCAGTACTATAAAACCTGTTTGCTGAAGTCTCTCTAGCTAATAATTTCATATCCGAATAAGTTACATCCGAAATCAGATCTACTTAAGACTACATTTGTTTATTTTTGTTAACATTATTAGAGTTATTTACATGAAACGACCATTTAAACGACTTTTTCAGACAAACTTTTTCTACCACCAGTCAATAAATGGCCCGTCAAGTGTCAAAAAATCTTTCTTCATAATTATTTTTCCTTGGAAGTTGGGAAATTTGACAAGTCTCATTTGAAAATGGCAGCGATTTGTTTTTCAATGCTCATTTAAAGTCACTTTAATTAACGGGACATCCATATATACAAATGTACTTTGTATACTGAAAGTAAAATGTGGGCACAAACCGATGTTAAAGTAAGATTTTGTGCAATTGAATCATAATTTTCCTTCGTTTTATCAACACGTTGTTACTTTAGCCAAATAACGGTAGAACACAACTAAAACCCATAAAATACAGCTTTTAAACGGTATCCGGCCTCCGAGTCTGGAAAGAGATGAACACTGGTGGTATACGTGTTACAATATAACGAAGTACACAGTTGTTTGCAAGCTTGTTTGCGATACAGCCCGGAAGCTGATCTTATAAATGCTTTCTCCTTTGCAACACTTGATTAATTTGTAAACCAATGGATAATCAATTACTATATGATTATCGCAATATCCGGGTTTCTATCAAAAACTCTCTCCTGATATAGATTGGGTTTTAAATACTGGAAGACGTTCTAGAATATGCTTCTCTAACTTAAAAACAGCGTCTTTACAAAGTACATATATTTTATGTGTATCTTTTTTGCAGCATATGATATTCTAAAGTCCTCCCAAAGGCAAATATGTTACAGGACGTTAGGTTGGTGATCAAATGAGCCGCGTCACGACAAAACCAACATAGTGCGTTTGCGACAAGCATGGATCCAGACCAGTCTGCGCATTCGCGCAGTCTGATCAGGATCCATGCTGTTCGCTATCAGTTTCTTTACTTGTTATAGGGTCTGTAAGCGAACAGGATGGATCCTGATCAGACTGCGCGGATGCGCAGGCTGGTCTGGATCCATGCTGGTCGCAAACACATTATGTTGGTTTTGTCGTGACGCGGCTCATTAATGTTTCTGACAACAATTTCGAGAGTTGTTAAATGTAAATTGTTGATAAACTCATTGCTCAGTATAATAACGTAACGTTACCTGGTGACTTAAATAAGGATTTACTTCATCATGGCCAGGGTAAAATAGAGAAAATATGAATCCCCAAAGAAAGCCCAACACGGCAAATGTGAAAATGTTGCAGGCTCGGTTTGATTGAGCCTGTTCATGGACGGTACTGTAAAGTGCAACCTACCGTCCTACCTAGCACCAGCTTAAGCAGAATTCAACATTTAACATGAACTGGTACAATTTTGAAACATCCGCTGATGTGTTCTTTAACCGTTCTTGAATCTTATAGAGTTATTTTAAAATCCTTTCACAATCTGCAAAATGATAACTGAAAAAATGTACACCTGGTTAGGTTGCCATTTTCACAAACTCTAAATCACTATGTGTGAAAACAATATGAATCTTGAAACTGTATTAGTGATTATTAAAATATGGTAAGTACAGTGATAAACGAATCCTACTAAAATATCAGAAAATTAGAATCAGCTTTAAGAGATCCAAAACTCTTAGTGTTGGCACTCTCAATATTTCATTCATTGTAGTGCCTATACTTTATAATATGTTGTGCTCTTAAGAAAGTGTGAATCAAATATATGAAACTTTTAAAATGAAGTCATTCAGCAATTCAACAAGAATATATTTATATAACTAATAAGACAACACAGATAAATACAATACTCCTGATCATGAATAAATAACAATAAATTATAAAAAGATGTACATTTACCATAACAAATACTCATTGCCTAAAAGTATCAAACTTGGTATCAATGCAAAAAATAAATGAAATAAAATAAAAAGGTCTAGCATTTTAATAACAGATGTATATGGGATGTAATGCATCCGAATTTTGAGAATCAAAATATATCTTTTCAAATAAATATATTTTGAATAATCTCAATGAAAATAATAACAGTATATCCGATGGCTCGAAGTTGGCTAAAATCTGTAGTTGATTTCTTTACTTATGTAGCTGAGTGAATGGAGAAAGAAAATGATTATAACATAGAACACAAACCTAGTATTGCTAAAATTATTGATAGAAGATATTTATAAAATGCCTTTTGTTTTTAATAAAACTCACTCAAAGTAAACTTTCTCAATTGATAAATCATATAATTTAATGTTAAAAAGATTACAGGTGAAGAAAGAATTTCAGTCAAACTCATAACGTTAAGTAAGCCTTCGGAAGTACCCTTTGACAAACTTGGTAAATATCTCATTTTTACATAATACATTATAAATCAAATGATTTCCTATAAAACTGTAACAAGCACAAGTCTTCAAACCATTATACAGAAAGGATTAAGCTATGATAAAACCAAACTACAGTCCAATGAGTTTATTATCTATGTCATCTGAAAAATTTGAAACAGCAATCTGCTTATTTCTAATAGTATATATAACACTTACATGCAATGTATGCTTTAAGTAAGAACATGGGTTCCCAAGACAATAATTAATATGTCTCTTCAACTTTAATATAATTATAAAAAAAAGCGTTTGTTAATTTACCACATGCGATATCATTAGACAAATTAACAGCTGCGCTAATTGCTTATCATGATCTGCCACCAACCTCGTGCGGTCTTAATTAATTCTTATTTATCTTGACGTCCTTTCTTTAGATATGACAATTAAAGCTCAAACAATGTAGAACAAAACAGTTTCATGATGATAAATAAAGGTTTTTAATTTGATTATTACATGTTATTGATGTTATTTGTAACCTTTTGGAACGCTTATACATTTTGACAATTACAAAATATGCAAGATCAAAATATTTCTTTTCCATTTGTATCACCACGAACTAAATGTCATATAATATAAGGTTTAGATATAATCTCTTATTGACGAATACTATTTTTGTATCGCTACACTGACAATTTTTATAAAATGTTAAACAACAATAACAACACAAACGTTCTTATTATTATAATTTCATAATATCAGTAACGGAATTTTATTCGTTCTTACACTAATTAACAAACTGGTTTAACTTAAAAGGAAACGTTTGTAATAAGTTTTTAAATTTCACTAATTAAAAGGAATTCCAGAGACTTTCAATTTTTAGTAGTTAAATACTGTTATCTTATCACGGAGCGAGAATATTCTATTATAATGTTTCATGATATTTTGTAGCAGATATAAGCTTACCGATATAGATACTTAATTCAATGGCGGATTCAGGCCTTGGCTTCACCATTGCAGCCCCACCCCCACCCCAGCTCAACCCAAAGATACGTTTATTATAGGTATGAATATTTTCACGACAGTATTATGCTTTATTGGCTGTACATAGTGTACTCACACATAAAACATTTTAAAAAACATTTAATTGTTGTCACACGGCTGTTATAATCACCCGCCTTGGGGCTTGTCAGAGATCTTAATCGGTTAACATGCTTGGATGACTTGTAGGTAAAAGTGGCATACTTGATAAATATTTGAAACTTTATTTCATTGTCACATCCGTGTTATTTGTGCCGTGTGGCGGCTGTAAAAAGCCTCCCCGTTCATTTAATCAATGATGTTATATTTTCGATCCTTGAAGATCGTTCAGCACGACATTATTGTTGTGTATACATGTTATGTGGTATTTTTAGTTTCTTCTATTTGGCCATTTTCAACTTGGGTGGTTCCAGTATTCCTACTTGCATACTGTATAATCACCCTTAGGATATGTTGCCTGCTTTTTATGCCCCCCTTCGAAGAAGAGGGGGTATATTGTTTTGCTAATGTCGGTCTGTCTGTCTGTCGGTCCGTCGGTCTGTCCGTCGGTAGACCACATGGTTTCCGCTGATTATCTTGAAAAGTATTTATCACAAAGTCTTCATATTTCACATAGTGATTGGTCATAACAAGTAGATGACCCCTATTGATTTTGGGGTCACTAGGTCAAAGGTCAAGGTCACAGGGACCTTAAATGTCAAAATGGTTTCCGCTGATTATCTTGAAAAGTATGTATCAAAAAGTCTTCATATTTCACATAGTGATTGGTCATCACTAGCAGATGACCCCTATTGATTTTGGGGTCACTAGGTCAAAGGTCAAGGTCACAGGGGCCTTAAATGTCAATATGGTTTCTGCTGATTATCTTGAAAAAGTATGTATCACAAAGTCTTCATATTTCACATAGTGATTGGTCATCACTAGTAGATGACCCCTATTGATTTTGGGGTCACAAGGTCAAGGTCACAGGGACCTTAAATGTCAAAATGGTTGCCGCTGATTATCTTGAAAAGTATGTATCACAAAGTCTTCATATTTCACATACTGATTGGTCATCACTAGCAGATGACCCCTATTGATTTTGGGGTCACTAGGTCAAAGGTCAAGGTCACAGGGACCTTAAAATGTCAAAATGGTTTCCGCTGATTATCTTGAAAAGTATGTATCACAAAGTCTTCATATTTCACATAGTGATTGGTCATCACTAGTAGATGACCCCTATTGATTTTGGGGTCACTAGGTCAAAGGTCAAGGTCACAGGGACCTTAAAATGTCAAAATGGTTTCCGCTGATTATCTTGAAAAGTATTTATCACAAAGTCTTCATATTTCACATAGTGATTGGTCATCACTAGTAGATGACCCCTATTGATTTTGGGGTCACTAGGTCAAAGGTCAAGGTCACAGGGACCTTAAAATGTCAAAATGGTTTCCGCTGATTATCTTGAAAAGTATTTATCACAAAGTCTTCATATTTCACATAGTGATTGGTCATAACTAGTAGATGACACCTATTTATTTTGGGGTCACTAGGTCAAAGGTCAAGGTCACAGGGGCCTTAAATGTCAAAAGGGTTTCCGCTGATTATCTTGAAAAGTATTCATCACAAAGTCTTCATATTTCACCTAGTTATTGGTCATAAGTAGTAGATGACCTCTAACGATTTAGGGGTCATTAGGTCAAAGGTCAATGTCACATGGGCCTTAAATGTCAAAATGGTTTCTGTTGATTTTTCCATAATTGAACACTTCCATGTACCCATTTTTGGCAAGTTTCTGTAATAAAATTACCAATTATGTGAGTCAATTGCTAGAAAGGGGGGTATATGTGTCGTTCGACATTCTTGTTAAATTTGTCTTTTGACGTCTTATCTGTGATATGCAGGCTTCATAACCTCAGATCCCCTTTCTAAATTCCATTTTATTTAGTTCCGCCCATTGTTCTCTCGTTTAGGGCAAAAGCATTCTTTTACTTGGGGATCATAATTATGCCGCTTTTCATGGAATGGCACTACTGTGTAACATTGAAGGTTCCATGATAACCACCGTATGAAAACATCTACGGATGTTTCTAAATTCAAAATTTCACCATTTCCGTGTTAAATGTTGAATTCTGCTTAAGCCGGTGCTAGGGGCGTGGACGGTAACTTGCACTTTCCAGTACCGTCCATGAACAGGCTCAATCAAACCGAGCCTGCAACATTTTCAATTATGTTGTGTTGGACTTTCTTTAGGGATTCTGATTTTCTCTATTTTCTTATAAAATAACAGTCACAAGTACATTCAGTAGCAAATAGGAACTTTACGCAGTACAATATGATTTACTGTCTTTGTTTTTTCTGTTTTCTTTGCCAAAGCCTTATTAAAATTAATTGAAAAGTGTGATTAAAAGGAATTCAAAAAGGTGGCAAGTTTTGTAAAGATTTGGAAGAATTTCGTTTGACTAATTGGTTTTACTACAAACTTGACTGTTTCCTTCAATTTCCAAGTATCTCCATACTGCCAAATTTCATTCACCTTTTTGAGATAGTTCCCTTCGTGCTTGTTTGTTAAGAATGCCCGAGACATTTTAAAAACATATGTATATCTAGACTGTAAGATGCAATGATTTGTCACTGTTTTTAATTATCTTTTCTACATAGCTGTTGCATTTATATGCTACATATATAGCTGTTGCATTTATAAATGCCTTGAATATTTTTAAATTGTAATGCTCTCCCTATATTCATTGAAGGAAATAATCCTTATCAAATAATAATAATAATAATAATAATAATAATAATAATAATAATAATAATAATAATAATAATAATAATAATAATAAACAACTTGATGACGTAAATTATAAATAAACCAAATGTAGAATAAAGTTGTTAAATTATCAAAAAGGTACCATAAAAAAGCGTAAGAAAGTCAAGGAAATGACACTATTTTCTCAATCTGTATTTGTAACTAGTATATTACTGCATAGAATATAGAGTGTGATGAACATAGGGGTATATATTCCAGCAAAGACATAGATAACATATTATCTACATCTCTGATTCCAGGAGATTGCCGATGCTGGTCCACGCTTAAAGAAACCCGCTTTTCGCCTATCATGTTATTTTCTCATTTTTGTCAAATCTGCACTGGCATGTCAGCCCCACCCCCAGCGAACCCTGTTCCTTAGTCTATATTTTTAAAATGTTGCGAGGTCCGTGCGTGACGTTATTTCCTTATCTTTTATAAATTAAAACAGGACCTTTCAAATAGAAAGACCCTGGTTAAAACGGTATGCCTAAAATACAAAAGTGAGATTTCTGACGAAAGTGGGCGAAAGTGAGCGAAAGTGACTTTTAAAATTTGAATTGTACCGTTTTAATAGAATTTTACGGTGAATTTTCTGTTTGTAGACGTATATTATTAGCAACCGATAATATTTCTTTTCAAAAATAATCACTATGATGAATTAATCGCCATTTATTTGCACAATTTCTATTCACAAGTTCTGAGATCTTCCTTTCGCTCACTTTGAAAAATACGAAAGTGACATGTAAAATATATAGAGTTTAAATTGAAATTTATACTAAAATTGCAGTTTGCAGACGTATATTATCAGAAATATATAATATTTATTTTCAAAAATAATCATTATGATGATTTAATCACCATTTGTTTGAATAATTTCTATTCACAAGTTCTGAGATCTTCCTTGCGCTCACATTTAAGAAAACAAAAGTGACTTGTAAAATAATTAAATAAAGCATTGAATTGAAAGTTATACATATATTGCATTTTTTAGGCGTATATAATATCAAAAATTAATATTATTTATTTTCAAAAATAATCATTATGATGATTTTTAGCCCATTTTTTCTACATAATTTCTATATATACAAATTCAGCCATCTTCCTTCGCTCACATAGAATATACGAAAGTGTCCTCAAAAACAAACTGCAATTTAAGTACATTTTCAATTTAAACTCTATATACATGTGATATTTTGCAAGTCACTTTCGTCTTTTTTCAGTGTAAGCGAAAGGAAGATCGCTGATATTGTATATAGAAATTATGCACAAAAATGGGATATAAAACTATAAATCATCATAATGATTAATTTAGTAAATAAATAATATTAATTTCATTTAATACACAAACTGCAAATTTAGTACATTTTCAATTTAAACTTTATATTTATAAAACAGGACCTTTCAAATAGAAAGACCCTGGTTAAAATAGTAATTACAAATCAACCTAAATGTGTATTTTCACGTTTGAGCAATTCAGTTAAACGAGAAATGGGTTTCTTGGCATACCATTATTGCCATCACATTAAAAGTAAAATTTAATACCGCACGGTAAAAAATACGGCTCAACGAGATTTAGTGCAAATAGTATTTTCGGGTCCGTCACTTTGCAACGCACGGAGATTCTTACACAGGCGGCCATAGCGGTCTAAGGTTGAAGTAACACCGCTGAAATGTTAACGGCACGAGTAGCAACATCATTGATAAGACAGCTTCCAAGGGCTGCACCACAGGTATGAAAAGTGTTGTTTTACATTTTATTTTAAATTGTAGTTCTGATAATTTGTTTTTGCTATTAGTTTTATTGAAGCAGATGAAGCCGGTGCCCTTGTAGTTGACCTGGGTCTGGAAAAGCACGATTTTTGTTTTTTATTTTTGTGCTCTATGTTTTACAACGATGACGCATAAGTGGCATTGAAGAGCTTGAGTCCCATGAACATTTTTATAAATTGAGGATGCAAATTATTTCTTTTGAAAATAATACTTTCAGTGAAATTTTAGAATTAGTGCTCATGTTTTGTACCCCACCCACCATTTGTGACAATGAAATAATATTTGCGTCCGCGTGTTTGCTATCTTATGACTGTAAAGCGGCATTTGCATGTTTCTAACATTTATGTTGAAATATAATGTTAAAGTTATGCACTATCCATAGCATTGATTACTTGAAGGTCACTCATTTGTTAAGGTAGGACAACCTGTTTTAGTGACCTTCTCTAAGTACAGTTGCTTGCAATTTATTTAAGTGTGTTTTATTTTACATTTGGCAATTAAAATTGTCATTGCAATCAAATATAGTTTTGAGAAGACCGTTTATTACGGTTTTCTATTTTGCAATACTGACAGTGGTTGGTTTCTTTAAAAAATGCTTGATCAGGCTTGCATTTCCCTTCAAAAAACTTCTGAGACATTTCTTTAAAATTTGCTTTATTACACTGCACATGATATAATTGAATTATTTAATTATCATGGTTGCTTTCAGTTGTCTGAAAATTATTTCCCTTTTCACAATTTTTGAAGAACATGATTATATTTTGCATCTGTACAAAAAAAGTAATGCAAATGTGTAAAAAAATGTATTTGTGTTTTGTTAATTAAAATTATAATTTATATGATTTAAGTATAACTAAGTATATTTTACAGGTGTGCCGCCATGCCCTTGGTGCTGGTAGCGTTGCTGCAAGACACTTGACAACATCACAGGCACAATGGGCATCCCAAAAGAGTGGAGGTTAGTTGATTTAGCTCAAATGTACATTTAATGCAGGACCTTTATCATCTAAATTTGGTGAAGGCACCCAACTTAATTTTATAAAAATAGTTTTGCAGAATATTGGGTTATCTGTATTTATAATTAGTTATGCAAATGTTGTATACTATGTTGAGCCTCAGCTTATGTCAATAGGGAACACACAGACTTCCCGAAAGTTGAAAAAAACTGTCAGACATTCGGTCTGACAAACCATGAAAATCTGTCGGACCGAAACAAAATCTGACGGACCAAATAGAATTGATCAAAATCAAAGAATAACTTGTGTTTGTATTTCTAAGACATTTTTTGTTTTTAATTTTTTCGCCGTTAAAATCAGCACATTCCTTACAGCGCATTTTCATCTCCTCCCTATCATACACCAACGATTCACTGTCTTGCTTCTATTTTTCATTCAATTTTGTCTCAGGTCTATTCTTTTTATCCTTTTATTGCTGTTCTGCCTGTTCCTCTGACGTAGATTTTTTATTTTTCCAAGGTTTGGCACCTTTAGCGACGCCATTTTGTATACATGCGGCTTGGATAAAAGCTGGACAGCCGGACCGATCCGGAATAAAAACTCGTCGGACCTGATCAAAATTTATCGGACATGTCCGTCGGACCGACGTATTTCGGGAAGTCTGAACACATCAAATTTGTAATCCAGGGGTCGTGTAGGCGAAACAAAATTTCTCTGTGGCAGTTGATTTATGACATGAAACCCATTAGTCATTTGTCACCTGCAGAGATAAAGGTAATTACTGATAAAGTCATCTAGGAAAGTGTATTAAGTTGACTGATCGCCCAAATACGACCAGGATATTTGTTTAAATTGACATTAAAAACCTGTCGAACCAATCGTTCGCATTAAAAATGTGTTTTTTGTCAATTCAGGTGCAGAAGTCTCCTCTATTCTGGAAGAGAGAATTTTAGGCCAGTCAACAACAGCTAATCTTGAAGAAACTGGAAGAGTGTTAACTATTGGTGATGGTATTGCCCGTGTATATGGACTCAAAAATATTCAGGCTGAAGAAATGGTGGAATTCTCAAGTGGTCTACGAGTAAGTAGTATAGTATGGGTATAGAGATAGGTCATGATCAGTAAATGAACCCTTTTACTTTTTGGTTCTCTAGGTCATGGTTTTTTATCAATAACTCGGACTCATGGGCCCTTTGCCTTTAGGCTTCACAGGTGCATGAAAAAAGTGGTTTATGACCAATAACTTGACAACCTATGGGCCCTTGGCCTTGAAACTTCACACATACATTGGTCCCTATTGATTTTTGAATTAAAGGTCAAGGTCATATTGATCTTGTATATCAAAAATGTTTTTGAGCAATAGTTCAACAGCACATGGACCCTCAGCTTTCTAACTTCACAGGTGCATTGGTCTTGGTATGTAAATGACCCTTATTGATTTTGGGGTCAAAGATGTTAAATCAATGTTTGACAACAAATAACTTGACAACCCATGGGTCCCATTACTTCACAAGTGCATTGGTATTGGCTAGTACATGGCCCTACTGATTTTGGTCAAGGTCACATTAACATGACTGACATAATTAAGCTTACGCCAAAACTGTTTTCAGGCAATATGACATGCAACTTACAACATGCTGACAATGGGGCTTGGGGCATGCATGTTTTATGCTATCTTGCACATGCATTTGAGGTTGTGTAAAAGTAAATTTAATGTGCAAATTAACAAGTATCTCCTTTCCAGACGAGTCACTGATGATATTGAAAAGCAACATGTGTGACCAAAATCAATTGAAGGTCATTCTTAAAGAATAAAAGATTCACAAGCCTAACCTGGATTTTTAGTTTTTACTCTTTTGCTTTTGCTTTTTTTTTTAAAGCTCCGGGGAATTAACTTCCTTTTTTGCAAAGCCAATGGAACTTAAAAACTAATTATTATTTCTTTGGTCAACAGAGATTTCTATGAATTACTGTCTTGACTACATTACTGCAGGTAATATTGTAAAACTAAGTCCACGATTCAGGCAAACTTTTCACCAATTGATAATCATTTTAGATTTTTAGTGATAAATTTTAAATGTAGACTTAATGAATATTGTGTACATTTATTTTTTCTGCTCTCTTCCAGGGTATGGCTTTGAACTTGGAACCAGACAATGTAGGTGTTGTAGTATTTGGTAATGACAAACTTATTAAGGAAGGTGATATTGTAAAGAGAACCGGAGCAATTGTGGATGTGCCTGTTGGTCTAGAAGTTCTTGGCAGAGTTGTAGATGCCTTGGGAAACCCAATCGATGGCAAGGTAAATATTTTTCAAGCTATTGTGTTTCCTGTTTGTATACTTGTGCTTATAAATTGTAATTCTATCCCCATCACATAATGTCAAGGGGGCTATACTGTAATTATTTAGGGGCTTGTCTCCATCTTATTCCGGGATTTTCTTCAAACTTTGCTCAAACTTTCACCTCAACAAGGGGTTGTGTATGGAACCCATTCGAAGGTCAAGGTCACAATTTAAGGTCAAATATCACACAATTTTGTGTCAGCTCTACAAATCTTATGCCACTTATAGGAATTCTTTTATCAAACTTGGCTCAAATGTTTATCTAAACAAAACATTGAATATGCCTAACCCTGGCTGTATTAGCTCAAGGTGAAGGCCACCCTTGACGGTCAAATATCAAAACAGTTTTGTGTCTGCTCTATTAATCTTTACCCCTTCAAAGATTTTTTACAAACTTGACTTCAGGGTCTCCGTAAGTTGAAGTTTTGCAGTCATTCTCTCCTTGATTTTGGATTGTGACATCCAAAATTTAATGTTCTTCCTTCTTCACCTATAAAATGTAACTTCTATTGTCAGAGATTTTGCGTCTTTTGACTTCCAAATGTTTTAACTTAGAGGAAGCCCTATAGGCACCATTGTTCACCTCAACATGGCAATGAGCAGAATCCATGCCAGGGCTGTGATGGGGCATGGTCACCTTTGATGGTCTGTCAAATATCAGATGATTTGTGTCTGCTCTGTAAATTCTATACCCCTTGTAGGATTTTCTTCACATATGGCTCCAATAGTCACCTTGACAAGCTGATGTGCAGAACCCATGCTGTTTTTTGCAGACTCGAGGTCAAAGTGAAGTATCAGTTACATGTCTGCTCTATGTGTATCTTATACAGTTATATCCATAGATAAAGGATTTTCTTCAAAATTTTCATTTGAATTATCTGGTCATTCGATTGCTGTAGGAAGAAACTTAATGTACTATATATTGTAATGAATTTTAGGGTCCATTGGATTGCAAGACAAGAGCTCGTGTAGGAACAAAAGCCCCCGGTATTATCCCAAGAATTTCGGTAAAAGAACCTATGCAGACTGGAATCAAAGCTGTGGACAGTCTTGTACCAATTGGTCGTGGCCAGAGAGAATTGATCTACGGAGACAGGCAGACAGGGTAATTTATCTTGTTGAACTTTTGAACAATTTGAATACAAGTACTTTAGCAGTTCATTTTGAAATGAACTCAAGATCTTTTATTATAAACATTAATTTGTGTTCACTTTTAAACCCTTTAAATGTTTTGACGAAAACAACTTGCAGAACCTTGACCATTTATGCTCAATTTCTAGGTAAAGATCAAAGCTCTATTTATTAAAGAAACTGTTGTCGAATGTGTATCTGTTTGAGCCAGACTCCTGATGCTTATTGTGAACCTTTGATCCCAAAAAGCTTCTCTGTTTATTAACTAGGGAACACAGTCCTCAGGTTGGATGGGTTGGTGAGTCAAGACTGGTAGAAAATCTGTTTTGATTTTTTGGCCTGTATGTCAAAAATTCAAGTAATGATGGCTTGATCATAAGAAAGTTTCAATTATTACAGAATACTTTTTATTAATTTAACACATTAATCAATTAGAAATGGGTTTATACAACAGCTTGTAAGAAAAATGAACATTCTTGGCAGTCAATTTCCACGACTTGGCATAAAATCACCATAATCGCTTGAAAATTGGTCAAATGAGAGAAAATTTTGCATTTCAAAGTGACTATCAATTTTTAAATCTGCAAGTCATTGCGTCCTAGAAATATACAAGATACTGTCTACAAGTGTAACAGTGTTTAAGATGTAAAAGCAATACTGAAAAGCTGTCAACAGTTTAATCCAATCAGAGAGAAAGTTTTTGCAATAATTTAGTTTGCAGGTCGGTTGTTGAGTTTGTCTAATTAGCATATACATGCAACAAGCTTGTAATAAAGTAGATTTGTGTAAATTATATGTAAAAAGAATAATTGTCACAGGTGCTTTCCTTAAAATACTTATAAAATGCTGTTTACACAGAGCTATGTAAATCTGTGGCATTAATTGACTTAAAAATTTCAATAATAGGTAAAATTAGGCATAAATTTATTGGTGTGTAATGCAAAATACAAAGTATCAAAATGCAGAAGGCATACCTTATCAACTGTTCAATTTATTTACGTTTTTAGAATGTATATTTTAAATAACCTACCGAAAACATTATGATGTTGTTTTTTTCCAAACAGAAAAACTGCCATTGCCATTGATACAATCATCAACCAGAAACGTTTCAATGATGCAACTGATGAGAAGAAAAAATTGTACTGCATTTATGTTGCTATTGGTCAGAAAAGATCAACAGTTGCACAGATTGTCAAGAGATTGGCTGATGCAGGTGTGTATATTATTCAAGTACATGTTCAAAGGGCTGAGTGGTTAATGTTTTCTTCAAACCGCTTACACCTCTAGCACTTTGTTCAAATGAATCTCAATCAAATTTTGGTTGTATATTGTCCTGCCTATTTGGTGTTCTAGTTTAACCTGCATGGCTCTGGGCTCACTGTCAAAATAGCAATAAAGGCTTAGTAATTCATTTTCAAAACATCACTATTAAATGACATAAATCACCCAAATGAAGGGCATGACAAAATTGGTCGCTTTATTCAATGTACAAATAAAGGAACATGGAATTATCAAATCATTTTCATGCGGCAATATACACATTCTGTTTAGTGAATTAACATTCGAAGCAATTGTAGGACTTACAAATTCCCTTGCACTGTGGTTATGCAGATGTTATTAAATGGGGGAAAAAGGTGCATGAACCTTCTTTTGAGATTGTTTCTTGGCATATGAGATTATGAAAAAATGTGCATGTCTGCAAAATTTAATTTTGTCATAAGATTTTGCTATTTTGATGAAACTCTAGTTTTTATGATAAAAGGTACAAAATGTATAGTCACAGTCACTGAATGTCAATGCTCATTTTTCTCTTGATATGATGTTTAAATAAAGTAAACGTTCAGATTTCTATGCTGACAACTTCTTCACTGATCAAGAGAAATTAAAAACTGTCTGATAGTAATTTTTAGCTCAAATATCATAGATAAGTAGGGTTATCCTACTCAATCTAGGTGTTGATGGAACATTTAAAGTTGTATGTGCAACTTCTTGGATTAAAGGGTTACAGATCTTTAAAGATTCATAATTACTTAGCAACATCCATCTTCAAAACTGTTGAAAGTATTCACATGAATCTTGATGCATGTATTCAAATGTTCATAACTCTTGACATGGATTTTGGAGAAAAAAATAGGCCTTTAGTTTATGTAGAAAGTTCTCAGTTTAAGTTGTGCATGGAACATCAATCTTCAAACAACTGAAGTTTTTCACTTTAAAATTAATAGCAACTAATTTAAGAGTCTGCTTGTCCATGGGAAAGCAGTGGCGACAAATTCACATGTCTATACTGCCACTTGGGCAATATATTTTAGGATCCATTGATTTTCATGATACTTTCCTAACTGGATTTAGACTGAAATTAGGCTCTTTGTAAACTTGGATAAGTCTCGGTTAAAGTTTTGCAATTTATTCAGTCTTTGTGTATAAACTACTAAAGTTTATTCTGTTCATGTTTTTGTGACCATAATTGTTCTTGCACTAGCTTAAAATGTAGTTTTAGACCCTCACTCCTGGGAATGATCTGACACTATTGTTTGCCTTGCATACAAAGTTATATACCTTGAATGTTTCTTTTCCATTTTGTTCTTCTGCTCAGACAATTATTACAATTATTGATTTTTGTCTGTCACTATAAAGCTAATATGATTTATTATTAAAAAGTTTATGACTACATTTTAGATGCCATGAAGTATACAGTTGTTGTAGCTGCCACAGCCTCTGATGCTGCCCCTCTACAGTACCTGGCTCCTTACTCTGGCTGTGCCATGGGAGAATACTTCAGAGACAACGGAAGACATGCCCTCATTATATATGATGATTTGTCCAAACAGGTATATATCTTTATCGTTATCTCTGTGTCTTCAAACATATTTTCAGGTTAAACTGTGCCTTGGCTTTTTAAATGAAATTGTCCTCTTTATGAATTCTTGCATTATACAGGTTTTTTGGTTTGAATGAATGTTTGGTTTTAGGCTGTTAAAAATAAAGATAGTAACCTGTAGTTCTTTGTATCATTCAGCATAGGATATCAATACAACTAAGTTGCTTGTTATTTTAAGGCTGTAGCCTACAGACAGATGTCCCTGTTGTTGAAGAGACCTCCTGGTAGAGAAGCCTACCCTGGTGATGTATTCTATCTCCACTCTCGTCTACTTGAGCGTGCAGCTAAGATGAATGATGACCATGGTGGTGGATCACTCACTGCTCTCCCCGTCATTGAGACTCAGGCTGGTGATGTATCTGCTTACATCCCAACTAATGTCATCTCCATTACAGATGGACAGATTTTCTTGGAAAATGAATTGTTTTACAAGGGTATCCGACCAGCCATTAATGTAGGTTTGTCTGTCAGCAGAGTAGGCTCAGCTGCCCAGACCAAAGCCATGAAACAGGTCAGTTATTGTTACTTGTATATTCATAAATTACGGTCTCTATTTAACAGAAAAGCTCGTTATTAGGCTTGAAAAATTGGTTCTAAGATTAAAACAGTAAAACAAAGAAAATGGAAACAATGTTTGTAAAAAATGAGAATGTTTTGTTTATCATTGCCTTGTCTCCTACATGATCAAATTTAATTGTGTTTTATTAGTTTAGAGTAAAGAAAATAATAAGCTTGTTTTCCTTGTTTTAAATGAATAAAATATTTTTTCATCACAGGTTGCTGGTTCCATGAAACTGGAATTGGCTCAGTACAGAGAAGTTGCAGCTTTTGCCCAATTTGGTTCTGATCTTGATCAGGCCACACAGAACCTCCTTAACCGTGGAGTACGTCTCACAGAATTGTTGAAACAAGGACAATATGGTAATTAAAGTTCATGTTGTTAAAATTCAAACAAAGGAAAACTGTTTAGTGCAAGCCTTAGAAATTTAAGAATGTAATTCTTAATTTCTAATTTTAACTTGCAAGCATGGATATTTGAGGTCAGAAATAACCTTTTGCTAAGGGTTTTTCGTCTAGACTGTCTGATATATAGACTGTCTAATATATTCTAAATTCTTAATTGTTCTATAAAATGCTTGTAGATTTGTGTAGGTACTTTTCATCATTATCCTCTGGTGAGATTTCAGGTAATAACAGTTAATAACCTGAAATCTCATCAGAGGATTAAAAGTAAGATTGTTTGTTTATAAGAATTTTCAATGTATGGGTGTTACTTTTAGGTGTCAGGGTTGTAAAGTGATAGCATGCTTTATACTATCATGAAAAAAACAAAACAACATAATTAAAGTTCTATCTTTTGATACATAATTTTCATAGAGCGGATGTATATTTAGATGATTAGCTGGACGAAAATGTTTTTTTTTTTTTGTTTTTTTGTTTTTTATAGAATTGTAAATAAAATTCTTAAAGATGTGTAGACTTTTATGATTTATTTTAATGTTTCAGTACCAATGGCTATTGAAGAACAAGTTTGTAGCATCTATGCCGGTGTCCGTGGATTCCTTGACAAAATTGACCCATCAAAAATCACAGCTTTTGAGGAGGATTTCCTCACCCACATTCGTACATCTCAGCAAACCCTTTTAAATGAGATCCGTGAACAAGGAATGATCAGCGAGTCCAACGATGCTAAATTAAAAGAAGTAGTTGTAAATTTCATGGCAGGATGGAGTGGTTGATTGACATTCTCAGTAGGAGACTTTATAAACAATTAACATACATGTGAAGTGCGATTGTGTGTGATATGAAAATCTAATAGTGCTTGGACCAACTTTCAACATGGCTGTTCCAACTTAATGAGAGAAATATTTATTGTTTGATAACTAAACCATTATAGAAATCGTTTAGAATGCAAGCAGCAGAAAATTGCACTGTTGCTTCAAAATATTTTTGTTTGAGGATGTTTATAATGGAATAAAATAATTGAAAGTATACTTTGTTAATCTGTGTTGATATTCAGTTTTCTATTATGGAATGTTGTTATTTGAGCATACATCCTGTTCATTATTACTGAAACACGCTTTGTTTTGCATTTGCATAGTTATCCAGATTTTGAGTGATCATCTTGCTAATTACTAATAATCGTCTGTGAAAGAACAACAGACTAAATGTAGTTCCACCATGTTATTTTAAATATAAACAGACTGTTTGTTTTTGGATGACAAGCCGAAGGTACAAATGTGCACAAAGAAAGCTTATTTTGGTTATATTGAAAATAAACCTTTTCAGAGCACCCCTTTTCCCCTTGACAAATGACTTAAAGCTAAAAATGGTCAACAAGTTTTTCATGTACTTTCAGCAAAGAGTATTTATGCTTTCAGCTTATGTTACAAAAGTCTTTAAAATATACAGGCGCAGTGAAATTAACTCGAAAGGTCTCCATTTTAGCATTGGTTAGACCAAAACGCAATATCCTGTTTATTTATACTCTTCTGTTTGAGGCTCTTATCTAGTTATACAAGGTCAAAACATTGCAGGACATTAATCACGTCATTGGGCCCGAGATCAAAGGACCTGTTTCCATAGGTTGGCAAGTGTGAAGATAAAGGATTGTTGACAATTTCATTGAAGCTAGTTCAATTACAGTGTAACTTCTGAATTCCGGAACTTCTAAAATCCGGACAATTCTGAAATCCGAACAATTTTCAGGGTCCTGAAATTTCTCCTGTTCTCTATGTAATCAAAACCTCTGAATTACGGAACTTCTAAATTCTGAATTCCGAACGATTTTCTGGTAAAATTTGGGTTATATCAGTTAAAATTTACTTCCAAAATCCGGAAATTAAAAAAAGGTGTGAAGGAATATTATACTTATAACCTTCAAAAACCATCAAAATATCAATATCTTCCAATTAACAGTACCCATTTATCTTGACACCTATTAGAATTACAACCTGTCAAGCATATCAAACACTTGTAATAAAGTGTGAAAGTTAAGAAATTGAGAAAAATAATGTGATGAAATGAAAAAATACAGGTAAATAGCAGGTACTACATGTATATCAAATATACTTAAGGATAAATTTTGATAGTAATCATTATGCTATTGTATCAGCAAATTTAGTTATTGAAATTAAAAAAAGTAAAAGTCCTATAATTGTGCTATTTTGTTAATTAAATCAGCTTTATATATTTTTTATCATGTCTTATTATAAAACAGTTGATGTATAATAAGTGTACTTTGTTCAGATAATTCCTAACTTCTGAATTCCGGAAACTTCCAAATTCCGAACTTTTTGGCTAGTCCCACAGGTGTTCGGTTTTCAGAAGTTACACTGTACTACATGTATTTTATTTGTATGCAGTACTCGACATAATTCTAAAATAGGAAAAGCTTGCAAACAAAAACATTTTTACTGTGTAAGATCCGAAATAAAATGGACAGTCTGACTAGCTTGATCTTACTGAATCGAATGCCACATAAAGGTAAAGGAACATACAAAATAATCTCTATCTCTATAAGAAATACCTAATATCAGTCAAGAAGAAGGCACAACGAAGATTTGTTTAAAATTTGTCGGATCAAATTAATCTAGAGAGAAATCGATCTACGGTCTTTTTGATGAACTTTGAAGTAATTATGCATTAATGTTTGGCACGTGTGCTCTTCATTTGGACAATATTTCTGTTAACAGTTCTTCCTGGATGGATTTCAGATTTAACTTTACATAAATCATGTGTTGGATATGATGATGATGATTAGCTGCATGCAAAAATGATGCCCCAGCTTGATGGTCAATACATGGCTTATACATAGATAAAAATGCATGATACTGTAAATACATGTCGCATCTTTAGGGCAACTATGTTATTTGGTTTTTAAAAAAATGATCTTGCATAAATATTTTCCATATTGAGATGTGTCGCGCACTTGAGACTTAAAGCATAGTGTTTCTTAAAAGGGCATGAATGTGTCTAGTGTGATTTATAAAGGATTTCCTAATTAACATGGCATACACATACATAATCAAAGATTACATGTAGTGAACAAGAGCCAGTTAAGTCAATGTTGAGAGTTGTGCCATGATTGAGCTTGGTAGTCATACCTAGTCCATATATCCATATTTTGTAGAACATTTTTTGACAAAGGAGGGTTTTCTTTGCATTGACACAATTTTGTATTGGATGTAATTTTTTTTTAACAACTAGAGAACCACTAAAGGAACAATCCAATGAAGCAGTTTAGGGTATGTTGTAAGTGTGGTGTTCTTAAATTAATTTTTATGTTATTTTCCTTTACATCCCATAAATCATTCCTGGCTGCTCATATGGTTGAACAGGCCAAGAACAGCCAGTTCTTGATATTCTTCATTTACAGCAGTGTTCTTGTGAATTAAATACTGGTCTGTTGTCCTAAATCATACATTGTTATCCTATATTGACACAATTATTCCACATTAAGTATCAATCCATAAACTAGTATGTGGTTTAACTAGGAGTAACTAACGGTGATCATTTATTACTAGTTTACTGGAATATTTTTGTGAAACATGAACCTGATACTTTGTAGTGCATTTACACGATTATCCTCTTACAATACAACAAATTATTGGGAAGCTGGATTTCAGCTACTTCAAAATCCTCAGTTTTCTAATTATGCTACTTGGCACATATTAAAATTGTAATGCCTATCTTTATTGTACTGCTATGTGAAATACAGACACACTGACATATAACTCCATTTATATTTTACTATTCTGTTGTAGCAATTAATACAAAAACCTGACATGCTTAACAGAAGCATAAAAATCACAAAGTTTTGAACACTTTTCAATTCTATTTTATTTTTATCACATCTTAACATTATGTTATTGGTCAAACAAATCACAGTTCATTTTTGCTAAAACTTCACACTTCAACTCTCCATCCATGGATTACTTTTATTAATATGCCCATTCCAAAATAAACTAAATGTGTGAACACAATAATAAATATGAATGTAAATTTTATAAATATACAATACAGGCAACAAAATGTTTTATGATATACAACTTCGTTACAAACTTTGAATGAGTTAGACCTAGGTTTTGTTCAGCCTGGCATGATGACAACAGGTATGTAATTTGCTTTGTTTGCAATTGTAAAAATTTGAGAACATTAAAGGGACTCCACTGAGGTCCAATAGCCTAAATATAAAATTTGAATTTCTTACATAGATCACCTAGGACACTTATGCAAAAGATGAAATTATATACAACAGAATTTAATCAAATTGTACTTTGTGCCATTCTTAGACTTATTTGAGCGAAAAGCAGATTGCATTTCATTTCAATTATTGGTTATTTTTCACAAAATAATTACTCTTGTAAAACAGAAAGTTCAAATGAGATGAAATTTTGCACAGAAGTTAAACTGTTATTGGTCTAGACCTACATCAAATTGAAAATTAATCTTGAAAAGTTCAAATCCTGCCAAGCAAAAAAATCTCAGTGGAGACCCTTAAAACAATAACAATAGAGATGAAAAAAAAATGTGACCATCTACTTCATTTTGGTTTAAGATCGAGTTTCTTCATTTGCACTATCTTGTATACACTTGTGGTAATATCAGGCCCCGTGTTCACAAAGATTCTAGGATCAGGATCAAGATCAGGATCAAATCTAAAAACTCAAATATTATCCATTGTTAATTCTTATAGATTAGATATTTAATATTAACTTGATAAAACTGGACTTGAAATAGCATGCTTTTGAAATTAAAGAATAAATTTATTGTAATTTTTGAAAGATATGGGCATTTTACAGTTGATCCAAATATTGATCTTGATCCTAAAATTGATCCTTATTTTGATCCCATTATTTTTGTATTTGTTTCGTTATTTGTCTATTTTATCCCAAAACAGGATTGTTTCTTTGCAAATCAGCAAAATATTACATTAACTTTATGTACCATTCAATTCTAGCAAAATACGATCAATAGTAGTTATATAAAACACAGAAAATAAAATCAGGATCACTTGATCCTGATCTTTTCTTTGTGAACACGGGGCCAGATGCTCATTCTGCAGTATTTAATTCCATATCAATAAGTGATATTAGCAATTTATAAAGAGTTCTTAAATCACCAAGCATTAATTCTTGATGTGCAAATTCACAGAATAGAAATAACCTTTTTGATAATAATGTAATTGTTTAAATTATTTTAACATAACCCTTCTTACATTTCTTCTAATTACAGAAAATTATTCAAGCTTTTGCAAGAACTTTGCAAATTATTACCAATATTGCATAAAAATCTTAAATGTAATGAATTAAGCTGTAAACTCTATGGGGTGGGGTTTTTTTTTAATGACACATTGCTCAGTTAGTTGGAAACACTCCCTTACTTAATATAAGCAAATACATGTATGCAATATGAAAATCAAGCATTATAAAATCATGAACAATAAAAATTTGAAAATTTTATTTTGGGCAAGAAGCTCAAAACTTGTAAGTTTTTTTGTTGTTGTTTTTTTAAAGAGGTAATATGTTACATAACACAGTGTGCAAGAATACTTCAATTTTGCTGAAAAACGTTAACCTGAAGTGAAATATAAACCTTGACAACAGTGTTCTTTTTACAAAAACTTATGTTATATGCTTGTTTCAATCTGGATAACATTAATTTTCTAACAGCATAAATTGTAGACATTGTTAGTAATGCTTAATACTGGTGGTTTGTTATATATATAATTAAAATCACACTTACTATTAACAGTTAAAGCAAATCTTTAGAATTTTCCATTGGGAAATGCTAAAAAAAAGTGGTTTGCCAATATTTCTTTAAGAGTTGTCCAAGTGCAAGTCGTAAACTATTACCAAAATCTGTTCTTCACTTTGTTAACAAAAAATACAGCAATAATGCATCTTAATGAAATAAAAAACCTACTAACAATACATATATTTTATGAATGAATACATCATATAATTTTCATTAATCCTTTAACACTGCCTCAGCCTCTTCTACAGCATTTTGAGCTGCTTTGTAATCATCTGTACCATCTAGGTCTTTCTCACTTTCCTAAAAGTAAGTAAATATTTGTTAATAGTGTCATATCTATCGGTATCTATCGGTATACTATTTTTTTTCTTTCAATTGGTAAACTGTTGAACCCAAGAGTTAGCCTTTGTTGATAATATAGAGCCAGGTTAACCTGACTGCTTAAACATTTAGTTGGTTAATATTATTATGAAGTTTTGTATATGAATATTGAAATCCCATCAACTTCAAATGAATATTGACAAATGGATATTGGAGTGCTATAAACTTCAAATGAATATTGAAATCCCATAAACTTCAAATGAATGTTGACAAATGGATATTGGAGTGCTATAAACTTCAAATGAATATTAAAATCCCATAAACTTCAAATTAATATTGAAATCCCATTAAATTCAAATGGATACTGAAATCCAATAACTTCAAATAAATATTGAAATCCCATTAATTTCAAATAGGGATGGTAACGAATACCAAAATCAATACTCGATTACTCAGTCATTTTTCGATCGAGTACTCGGTTACTCGGATGATTTCCAATGATCTTCAGAGTTTATCACACAATATTAACACATGAAATGAAAGAGTTATGGTCTAAAAAATCTGGGTAATAATTTGACTTCTTATTATGGCCTTGACCTTGGAGCTACACCAAAGAAGCATAGTTCGAAGAAAATTGGTAGCAAATCACTAGATAATGCCACATATCAAATATCTAAACTGTAAGTCATGTTGTTTTGAACAAGATTCTAAAATACTTTTATTCGGTTGATATTTTTTTAAGAAATGAAAAACGTTGTTAAAACTTAAAGGGACTCCCCTGAGGTTTAAAAGCCTTAAAACATAACATTTGGATTTCTAAAATAAATGAGCTGGGGCATGTTAAACAGAAATATATGCAAAGATAGTTAGATTAAAAATCATATTTTTATGCTTTTCTTAGCCCGATTTGTGTGAAAAGCGTTAAAACGAAGTGCTCGAATGATCTGAAATTTTGCACAAAGATTAGTGGTCTACACCTACATCAAATAGTACATTTATCTAGAAAAAATATTTTCAGTCTTATTATATCAAAAAACCTCAGTGGAGTCCCTTTAATAAAAGGGGCATTTTTGGCATCACCATTTGAAGCAGTGGTTTTAGAATATGCTGTTTAAATCAATAAAATGACACTATGCACTGTGCAATACTGACACAGGGCAATCACCTAAGTTCGCCTGGCAGGCACTTACATTATATTTATGTAGTGTATGGGAAAACTAAAAATCAGATAATCCGACTAGAAACTACTTGAAAATCTACTGGTTAGATTTGCCTTTAAGACAATTTTTGTCAATATCTAAGAATGTGACCTTTTTATATATGCATAATGCTTATACATGTAATACATACCAGCATGTTTTTCAGTTCTCCACAAGACTTTAACAATCTACTTTTAGTATCTGGAATCATAGCTTTTGTTTCATTTATGACTTCAGTCTGAAATGTACAGATAATATCTATAACTATTAATTACAACATATTTTATCCTTTTTTTATGATTCCAATCATTATTAACTTTAGACAAATATAAATCTTGATCATAAACCCTTATCAAAATAACATTTTCTTTTGTTAGATAACTTCAATAAAGATGTTACCAGGAGTAATGTCACTTTTTACAAAGGCAAAGACAGAAAATTAGAAAACTAACACTGACAATTTTCTTAAATTTTGCATTACTAAAGACAATAATGATTTAAGCAATTTGATGTATAAAATATAACAGACACCTTCCAATTTTTGTAGTTATTTGCCTTTTATTTTTTTGAGACCCAAATTTTTTTTTTTAATTTATTTCTATCATTTCAAAGATCATGCAAAGTTAAAAAAATAAAATTCTGTGCTATATAAAATTTTCCTTCTTTACCTTTATAAAAAATTACACTACTTCCTAAAAGGTGCTTAACTTTGAAATAAAACATCAAAAACATTACTTGTTTCCTAAGATCATGATCATCACCACCATCACTTTTTTTCTTTTCATATCTCTGTTCTTCCCTGATAACTTCCTGCTCATAGTAACCTTTCTCTTTTGTTATCCTGGATAAAAAACAGATATACATCAATAACAGTACTTGCATCAAATGAGAACTTATGATATAGCTGTGACCAAAGAAACGCTCAAACCTTTCATGATTCACACTGAACATAGACATACTGTCTAAAGGAAGGAGATTCTTTGACCTTGATGGTCAAGGTAATTTTTCAAATTATTTAACATGCTGATTTTTTGTAAGTGAAAGGGTTCTTTGTCCAAGTATTGATCCAATCCATAAATAAAGAACAAAGTTATGACAATCTTAGCTTAAATCTTTACTTGACCTTGACTGTTAAGGACATTTATAGGATAAGATGTTTGAATTATTAAATATGACAGTTTTGTTAAAAGTGTTCTTTTTCCAAAGTACAGTAAAAACTCCCTAAATTGTAAATGCTCTGGACCATCATAAATTTCTGGTTTAGTGAGGATTCTGATTTGCCGAGTTTTTCTCTTTTGGCAATGAAATTTACTGTAAATATTATTTGTATAGCATGACACTGTAGTATACAATATCTTTTTGGATAATGAATATTATGCTTTTATTCTTTAATTATGTTTCATTTCCATTCTGCTTGTTGAAACACAGTAAATAACAATGTCTGTGAAATATAATTATAATAATCAATCTGATTAAAATCAGCTCTATATTACGCTCCGCTTTTACATCTGAGCCTGACCGTATATACGAAATTTTCCTGGTGACTATTCATACAGACAATCATTGGCGAGCTTTCATAATTTTGAAAGCGATGTGGTTTCTAATTTTAACCCTGGGAAAACCAATACTGAGTTGGTAATTTTCACGATTTCGAGAACAAACATGATGTCGTCCATATAGCCAGCAGGTCAACTGGCAAAACAATCTTGCCCATTAAAAATTGACTCTATTTTTTAAGTAATTTATTAAGTAATTTGTTAGAAATTACTTCAAACATTTTTTCCAACAATTTGTTCAACTTCCCCATATAACAGTATTTTGATACTTCTTCTAATGCCTGTGTAAATACTGGTTTGATTGCATGGCTAAAAATTGTTTTCTCGGGGAAATCCGAATTATAAACATACATGTGAACTCCCACTTTTAGCGGGAGACTCCCAATTTTCTGCAGCCATATTTTCAAAGATTTTTCATAAAATAAGGGTTTATTTTCACAAATTAAAGAAATCTCCCTATTGTTGATGTCAGAACTTCCTTCTTTGTTAATTTTAAATTCTAAAATCTCCCTCTTTTTGAAGAAAAATCTCCCAATTGATCATCAAACTAGAAATGTGTCCATAGGACACGGGTGCCCCCACTGCGCCACTGTTCTGCTAATCTTTTTACTAAGTCAAGGGAAATAACTCTACAAATACTGGATAAATCCACAAGCGAAACCCCAGGTGCAAATCTAAATATGCTGAGCAACCTGCCCATAAGGTTTAATGACTTTGTCAAATCCTTTTTGAGTAACTTGCGACACAAGTTGAAAATTGCAAAAAATTTCTAAGTGAAGGGCAATAACTCTAAAAATACTAAATAAATCCAGACGAAAATACCTGGTGCACAACTGCACATGCTGATCAATATTCCTGTAAAGTTACATGACTCTAGGTCAAATACTTTTTGAGTTACGTGCGACACATGTTGAAAATTGCAAAATTTTACTAAGTCAAGGGCAATAACTCTGAAAATACTATAAATATCCAGACGAAAATACCCAGGTGCACAACTACACATGCTGATCAACATTCCTGTAAAGTTTCATGACTCTAGGTCAAATACTTTTTGAGTTACGTGCGACACAAGTTGAAAATTGCAAAAATGATACTAAGTCAAGGGCAATAACTCTGAAAATACTAAAAATATCCACACGAAAATACCCAGGTGCACAACTACACTCTAGCCACATAATTACTCTCCTATGAGTGCGGAAGGACGGACGGACAAGGGTAAATCTAAAAAGTTCACATGTATGTATAAAGAAGGCAAAACAAAAACCGTCGTCATCAGATCTACATAGATCTGAACTTTAGTCAAATTGAATAATTATCTTTTTTTTTGTAACTGCTAATCGTCCCATAATTACAGTCTTTGAAGAATTCGTCGCTAAACAAATTTAGCTAAAAGAATAAATCAAACATATCCTAATAATTGTAATTTTCACAATTTAATAGGCGCCCTGTCATCGATCCACAAAAGTGTTGTAAAAGTTGTTAAGGGCAAGGTAAGACTATTTGCAGACATCACAATAGTATATCTTACAATTAAATAAACCCAAGATGCCCAAACCGACCAAAAAGATCTCAACAGTCTTGAAAACTGGGAATCTGATTGGTCCATGGAATTTAATCCTGATAAATGTGAAGTCCTTAGTATCAGCCCCAAGAAACATAATTTACATGGTCAAAATATAAAATCCACTGAGGCTGCAAAATATTTAGGTGTAACAATTAGTAAAGATCTACATCTTGTATCTTAGACCCAGGGATTTTTTTGCCAATTTTTTTAGCCCATATTCCGTCATATTCCCAATTGAAAATACAATGTAGTAAATTATTTTCCCAATCCACAGGAAAAAATTCCCAATTGAATGTTACAAAATAAAAATATTGAATACCAAATTCTAAAATCTTTGAAAATAATAAGGGCTTCTTCACTGTTATGGTCAGGTGCTTAATTGTTTGAAGAGGCCATCCTTGATTGTGACTCTTTGCATTCAATTAATCACTGCAAAATTTAAGTTATGCATTTTTTCCGGACCATTTTTTCCCCAATTTTAAAGAAATCATCCCTGAAATTCCCACATCCATGGGTATGGCCCTTTGGTTATGTTCCCAAAATCCTGGAAAAAAGCCTGGGACCAGTCATATAAAAAACATAACAGCAAAAGCAAATAAATCACTCAGATTTATAAAAAGAAATGTCAAAACATCCAACAAAAACTTAAGAAGGTCAAAGAAACTGCCTATAAAACTTATCTAATGCCCCAGTTAGAATACTGTTCCATGGTTCCAGGAACGATGGTTAGGAAACTACCCGCCTATATGACTGAAATAATGTTGGGAAAAGGCGTAAAATGAAACAAACTAACAAAGTTCCACGGTTTGGCATCCTTGGCAAAAATATATGGTTAACACAGGGTCTTTCAAATAGAATGGTCTGGAGACAGACTAATTTTCCGAAAAATGCTGTCTCGGTTGAGTCACGTGATTGGGTTATCTACCGACCGTGATATGGCATTCAAAAATCAAATTATAAGATGTTTTGTTAAATCAATCAAAAAATTACTAAAAACTAACTCTATCAGTTTTTACTTTAAAAGTAACAATTTTATAGATTTGCAATGAAATTAGAAATTTTTCGTTCCGGGTGTCAAGGTAAAAATCTAATGCTCATATTTGAAAATAGGTCCGAGTTTCATGAGCTTTTTTACATTCATGCCTTGTTCAATGAAAAAATAGAAATTGATTTTACAGAGAAAAGATGTTATTAAATCGTATCATGTAAAAATATTATAATATTTTATGATGTTATTTGCAAATATTTGATGTTTTATTTGGTGCATTTTCAAAATGGCGCCGATTATCGGCAAATATTCTGAACAAACAATACCACAAACAATCTATGTTTTTTAACAAAAATGGCTTTAAAAAACATCCTTTCCTGAAATATTGATTCTTTTTTTCAAAAGTTTAAAGATTTTTAAATAACATCATGTCGTTAAAATTTTCATTTTTGTTCTTGTATTTAATATTCGCCTTTTTCTTGAACACTTACATAATTTGCTTATAGCAAACTATACCGATTTATACCGAGACATGTTTAATTGTAGCAAGAAGGGTTAACACAGCGTGTTTCCAGACCATTCTATTTGAAAGACCCTGGTTTACAAAATAGAACAAGTTCAAAGGTCAGCTGCCAAATATGTATACAATGACTACAATTACACTCGTAATGTATCTAAACTATTAAGTGATCTTAATTGGCAAACTCTAGAGTAGAGTGGTAACATCAGCTCTGTTACTCTACTCTAGAAAATCCAACGGGCGAATTGACCTTTTCGAAAACCTAGCTAAACACCGTTTTCCGGTACGTTACCGTTTTAGCTCTGGGGAATTACATCAAATGAAGTACATAACACAGTTACGTGATATTTCGATTTTTCTATCAGTATTTAACCGTTTAAGGTGAAAAAATTGATGTTTTTGAAAATTATCAATATTCCTTTAATATCTATTCCAAATTATTCAAAAAAATAAATTGTTTATAATGAAAATCAATAAAATTCAAACAGACGTAGTGGAATCTTCCATAATAAATAAGGTTATTTTCTGCGTTAACTTGTGTATTTACTTTATTTTTTGTATGGAATTATTCATACAATGATATCTAATTATTTTCTTATAAAGAAATAATTACTTTATTTCAATTTGATTTTAAAAAAGACCGAAAACATCGAGTTCGCTATTACACTCCATTGGGTGAATTCCCCAGAGCTATGTACAGAAAGTACCGGAAAACGGCGTTTAGCTAGGTTTTCGAATTCGTGAATCGTTATAAATAATTCTCAACACAATTTACTCGCGAAAACATGTGTCTTTATATTTTATCTGTTTATACTATGTTTAAAAGAAAAAAAAGATCACTTTACCTCTTCACTACACCCGTTTGTATTTTTATCTTTTTAACTCTTGGATCTGCATTTGCCATTTTTGTCTGTTTTTGAATCAAACCTATAAATATCTCTGATAAGTAAATATGTATCTGTTGTTGTTGTTACCACACACGCGCTGTGAGTCACTTGACTGGTTCGATTGGGCTATTCTGACTCGCGACAACTGAACAAGTAAATAAATATTGAACAATAAATACAAATGTACAAATGTAGTCCAATATATTACTATATAGACGTTACGGGCTTGTTAGAATTTATGATGATCAGTCCGAGCATAGAATTAAAAGAATAAATAAAGGGAATCAACAACAGCAAGTTCCACGCACAGACACTTGGGGTTTGGAGCTCAAAATGCCTTTAAAATCCAAATAAAATGCATATTTGTCAATCCCAGCACATGTACTGATCATATATATAAAAAAACTTAATATAAGCCGTTTTGAAAAAAAATCATATTTCAACATATATAATAATACACTCAAAAAGAAAGAATTTACCGGGCTTGCAAATTCCGTAAAATTACCTTATTCGGCATCTATCTTACCCAGTGTTACTTAATCACCTAGTGGCTCTATATATCTGTTCTCGGGAACTAAACACTTTTCATGCGCTTTGACATTACTAGCTATATACTATACAGTCCGAAACCATGTAAGAGCAATTATTTTTACAATACGCGGGTATGCACGTTGGATAGGTTTAGAACTCAATGTGGCCATACCACGTGACTTTTCGGGTACGGAGCACGCCGATTTTTCACCCGATTCAGGCATGTTTTTTATTCATAACTTATTTATTACTCAACCGATTTTGATCAGATAAGGCGCAGAGTACCCGTAATTATATCAGCTTTCCACGGTTTATCAAAATTCTGAAAACGCCTGAATGGTTTTTGAATGGTTTTTGAGAACATTCGAGTACAGTTTTCTTCTCATAGCCGGGGCCGAGGGGAACGGTACACACTCATTTGTCATAACAAGCGCTTTCTAGCAAGTCATATGTTTTTTGTCACTATTTCATATAAAAATACATGTTAAATCTGCTATATTTACTATGCCCAATGTATCGAGTGAATGCAGTGATGTTTTAGCATATTTTCATAAAGTTATGTTGAAATGGTACGGAGCACACTGTTATTTCAAAAGATACGGTACACACAGTGCACAATTTCTGTCTAAAATAAAATATATGAAAATTTAATTTAAATTATAATGTAAGTGATTTTTTTCCATAGTTATACATTTTATTAATTTAAACGAGAACCCCAGCTGGGACCTGTTTTGCAATGTATCATTATGCTTACAGTTTGATGCAAACAGCAAACAGGATTATTAAAAAAATAAAAGAAAATTTTGAGAGTACGTCGCGCAAAATTCGATTTTAAATGTTGAGCAAGTAATATTTGGCTATAAAATGTTAATATTTTAGGGAGGGATTCGGAAGACATTCAAACTTTTGTTTTGTTTTTCATTTGAAATAATTATGTATACTTTTTCGGATTATAAAACGAATTGTGAAATTCATGGACATCTGTTATGTGCAATTATTCTTTCATTTAATTTATTTGTTCGAATATATAAATGACTGTCTAAACCTAGTATGAATATGAAAAACAAACAAGAAGTAAGGAGTAAGTTGGAAATATATGATCCTTGCAAGATGTTGTTTAAATAATCGAATTTGGAGAAAAAACGCTGGTTTTGATGTAAATCACGGAAAGTTTAAAGTATTTTTCTGCCACATGATATTTGTTATGAATCATCTGCCAGGGTCCAAAACTAACTGCATGTATTTAAATTATCAAAGTATCTACATATGGACAAAGATATTCCGCAGTTTTACGTGCAATCAAAGTTAACAGCCGGTTAATTTGAAGAACCCATATGGGAACAAGGCCTGTTATATAACGTAACGTAGTTTACACAAGGTAACCTTGTTACATACACATGTAAGAAATTTTGGTAAAATTATGCCTATCTTGGACTTTCATTTAAAAATGCTTTAAAAACAGGAGTTCATGGATATGTGTGCTTGCGTGTTTGTGTTAAAAATAAAATGATATTTTAATTATACCCATTTTGTCAATCAAATGATATGGATTTTGGAGGCTGCGTTCTGTTTTATGTACTACATGAAGTAGGTACGAGACCACAAGTCACTTCGATGTTTCGATTTTTTATGTGAGAAAGATTCTAACTACATAACGTCGGTCGTTCTACTCAAGTGCCCGTTCGTACCTTTATTTATACCCAAAGGGGCTTTTGTAAACTGGAAAGTCGCCACATGATCATGTCAGTTTTGGTGAGCCGTGAAACCAAACCAAAAATGACCTATATTACCTGAATTAAAAGTTATTTTTAAAGCTTAATGTCTTTAAACATTAAAAAATTTAAGCCATGGCAACTACATTTTTATTTGTTTGGGTCGTCAGACCAAACAAATAATGGTAGCGAAATTTCAGACTTTGATATACTTATTAGCAAAATCAGAAATTAGTCCGAACTCCTCGAAGCGGTTACTTACCTTTTTGAAGTACTCTAACGCTGAAAAAATAAGGGGAGATCACTGCGTAAAGATTATCAAATGACAGGCGCATTAATTTTCAAGACTTCTTTGGGGAAGAAAAAGTAGTTCCCGATTGGTCAAAGATTTCAAATATTGTGTAATTCTTTTCAGATATACATGTACCATTAAGCTCCATGATTATTTACACCAGTGTTAAACGAAATTAATAAGGGTTACAAACCCTAAGTTAGAATGATATGGTTTTCTTCAGGCTGTTATCTTATAACTTCCCCGTAGTCGAGGGGTTACACGCTCGTTTAGGAAGAGAGATGTCCTGAGTTCAAATTCCTGTTAAGGCAACTCATGTTTTTTTTGTGTTTTTTTTAATTGTTTAAGCCAAATAAACATTGAATTGAATATCAGTGTTGCAATAAGCCTTATAGCCACTTTACTACAGGTATAACAGTGGAAACAGCATTGGTGGCACTATACAGAAACAAATTGGTTTATAATCTCACAACCTTCACCTTTCTGACATTCTGAGACCCAAACAAATTCAGCGCCTTCTGTGCTTTGATTTTATTAAACATGACCATGATATTACAAAATTGTACAAAGTGACTTACTTATTATTAACAAAATATAAATATATATAATGTTATCAAGTATTGATATTTTTCAGCGATTTAGGTCATGACCTTGTTTTATTTTTTCAGGATGAAGCAAAAAGACATATCTTACACTTCACTAAAACTAAAAAAAAAATAATAAAAAACATCAACAATAAACAACAATAAACACAGCATTATAACAACATTTTTTTTCTGTAGAACAATCATTTTAAACGCAACTACCCTGATTCTGTGAAGATCGAAGTGTTTAACATACCCTAGGTGATTTTAAATAGGACAATTACATGGAGGTTGTAAATGTTAAGCGTGCTCTCTTGAAATATAATGCACAAATACATATTAACATTTAAAGTAAGCATAATGATACATTGTAAAACGGGTCCCAGGGTTCTTATTTAAATTAATTAAATGTGTAACTATGAAAAAATCACTCACATTATAATTTAAATTAAATTTTCATATATTTTATTTTAGAATTATTTCAAAGACAGAAATTGTGTGTGTACCGTATCTTTTGAAATAACAGTGTTTTCCGTACCATTACAACATAACTTTATGAAAATATGCTAAAACATCACTGCATTCACCCAATACATTGGACATAGTAAACATATCAGATTTAACATGTATTTTTCTATGAAATAGTGACAAAAACACATGACTTGCTAGAAATCGCTTGTTATGACAAATGAGTGTGTACCGTTCCCCTCGACCCCGGCTATGAGAAGAAAACTGTACTCAAATGTTCTCAAAAACCATTCAGGGGTTTTCAGAATTTTGATATACCGTGGAAAGCTGATAAAATTACGGATACTCTGCGCCATATCTGATCAAAATCTGTTGAGTAATAAATAAGTTATGAATAAAAAACATGCCTGAATCGGGTGAAAAATCGGCGTGCTCCGTACCCGAAAAGTCACGTGGTATGGCCACATTGGAACTACTGCGTTTGAACCTTGATTCGAAGGAATCCCACCCTACATACACTCCCTTTATTATATATATACATTCGTAATTGTGCAACCGGCATAAAGTCATGGCACGCTCTTACCCCACCCCATCAGTCGTTGAGAAGAAAACGGATGGTGCCATCACTTACATTCTAGGCTTTTTATTTAGTACTGTAAAGGTGACAGTTTTAGGATAATAAATCATATAAATATGAAATAAGTAATATCTTGATGGGTGGATTTTCGTAATAGAGCACCAAGAATATCAAACAAATACAAGGCCCAAATGTATTAAATTATGATAAAAGACGTCTTACTTTATTCTGACCAGTGAACAGTATACGGTAACGTTTTGAATTTCATCCGATGAAGGTAAACCTTTTTACAATACGATTTTTCCCAGTAACGGATGTTATAATTGCATTTTGCGCATGTGCATTTGGTGCATGGCAAAAAAGTCCTCTGTTTAAGGTTTCATTATACGAGTATTCTTGAGTAATATAAACCAAAACAGCAGGGTGTGAAAGATGCAATTTTATTACCCCTGTACTACATAATATTACAAAATTTGTATTACGAATAAGTGGATTAGCATGGCGGTAAGTTTCAAACAGATTGACACGTGAGTTAGTTAACAATATCATTCAACCGGGACGTTTTAGTACCATAATTTATGACATAGTTAATCACGTAAAGTTATGAAAATCGTTGTATGTATGTACTCTAGGCTTAATGAGGGTCCATCCGCCCTTTCGGGCACTGAGAGTACGGACCCCGGACATGTCCCCATTCATGTCCTTAAATGTTACTATCCACCAAAAGGTGACTTATAAATTTTGAATTCAGTAATTCACTGAATGATACTAAATATGTATGCAAGTTGAGTTTTGTGATGATACAATTTTGATGCATGGGAGGCCAATGAGACCATTATATGCACCATGGAGAAAAATGAAAATGAGCTTGATTGATCGATAAGATTATGCAACTCGGACTGATACCTGACCCATATTTTCCGTATGCACGACCGACATGCACGAGCATTCTTTCCAGGTTTTTACAAGCGAATTTGGAATGAAATTTTAGCCAAACATTGGTTTCTTTTTCAATTTTGTATAATAATACTAATGAGAATATCCCAAAACTGGTGAAATATTAAATACATAAAAACACATAGTAAGATTCAGCAAATGATATAGAACAGATCATTTGTATACTTTTTTGCCTTTTTATTGAGGGTAGCTTTAGTAAAAGGGGATCTTGACTCCATTCTATATCATTGTTCGCAGAAAATATTAAGTTGGCTCATATGACTATATTTGTTGAGTTGGTGGCCTATTCTTAGATATCTCATATTGGGTTGCGATGTGAAAGGACTGTATTTTTTGGTTTAATGGCCTTGGCTTGTCCAACTTTTTGTTAAGTTGGCTCATATGGGACCTGTAGGGCTTTATATGGATTGGTCTGTAGACATACGTAAGGGCCTTAAAGTGTCCAACCTTATATTATCCGTTAGCTTCTTCTTACAAAATTAAAAGTTAACTTTAAATTACAAAAAGCTTGTTAAAATACGTTATATAAGAAACTTTTACATATACCTATCTCATCAATGTTTATTGATTTTGTGAACTGACAAATAGTGTGACGTGATTTACATGTGTTACTAGGGAACCTGATAATTTAATATGTGTAATTTTGCTACTCACTACCCATCTTCTCAAGATTTTGAAAAAAATATTTAAATATATTTATATGTGACTTAAAACTCTTCTGGCATCGCAGATAAATGATAAAATCAGGTAATTGAAACTAAAAATGCATTACCACATCGGTCGTGGCACTCGACGACCGGAGAAAGTGCACCCGGCCGACGGCGAGCGGCGCCAGGACGGGGTCCCGTTAAAGGATCCCCGCACCCCGACGCGCCACCATCGGCGGCGGGCTGAATTCCCCGGGTCGACTTTGCGGATCCACCCGTTTGACTCTATGCGGTTTAACGTACTCTTGAACTCTCTCTTCAATGTTCTTTTCAACTTTCCCTCACGGTACTTGTCCGCTATCGGACTCGTGCCAGTATTTCAGTATGGTAATTAACTTTGATAATTTCTTTAGTTTTTATATGAAATATTTCAACAATAATTAAGTTGACCTCTTCATTGCTCATAGATATATACGTTTTTGCACATTTTTTACAACAATTATCTCCATGTCAGGTCCGTGATCGCAAGGGGGTTTCTTAAACAATAATTTTGTTCGTGCATTTTTATGGCAATCTTGGCCACAAAGCTACAAAGGCATCTTTTGTGTTTTTGTTAAAAGCTGTTTTATATAATTTTCTACATTTTATTTGAAGTTTTTCACCTGGATTTTAGCTAAGATTGTTGACAATAATATTGTCGAAGTCGTCCAAATTGTAAAAACTCGAACGTTTTTGAAAATGGTAAGTTGTTCAATAATATGATATTTATGCACTTTAAACATTTCTTATTTGATGATATTCCCCATTTTTTATATGTATCGTGATTTTACAGTAAACATAATACCTATACCTGGCTAATATATTCAAGTGTTTCGATAAATACAGGACTTATTTTCATCGACTGGTATAAAAATAAAGCGGTTGCCACGAGTGAAATATGACAATCTTTATACCACAAGATAAAAATAAATCTTGTATAAAAAATTAAAAAAAACTTGAATTTTCACTTTATTATATTCTATTTTCTTTTTCTTTTTGACATTACAATTTGAAAGACTTCTTGGTAAATTTTGTGTTTATGCTGAATTTAGTAGAAAGTAGTCTGAAAGTATACGGAAAAATGTTTCACTGCAGTGAAAAGTAAATTTTACAGTGAAAATACGGAAAATGAAAATACGCTTTTTATTTCATCAATATTTCTCAATATTTCATTCATGAATATATATAACAAGCATGTATATACATTTATATTCCCGATTTAAGAGCTTCAATTTGTGTGAATCAATCATATGTAAATATATAGTTAGCTTTCAATCGATTATCGAATATGATACCTAATATAATTACGGTGTACTATATACAGTTTATTTTATTGATCAATCAATATTCTATAATGTACACAGATATTGTGTTTAAGACATGACCTACATTTAACATGTTTAAACGGCCATACGTATTTTTATATTTTCTTAATTACAGATCATGGCAAAAGAAATAAGGGATTAAGTTTCATAAGTTGTAATTTAAGAATTTTGATAAATGGGTACGTATGATTCATTTTTAAATTATTTTATCGGGTTTATTATCAATACATGTCAACACTTTTAACTTAAACTTAAAGTGACATATTCTATTTTTTCATCGTCAAGTTGAGCTGAATTAACTCTACATAAAATATTGACTTTTGTAAAAAGACTGCCCAACTCTTATTATAAATCGAACGTTATTGGTTTTTAAAAGTGAACATTATCTGGCACCAAAATATATATCTGAACTACTATACTGAAACAAAAAAGAAACTTTCTCCAAGTTTGAATGTAGATATGTTAGAACAGTTTTTCAATCCTTTTGAAACTCGATTTTTACTTTGAATAAACATATCGGGCTTTAATACGGGGATTAGCTGACCGATTTTGCAAACAAAACGAGTTTTACAAGCTACTACATGTATATAAGTGTGTACATCTAAGTGGTACCCTTGAACAACTGGCACATTACTTTGCGAAAGTTTCTTTTTTGGTTCAGTATAGTTTTTGAAATAATCTTCCCTCTTCTGTGAATAATGATCTTATTCACTTTAGACCACGTACAGATTATATGAAAAAAACATTTACATACTAAACGGCATATGTATGGAATACATTTCCAACTGACATAAAACTACGAAATAAATTGGTAAACTAAAGGATTATTTGATAAAAATACAGCTTAAAGCGCTATAAAAACTTTAAACTGAATTTTTTAACAGAATTCATATAGCTCTTTTTTTTTGTTTGATTGTTTGTTAACATTGATTGATGAGTGCATGTGCATACGAAGTTAAGATAATAATTTCCATAAGTTATTATTTATAATCCAAAAAATAGCTATGTATTTTGTAAGAGTGTTTTGTCGTAATTATGTTGCTGTTTATTGTCATTTCAGTTCTCTGTTTATATGTGTGTAGAAGGCCATACTAGAAATAAGTTGTATGTTTATAATGTATACTCTTGTAATATGTAACCACCTTCTCAAATAAAGTTATTATTATTATCATTAGTATCATTATATGCAGGTAATTTCCGATGGATATATACAAATTTCCTTGGGTCACGTGCGTTCATAAAATTAAAAGGAATTATGGTAAAATGTTAACTTATTGTGACTTTCACCTGTTCATTCACTATATTCCATGCCACTTTAACATTTTGTGGATCTTTTCAGCTCAACTTGACAATGAACAAACCTTCGTTTGCAGCGACTTTGAGAACCTTGTTGCTGCGATTGTTTGAGCTTTGTTGCGGTTATTATTATTCTTTGAGGCCATTATGTGAACTTTGTTGGAGCTTTATTTCAGCGATTGTTGGAGCTCTGATCCGTCGATTTGTTGTGTGGATTGTTACAGCTATGTTGCGTGGATTGTTGAATATTTGATGCGGGGATTGTATGAGAATTGTTGCGGAGATTGGTGGAGCATTGTTGCGGTAGTTGTTTTAGCTTTGTTGCAGATTAAGTTAGACCATTGTCGCGGCGATTGTTGGAGCTTTCTTGCGATGGTTGTTAGAGCTTTGTTGCGAAGAGTGTTGGCGCTTTGTTGCGGAGATTGTAGCAGCTTTGTAGCGAGAAAGGTTGGAGCTTTGTTGCGGGGGATTGTATGAGTCTGTTGCGGAGTAAGTTGGAGTTTTGTTGCGTACGGAGTTTCTCGGAACTTTAATGCGATACCAAATCTAATAATCAATTTTACAAAAGTAAACAACTATACCAACAGCTTCGTTCCTGATATAAGCTAAGCTTGATAATTGATTAAAAAATAATGTTTTATTTTATCAGCTCGACCAAAACTAGGTGCCTTCATCCGGAACATCAACTATCTGTCGGCAAAAGACGGAAATGATTATGAAGATAGCAATGAAAACCCTAGCAACCAGTTGATTGACTATGAGCGTCTGTGTAACTATGATAAAAACTTTAGTCTAGAGGAATTTACGGTATGTCCATTAAGCTTACAGATGAAATTTTGAGCAAACAACATGTGCTCCATACTTGATCTAGTAAATATGTTGATGATGACGACGACATAACGCCTTTATATGTAAATGCACTCTTTTGTACTACTGAACTTACCTGATTTTTGAGCGGGAAAAAAGAAATTAAAAAAAAACTGACATTGAAATTAATATTTCTTCTAAATTACTGAAATTTAACAAAATGACTCCCTTAGATATAAAGATTTGTTATGAACTGTGCAGATGCTTGTGTTGATTTTTTGTCCCGATCAAAACCGCCAACTGTACATGGTATCCTATTTAAGGAAACGTTGTTTTGTGTTTCTTTTTTTCAAGGATGGTTATGGTGCCTTTCGGGAAAAAGTATGTGTATCAGAATTTCCTGGGAGACATTCACCGCCTTATTGGGTGGCTTATTCTACTGTATGTGTCCTTGACCGGTTAAAAAGGTAAATATTGAAAAGTCCTCAATTGTTACAGAAATAATTTTAAATTGATACCCAGCTATAAATCAACTGAGTGGACCCGTACCAACATTCTCTTACTTTTGGAAGAACTGAAACTGTTGTTGTAAAGAGGTAATGCTGTACAAAGGGCCGCTTTGAGGAGGTTACACTGTACATGTATACAAATAGAATTGACCTTTGGTGGTTATTGAGGTCACATGGGTCAAGGCCACTGAATATTAAAAGAGTTTTTGTTCTTTTCTTACATCCACAATTTCATAATGATACCAAAACATTAAAACAGTCTTTTTCTACATCATTTAAAAGGTCTGTTGTTTATGATAAGGTTTTTTTCTTGGTTCATATCAACACTTATTGTTGTCTAGATGTATAGATCTAGTTATTTGTCAAGAGATTTAGCATAGAATTTTTTGATGAACATTATTTATCTTTAAAGTTGTATTTCAGAAACTTCACCGATGAGGTAGAGAATCATGCTCAGATAGGACAGGAAATTGTGTACACGTGGTTAGCATTGCTCACTGCCAAACCGAGTTCTGGTCATCTAGACCTTATGTCCAAATTTTCTGGAGATATGTTTGAACAATATGTCAAGGTTGTTTTTCGTTATATACTTATCAATGCTGTTCTGAATGTATCATAAGTACATTTTATTGATATCAAAACACAAAGTGGAAACCAGGCTACCTACTCTTATTTTGTTCTTTTTTATTTTGCTCAACCAGGCACTTTTTTAAAGATAAACAGTCAAGTGATTTTATTAATAGATTATTAATGAGCCGCGTCATGACAAAACCAACATAATGGGTTTGCGACCAGCATGGATCCTGACCAGCATGCGCATCCGCGCAGTCTGATCAGGTTCCATGCTGTTTGCTATTAGTTTCTCTACTTGTTTTAGGGTTTGTAAGCGAACAGCATGGATCCTGATCAGACTGCGCGGATGCGCAGGCTGGTCTGGATCCATTATGTTGGTTTTGTCATGACGCGGCTCATTTCTTTAAAGGCTTGCAAATGTGATGAACTTGTCAAGATACTGTCTAGAATGAAAATCGAGTTTTCGTATGACGCAGAACACGAAACAGATGAAGAACAAACCTACGGCAGTCTCCTTGACAGTAATACAGTAGCTATATTTCGCTACATAACGTAAGTTTTACGGAACATTTCTGTAAGTCACTTTTTGTTAGTCGCCTCTCAAATTATTCGGCATCTATGATGTAATTTTAAGCAGAGTCATTAGTTTTCGAGATTGATGCAACATATTTTTGTTTTATAAATCTTTTAAGTCTTATAAACTTCTAGCTCCTTTTAGAAGCGAAACTATAAAAATAAAAATATATCATTTGATACTAGTATATGATGTTTTGAAGCTTTAAACGAACACATTTAATTTTCATGATCCTTTAAAAATCAAGCAAAAGAAAAGAAAGAAACAACAGAATATATCGATCCCAAATAAAGTATATAAATACTACAAACATATGTGCTTTGTATGTCACCCAATTTGCTACCATCAAATATAACTAGTTAAAGCCAGTTATCATCAAGATTTATTAGGAGCTGTTTGTATATCATGACTGTAATGAAGGTTTACCGCTTGTCTATTTGATCCTGTTTCTTGCTTTCCTATACACACATTTGCGCTTTCTTTTATCTGCACAGTTTCGCTTTTCCTTTCATCTGCACAGCCCCGGCTTGCCTTTATTTGCACAATTCCATCATTGCTTTCATCTGCACAACCCTCTTTCTTTCTGTCATTTGCAGATCCACGCTCTTGATTTGATCTGCAAAGAACCGCTCTTTCCTTCATCTGCAAAGCACCGCTCTTTCCTTCATCTGCAAAGCACCGCTCTTTCCTTCATCTGCAAAGCACCGCTCTTTCTTTCATCTGTAAAGCACCGCCCTTGTTTTCATCTGCACAGCACCGCTTTTGCTGTCATCTGCAAAGCACCGCTCTTTCTTTCTTCTGCACGGCACCGCCCTTGTTTTCATCTGGACAACACCGCTTTTGCTTTTATTTGCAAAGCACCGCTTTTTCATCTGCATAATACCGCCCTTGTTTTCATCTGCACAACACCGCTTTTGCTTCTAACTGCACAGCCTCAAAATTGCTTTCATCAGCACAACCCCCGTGCATGCTCTCATATGCACAGCCTCAGGCCTTGCTTTCATCTGCACGGCACACGTCCTTGATTGTATGGGCATGAGTTACAATTACATGTTTTTTAAAAATATTTTATAGGGAAGAACAATGGACTGAAGACTCGGTGTTGGCAGCGTTGCTAGATCTACGAATGTTCTTTCAACAACAGATTGGCAAGTTGTCACCAAGTCTAGGCCGATATGTGGGATATTTAGTTCGAGATATGACATCTAAATATACGACAAATATTTGTGAACCTTACAAGGTACGGTTCGTATTTCTCTATTTCACTTCAAATAGTGCACGTTTGCAAAATATTTTAATAACCTATTAATATCATTTTAAGATATTTATATCATTCTTATCTTTTTGTAAAGATAAGATTCAAGTTTTCCATTGTCTTTCAGCCATAACGTTCTTAAACCGTTCCTGCGTTTTATATACTTATAGATATATTATAACGCGAAGATAACAGCCAGTTTTGGTATTTTTATGTCTCCACAAAGTGGGAGCATAAAGCGTTGCACTTGTCCGTCCGTCCGTACGTCTGTCCGTACGTCCCGAAATCTTGTGAACGCAACTCCTCTTTAACCGGATGGCAGATTTTGCTTAAACTTCCAGGGATAAATAACCTTAATGTGTAGATGGTAGTAAAGGAAGTAATTTTTGCTGCGACCAAATGTAACAGAATTATGGCCCTTTGTTGATTTTTTCACTATATACTATGTAGAAATTTTGTGAACGCAACACCTCTTATACCGGATGGCAGATTTTGCTTAAACTTCCAGGGATGAACAACCTTAATGTGTAGATGGTAGTAAAGGAAGTAATTTTTGCTTCGACTAAATTTAACAGAATTATGGCCCTTTGTTGATTTTTTCACTATATACTATGTAGAAATTTTGTGAACGCAACTCCTCTTAAACTGGATGGCAGATTTTGCTTAAACTTCCAGGGATGAATAACCTTAATGTGTAGGAAGTAATTTTTGCTGCGACCAAATTGAACAGAATTATGGCCCTTTGTTGATTTTTTCACTATTTACTATGTAGAAATTTTGTGAACGCAACTACTCTTAAACCGGATGGCAGATTTTGCTTAAACTTTCAGGGATGAACAACCTTAATGTGTAGATAGAAGTAAAGGAAGGAATTTTTGCTGCGACCAAATTTAACAGAATTATGGCCCTTAGTTGATTTTTTCACCATATACCATATAGAAATTTTGTGAACGCAACTCCTCTTAAACCGGATGGCAAATTTTGCTTAAACTTCCAGGGATGAACAACCTTTATGTGCAGATGGAAGTAAAGGAAGGATTTTTTCTTGCGACCAAATTTAAAAGAATTATGGCCCTTTGTTGATTTTTTCACTATATACCATATATATGTTGTTAGTGGGGGCATCCGTTTACTTTGGACACAGTTCTAGTTTTATTTGGATTGAATAATTTTATCATGTAAGCTAGTGATTGTATTTGGATCATATTGCGTGTTGTTCTTGTTGATTTGCTTAGAGCTAGTTTTCAATAACATAGCGATGATAATTTTTTATGGGGAGAGATGCAATCGCCCACCTTACTATCCAGATCTAGCCACAACTTATTTATACCTCTTCTGAACATTTATAAACATGTTTGAGGATGACCGGTATTATGCTGGGCTCGTGACGGGCTAAGACTACCAGTTATCACATTCAAGCGACATATGCATAAAGCAGATTTAAAGTGTAAGGTCTACAGTTGGCACATTTCCCATGTGTATTTCAAATATCGATTAAAAAGGAAAAAAATGTATGTGGATATTCTTGAAAAATATTGTTTGAAAAAGACATGTTGATTAAGTTTTAAGTGATTAAATAAGAGCATTTATACGATGAGCAATAATATATTGTTCTAGAACATTTTATTATCTGCTATACAAACATATTTTATTATCTGCGATATAAACATATGTAATACCGGATCATGTATCAAGATACATAAATAATTATTTTGTGGTTTGATACAGTATCACAGTACATATTAGTTTGAGTATTTGATCAATTTCTTTTATTTGAACAATTTCTTTTATTTAAACATTGAACAGAAGTTCACTGACATAAAAGCAATAACTTCACACCTGTCAATTATTGAAGAGTCTGTATGTACATTCGACGGAGATTTGAAGGATCTTCGTGATGAAGATACGCTGGAAGAGATAGTAAAAGCAGCGAGGTAAGTCAAATGATCCCAAGCAACTAGAATCGGATGAGGGTGTTGAAATGGCGTTGTGTATGTCCGTCCTTCCTATTCTAACCAATGTACATTAGAACTTGTTGTTATACTACTACTACTTCAACTAATTATAACAAGAGCCACCGCCGGGCGGGGGCAACGCTCGACTTTTTACTTTTTCTAAACGCAAACATAGAAAGGTTTGAACATATCTTAACGTTTCCTTTTTATAAATTTAGTTGGTCTGTCTTGTCACATTAGTTTTGTTAACATATTTTGTATATATATATGAATAGCAACATTACGCAATTTCTAAAAATAGCAACATTACGCAATTTCTAAAAATAGCAACATGACGCAATTTCTAAAAATAGAAACAATGACGCAATTTCTAAAAATAGCAACAATGACGCAATTTCTAAAAATGGCAACATTGACGCAATTTCTAAAAATAGCAACAATGACGCAATTTCTAAAACTAGAAACAATTACGCAATTTCTAAAAATAGCAACAATGACGCAATTTCCAAAAATAGCAACAATGACGCAATTTCCAAAAATAGCAACAATGACGCAATTTCTAAAAATAGCAACAATGACGCAATTTCTAAAAATAGAAACAATGACGCAATTCTATAAATATAAACAATGAAGCAATTCTTGTTGTTGTTGTTGTTGTTGTAAATATATATATATATATATATATACACACACACACACACACACACACACACACACACACACACCAATAAATATATAATTATGGTCATTTAATGCACAAATCTGAGAAAATTCAGTAATTTAACCTTCAAGGTCAAGGTCATTAAAGAGCCCAAGCAAATTTGGGGTTTGATAAACAACGAGGTCTGGTCCTTAAGAATGTTCTGTTATAATATGAAGTTGATCCTTCAATAATAGCAAAGTTACAAGTCAGTTACCGCCAAAACAATGAAAATTTCAATAATTTGACCTTCAAAGACAATGTCATTAATGAGTGAAGGTCAAGGTCTTCCGGTATATTTTTTACAGTTATCTTTGAAGATTATTATGTTCAAGTTTCAAGACAATCCATTCAAAAATAACAAAGTTACAGCCAATAATAGCCAAAAAAATGAAATTTTCAATATATTGACCTTCAAAGTCAAGGTCATTTATGAGTGAAGGTCAAGGTCTGTCTAGTTTATTTTTAAGGGATATCCCTGAAGATAATTATGTTCAAGTTTGAAGACAATCCATTCAAAAATAACAAAGTTACAGCCAATAATAGCCAAAAAAATGAAAATTTCAATAATTTGACCTTCAAAGTCAAGGTCATTTATGAGTGAAGGTCAAGGTCTGGCGGGTTATTTTTAAGGGATATCCTTGAAGATTATTATTTTTCAAGTTTTGAAGACAATCCATTCAAAAATAACAAAGTTACAGCCAATAACAGCATGAACAAGCAAAAATTGGACTTTTTAACCTTGAAGGTCAAGGTCATTTATGGATGAAGGTCAAGGTTAGTGTAGTCTACTGAAAGGTCTTGTCCCAAGGGTTGTTGTGGCCAAGTATGAAGACAATACACCAAGAAATAAAAAAGTTATGATCCAGGTACAAGTTTGCGGACGGGAACGGCAACGGCAACGCCGACCTGACTATAACAATACCTCTACTTTTTTTTCAAAAAAAAGAAAAAAAAGTCGAGCTAATAATAATATCTTTATTTAAAGAAGGTTATGTACATGAAAATACACCATCGTATAACACAAATAAATGTTACATATGTTAATTTTAAAAGTAGTCAGATTCTAATGAAACGTTGCATGAATATATGAAGAAGAAATTAGTGCAATCAAATTCTACCCGTTTCTTAAAAATCAATTTTGGAGAGAGAACAATTCCATCCGAAGTCATCATTTACAACTAGCAGTTTTAATTGAAATGAATCACACGTGAAAGTTCAGTTTGATCACAAATTTCCGAAATTGATGCAGACGTCAAAAAAATGAATGAGGTTTGCAATGACGCAAGTTGAAAATCGAAGTTGTATATGACAGAAATTAATATGATTTCATTAACTGCATGCTTAGAAATACATAAAAATTTAAATAATTAGATTATTCAGGGGATATCAATGGTAAGATGTCTAATAGCCGAGGTAAGGATAACAAGATATTCATGCTAGATTTTAAAAGAAATTATAAATTGTAATAAGAGGAATTGATATGGACTAATTTTCGTCATGTATATACTATATTTTTTCATTGTGTTCAGTGATTTAATCATTCTGTGACAGTTTCTAAAAATTCTGATTCTCTCAAATTTTAGGGTGACGTTGATAGTAAAAGAACTGTTTCCTGCGTTCATGAAGTTGATAACTAATTATTCAAAGAGGAAATCACCCCTGCAGAATGGCGGGAGATTATTTGATGTGTACAGACTGCATTTGTTTCGTGATATGGAGAAACATCTGGTAAACTTTACATAAACTTATTACTCGGCTATTTATTAATAACGAAAACACACATGAATTATTTTCTTTGTTCAATTAATTATTGCAAAGTACTAGGGTATTTCAAAATGGTAGCTATACAATGGCAAGACTCAAATCTTTATACGGTTTAAATGTTTAGAAGTTTAAACTGTTCCTCGTTTCAAATACTATGCTCATTTTCAAGGGATCAATACATGTACGGAAATGTTTGACCACGCCGTTCGCGGGTATTTTAGGGCAGTGACTACATGTATGAGTGACAAAATTACTGTATAAAGAATCAGAAAGTCTGTACATGCATATTCTTACATAATGTACGCTAATTTTCCCTAGAGTTTTAGTCTCTCTGTTTCAATCCTTATCACAGGACAAGCTCACATCCTAGTCAAGTCTCTCTGTGCGGCGACAGGTTCCCTTTTCTGCGGGTTTTTGATAATTCCCTTTTTTGGTCATTTTGTTACAAATATGTACATGTCATGTTTGTTATTATGTAGCATTTGTCATTTATGACATTTAATAAATGCCCTTTTTCATTCAACCTATGTGTTGTGTTTTATCTCATACCAAACAAGTTCGTCTTGCCAGTTATATTTACTTGACCTGGACAATACATAAATTTTGATTTACATGTATATGAAGCTACTTTCTTGTAGGAGCCTGACAGTGGAATGTTTGATGCTTGTTGTACCATGATAGTGGACATTCTAACAAACCCCGGTAAACTTGACAATGCTGTACAGGAGATGATCTCTGAAGCTATATCCCATTGTTTGTTAAAAGTTAAACCAATGTAAGATAATAATATTTTTGTCAAGCGTGTTGTTGATTGTATCGGTATGTTATTATTTAATAATTAACACGAAATTTTAGTTACCATTAGTTTAAAAGAAAAAACAACAAAGAAACATATCAGTAGAAAGACTTAGATCATTATCATTTACCTTTTAGTGCATGTCACCTTTTAGGATTGTTTCTTAAAACAAGAATAGATACGATAACTTATTGCAACTATTGCTTTTGACATTTTCATTCTTGTTGATAGATACTGATAAAGGCTCGGTCACTAATCTAACTCTTTAAATGATTTTTTATGGCCTTAATCTTCAAGTCACGTGTCTTTATTTCCACATAAAGTTAAACATTTATCATTTAGCGCAATTATCACAGTTGGTATGTATGTCATAGTGAGCCAGGCGTTGACATTACATATTGTGCAGCTTCACATCTTATATATTTCATTTGGCACTTCATATCTCATTCCCCACTTCGTATCACATTCTCCACTTCGTATCTCATTCACCATTACATATCTAATTACCCACTTAATATTTCATTCTCCAATTTATATCTTAGCAGGATTCACAACTACATATCTCATTCACAACTACATATCTCATGCACAACTACATATCTTATTCACAACTACATATCTCATTCCACACTACATATCTCATTCACCACTTGATATCTCATTCACCACAACATATCTCATTCCCCACTTCATATATCATTCTCCAATTCATATCTTATTCACCATGTACTAATACATATCTCATTTACAACTATATACCTCATTTCCCACTTCATATCTTATTCTCCACTTCGTATCTTTTTCACCACTACATATCTCTTTCCCCTATTCATTTATTATACACCATTTCACATCTCATTCACACTTCACATCTCGTTCCCTATTTCATATCTCATTCACCTCTACATATCTCATTCACCACTTCATTTCTCATTCACCACTTCATATCTCATTCACCACTTCATTTCTCATTCACCTCTACATATCTCATTCACCACTTCATTTCTCATTCACCACTTCATATCTCATTCACCACTTCATATCTTATTCACCGCTTCATATCTCATTCTCCACTTCATATGTCATTAACCACTTCATACCTTATTCACCATTACAGGTATTTGCATGAAAGTTCGTATGTCTTTAGGATTATTTTGTTAGACATTGTAGAGAAAAATTGTTTGTGAAGTTTTATTTCCCCGTCCTCAAATTACATTCATCTCAATCTTTACACGTACATGTCGCCATGCTTATTATTGTATGTTACTGACCTATAAATCTTACATGACTTTTCAATGAAATAAGTACGGAATGCCGTTAGGGCCATCGCCTATGAATGTGTTGATCTGAAACGCGATAGTCGATAGTACGATGGTGAAAACGCGAAATCACGAAACTACGATGGTGAAAACGCGAAATTACGATGATGAAAACGCGATAGTACGATGATGAAAACGCGACAGTACGATACTACGATGATGAAAATGCGATAAACTTTCGTGTTTTCACCATCGTACTGTCGCGTTTTCACCATCGTAGTTTCGTGATTTCGCGTTTTCACCATCGTAGTTTCGTGATTTCGCGTTTTCATCATCGTACTGTCGTGTTTTCATCATCGTACTATCGCGTTTTCACCATCGTACTACCGCGTTTTCATCATCGTACTGTCGTGTTTTCATCATCGTACTATTGCGTTTTCACCATCGTACTGTCGTGTTTTCATCATCGTACTATCGCGTTTTCATCATCGTACTATCGCGTTTTCATCATCGTACTATCGCGTTTTCACCATCGTAGTTTCGTGATTTCGTGTTTTCACCATCGTACTATCGACTATCGCGTTTCAGATTAACACATTCATAGGCGATGACCCTAACGGCATTCCGGAATGCCGTTAGGGCCATCGCATATGAATGGTTTGATCTGAAACGCGATACTCGACAGTACGATGATGAAAACGCGAAATCACGAAACTACGATGGTGAAAACGCGACAGTACGATGGTGAAAACACGATAGTTTATCGCGTTTTCATCATCGTAGTATCGTACTGTCGCGTTTTCATCATCGTACTATCGCGTTTTCATCATCGTGCTTTCGCGTTTTCACCATCGTAGTTTCGTGATTTCGCGTTTTCACCATCGTACTATCGACTATCGCGTTTTAGATCAACACATTCATAGGCGATGGCCCTAACGGCATTCCGTAAATAAGTCCTCATTGTGGACGTTGAAAAAAAACCTATTGCATGACCTTTTTTAGCTCACCTGTCATAAAGTGACAGGGTTAGCTTTTGTGATCGCTTTTCATCCGGCGTCCGTCCGTCGTCCGTCCGTCCGTCGTCCGTAAACTTTTACTTTTAATGACATCTCCTCATAAACCACTATGCAAATTTCATCCAAACTTCACATGAATGTTCCTTTGGTGGTCTTCTTTGAAAATTGTTCAAAGAATTTAATTCCATGCAGAACTCTGGTTACCATGGCAACCAAAAGAAAAAAAAAACTTTAAATATCTTCTTCTAAAAATGCAAAGAGTTAGAGCTTAGATATTTTGCATGAAACATCTTCTAGTGAGTGTCTACCAAGTTTGTTCAAATATAAGCCCTTGGGTCAAAATTGACCCCGCCCCAGGGGGTCATTGATTTTCCCTATATGCATATAGTAAAACCTTAAAAAATCTTCTTTAAAAGAACCCAAAGACCTATAGCTAAGATGTTTAACATAAAACATCCTCTATTGGGTGTCTACCAAGTTTGTTCAAATTAAAGCCCTGGGGTCAAAATTGGCCCCGCCCCGGGGGTCATTGATTTTCCTTAAATGTGTATAGCAAACACTTAAAAATCTTTTTGTAAAGAACCCAAAGACCTAGAGCTTAGATATTTAGCTTGAAACATCCTCTAATGGGTGTCTACCAAGTTCAAATAAAAGCCCTCGGGTCAAAATTGGCCCCGCCCGGGGGTTCATTGATTTTCCCTATATGCATATAGTAAAAACTTAAAAAATCTTCTTTTAAAGAACCCAAAGACCTAGAGCTAAGCTATTTAGCATGAATCATGTCCTAATGGATGTCTACCAAGTTTGTTCACTGCCCCGGGAGTCATTGATTTTTCTTATATGTGTATAACAAAAACTTAAAAAATCTTCTTTGAAAAGAACAAAAAGCTAGAGTTGAGATACTAAGCTTGAAACACCTTCTAGTTAGTGTCTACCAAGTTTGTTGTAATAAAAGCCCTGGGGTCAAAATTGGACCCGCTCCGGGGGTCATTCATTTTCCTTATATGTATAACAAAAACTTAAAAAATCTTCTTTGAAAAACTGAAATAGCTAGAGTTTAGATATTAAGCACGAAGCATCTTCTAGTGAATGTCTACAAAGTTTGTTGAAATAAAAGCCCTAGGGTTAAAATTGGCCCTGCCCCGGTGACATTGATTATCCTTATAAGTGTATAGCATCTACTTAAAAATCTTCTTTGAAAAAACCTGAATAGCTGGATTTGGATATTAAGCATAAAACATTTTCTAGTAAGTGTCTACAAATATTGTTCAAATAAAAGCCCTTGGGTCAAAACCGGCCCTGCCCCAGGTGTGTCATTGTTTTTAACTATATGTGTAAAGAAAAAACTTGACCAGCTAGACCTTAGATGTTTAGCATGAAACATCTTCTAATGAGTGTCTACCAAGTTTGTTCAAATAAAAGCCCAGGGGTTTAAACTGGCCCCGCTCCGGGGGCCTATATACAAGTGAGCGACTTCTTGGCCCTCTTGTCTTCTTTTAACGCTGTCTTGTTTATAGGACGCATGCGCAGTCGAAAACCTTACTTAACGTACTGCTGACAATGCTGAAATCTGGCAGAATTAAACTGACCAGTGAAGTTAACAGAACACTTCTGGAAAAGGAATTTACAAAATCTATTGAATGGAAGGTACTATTTTTTTCTGAACTGATCCTGATGTAACTAAATGAGCCACGTCACGACAAAAACAAAATAATGGGTTTGCGACCAGCATGGATCCATACCAGCCTGCGCATCCGCACAGTCTGATCAGGATCCATGCTGTTCGCTATCAGTTTCTTCACTTGTTATAGGGTCTGTAAGCGAACAGCATGGGTCCTGATCAGGCTGCGCGGATGCGCAGGCTTGTCTGGATCCATGCTGGTCGCAAACCCTTTATGTTGGTTTTGTGTGACGCGGCTCAATGTATTATAAAGTTGCCATTAATTTATTCTTTATTCGAGAACATATTATCATTTCAGATGCTAATATAACGACTTTCTTGTGCAAAAGTTAATGGTCATGTATTTTTTTCTTGTGAGCTTTGCCATAATGTTAGAATGATTTTTTTTCTATACTCCCTGAAATATTCTTACTTATAATAAGCTTTATTAGCTTATCAATTTAGAGTGTTCTTTGTGATATCTGTTTAAGATTTATTTTTATTTCTTCTTTCATTCATAGTTTACATATTTCTTGTTCCTTGTCATGGAGAATATTCATATTCAACTGAGCGATATGAGGGCCATTATGACCCTCTTGTTAATATTGCAAAAAGAACGCCCTTTTATGAAATATTCTTTGTCAGCTAACATCATTTCATACTGTAAAAATGCAGCATAATTTATTTAAATGTATATTGTTTTCTCTCGATCTCATACCAGCATTTTAGAATGTGAACTTTGACGTTATTTTGTAAAATATTTATCAGTTTCTTAGGAGTTGATATTAATACGAAACAATGAAGCATGATTTTTGAAAAATATTACCACTCTTATCATCATATCAGATTGCAAATGAACCATAATTTGAAAAAAAAACATTGATTCTTGGTATTTAAAACGTAAAAAAATATTATTTTGTGAAATGTTAATGAATTACCGAGATCATTATTTCAGAATGTAGTATCAGAGGCTAAACAATTCTTAAATGTTGTTAGAACATTGAGGGGCGACCAATTAGAACATAAAGATGGTGGAGACTACTACAAAATTGTACGAGAACTGGAAAAATGTGTCGAAATTCTCCTCCAATTATATAAGTATGTGTTTTATTTTTTCTATTTTGAATCTGTGTTTCCGATATTTTATGAATATATATCGATTCATAGACAAAAAGGTTTTGAAATGAAGTAATAATGAAGTTCAATTTCTGAGGTTTTAAGATAAAATAACATGTACCTTTTTATTTATTGATTCAAAAATGCTTACTTCGTTAATTTGTCATTCTGACTTGTTGAAAGAATCTTTGATAAATAATATATTTGTTATTTCTTTATTCAAGAAAAGGGAAGATCCTTAAAGATGTTCTGAATGAACATGTGGCATTGATCATTGACCTCATTACATTTACTGAACCAAATAAAGCTGAGATAGCAGACGCCGCATCAGAATCAAAGTACCTTGTTGTTTCAGTATGTATTGAGCGTTTGTGTTTTCACACCTTTGATTGGGTTTTAAATAATACCTATTAATACTGCAAGGGTCATATGACGACTGCTCTTGAAATACCTCAGGTGCGCCTCCATGTGTTATACCAGGCTTGATCAGCATCTGGCTTGCATTAGAATGACAGGCATCTTAGTCATACGCTAGCTAGACGACTAAATCACACAAAGGTCATGACGTTAAAAGATAAAATGCAATGCATACAATCCGAATGGTATGTCCATAGTTCTTACATCAAGATGAAAATTTTATGAAAGGTGTCTGCTGTGGTCCTACTTCTGTCTGAGCAATGTTTCATCATGAAACAAAAATGTACCTAAATTTTTAGTTCAAGAGATGGTTTCAGATGGAAAATGGAAGTCATTCTTTTTTATGTCATAACCAAACTTAAATATGTTTGTTTTTAAACTGAACCACACATACATGTTTTTACGGAATATGTACAGTATTTAATATGTCTTAGATATTTAGATATGCATAGAACATGCTGCTTAAAATTCCATCTGTTTTTACTAGCTCATAAACAAAGCATTGTTCTGATTGTATCAATATTGCATTTAAGTTGAAAGATAAAGAAATACAAGACCAGATTTTAGACAAAGTTGATTCACTGTTGAAGCAACCGGACAAAGAGTGGGATATCTATCAATCAAGGGCAACAGAATATTTACTAGAGGCTGTCATTTTATCTTATAAGGGGTGAGCTCATTATGTTCAAAATAATGTAATCAAATCAAAACGAAATCGAGTTTAATTAAAGACTGTAAAACGAAACTGAAACTGTTTGAAATGAACGTTTGTGTTTAATATAAAATAATAAAATTTAATAAGCTTTGTAAAAATGAACGCACATTTACTAAGAGTAATGATGAATTCAGGAAGATTAAAAACTTTTAAGTAAACGTTTTCTTTCATGTTCAAAATTCTTCACAAACATTCTACCGATTTTCATATACAGAAATGGAAAGAATGTGACAGATCAGCAAAACGAAAAGTTCATGTCAATATTTGACACTTGTTGTGAAGGAGATAGCTTGGAGGACAAACTTATTCATCCTGATGAAGACCATGGTACAACGGTGTTCTATCAAATATATACAACTTCCGGTTTGAAATATATATCTCTGGTGTGTATTTTTTTAAATGAATAAACTTGAAACATAGACAGTTTCTCTCTACTGCACATTGAAAATGAAATAATCTATATATTATTACCAAAATTTGTTTCGAAAGCTATTAAACAGTTATAATATACAACTTCAAGTATCAATTTATATTCCTATTGAAACCGTTAACTTTTCAGCATAATGAATCTAAAACATTATCAAGATGCACTCCGCTAATCAAGAACATTTTAAAATGGGCAAGGATATCTGTAGAAGAACAGCACACCGGTCCGATGGAAGCAAGTTTACATGCCCTCCATCTTGTGGCGAACGCTTTGTCACCGGAACTTGCAGATATCACACCTGAAGTTGTTGATTTGTTTTTATCAATTGATAAAGTTTCAAATTTGACGCGTAAGTATTATACATTTGTCAGCTTGCTCTTTAATTGAAATGGTATAGCCTTTGCCTCCCAGTTTTGCTTCGTCTTGATCGCTTGGAAGTATCATGTAGTTTTAGATATTTACAAATTGAAATGGTATTATTTCATCATTTAACGACGTATAGAGTGAGTCAAAGGTTTTAGTTTCTAAAATATACCGGATAAATTTGTAATCTGATGAAATCAAAATGTCATAGACTGGAGGTATTCTCTTACAACTTATAAATCTCGATTCTAACAAACACGATACACCGCTCGTTTTCTATATAAACCAACGAAGTCACAATGTTTCTAGCTGTACTGCGTGGACTCACACTAAACACAGAACCTTGTCATTATTTCTAGATACATTGCGTTAGTTTCGAAAATAATTGTGTGGCCTTTAATTACTCAAACCAGAACTTTATCATTGTCTGTGATGTATTGCATGCCCTTTATTTACTAAATCCAGAACCTTATCATTATTTCTGACATTATTACGCCTATTCACTCAAACCAGAACTTTGTCATTGTTTTAGATATGTTGCATGAACTTTATTCACTTTGTCATTGTTTCTAGATATATTGCGTGGACTTTAATCACTATGTGGACATTATTCACTAAACACAGAACTTTATCATTGTTTCTAGATATATTGCGTGGACTTTATTCACTTAACCCAGAACCAGTGCACGTAAAGCTTCAATTATTTATAGACAAGATGGACGAAATGATTTATACGGAACGAGTGTGCATAGCTTCTTTATTGGTCGAAGTCTCAGGCAAATGTCCACAGGTTATGTTACAAACATGAACTTACTACAATATCATAGTTTTTGAAAAAAATAATTAGACATAATTGAATCTTACTAACTTGCAAATATAAATCAGACATTAGTATACATAATCTTTTTTAAGATATCTTCTATACTTGTATTGGCTTCTTAAAGTATAAGTGCCACGTGGACACAATAATACCCTGGCAATTTTTTCATGAATATTGCTTTTATTATCTTCAACACATTTTACAATTCTCTCTAGATTTTCACTGGGGATCAAGTGGACAAGTTATTTGAATTAGCCTTTGAAGATGACCAGTCACAACAACTGTATTTTCATATATTGAATCAGATAGCTGCACAGTGCCCTGCGACCGTTTACAAACTTTTCTCCAAGATTCAGAACGAAACTCGTTTCAACAGCTCTTCAACGATCTTCAGAGCTATGATTGTTGTCCGCATAGCTTGCCATGACAAGGTTTTTTTGGTGGTTTTTTTTTTCGTATGCTAATTGTTTCAACCATACCTGCTGTGAAATCGGAGGATTGGAAGATCTGAACAAGATTGCAATTTCCATCAGATTTATATTTCTATAATTCTATTATTTATATGCGATTGCATTCGTTCATGTGTAACAAGAACATTTAACATTCAAATATTTCTATCCTCTGTGTCTTTGGTGTCTCATAACTACATGAAAAATAAAACATATTTTTGAAATCTTTGTAAACTTGATTTATTGCACTAGGGCTCTAGTTATGTGCAGATTCAGACTTTTTTTTAAGGAATGTAAGATATGTAAAAATCATGCATTTTATACCTACAAGTCGATCTGTTATAAATACAGTCTAACACATGTAACTAATTTAAAGTCATAAGTTGACTGTTCACCTCATTGTAGAAACTCACAAATGAAGCAGCGGACTTTGCATTGAAGCAGCTTGCAGTGTCTGATCACACTAATACAATACAGATATTACACCAACTTTTGTTACTGGCTCGTGCCAATCGTGAAGATATGTTACAATATAAAGAATATCTTGAGAAGATGGAAGAGTCGTCAAACGCACCAGATGTGAAAGAATCTTGTAGAAACATCATAAATGTTATAGAAGGAAAAAGGTGGGTTAACAGCGATGTTTTCATTATTTTAATGGCCAGTCGTACGAAATGAATGCAAAATGTAATATCCTGTTTCCGACTATCTTGTAATTTTGTTAACATAATTGTGCTCTTGTTAATTCCGATATACCCTAAGTATGACTATTGAGAACCCTAGAAAACATGTTGCTGTTGCGGTACATCTTAACAAATAAAGTTCTGTTATATGTCAATTACTTCTAGAACAAAATGCTATCGACGCCTCCGTTGCCCTGGATATTTAATATCCCTGATATCTAATTACTTTTACAACTTTGTAACTACAATACCGCCAGAAGTTTTGAATTCTTTATTCTACCCAGCTTATAGAATATGTTTGATTCTATAAAGAGGCTATTCTACTTAATGTCAGTGAATATACAAAATTCTTATCTCGTAAAGACAACAAAGCTTAGTAATAAAAAATATATATGCAATGTGGTTTTGGTAGTATTGAAGGTGTAATTGAAGACATCCAACAAGCACAAGAAGATATAGATGATCTTGATAAGAAAGTTGGAGCCACTATGAACACGGTTGTTTCTCTTGGAGATCACGTGATAGAACAGGGTAAAGATATATCAAAAGTTCGGGATGATGTGGGTAACCTAGGTGAACGAGTTGATAATGTTGAAGAAGGTCTTACAGATACAAAAGTTAAAGTTGAAGAAATTGATAATAAGGTATAACGCTTACAATATTATTGTAATGAATGCAGTAACTCGTAATTTTTAAAATCATGCAAAGTTTCATTATTACTTTGCATATATATTTTCAAAGGCTCATTCAAACCTGGTCTGCGACATTTTTGATTTTCCCGTTTTTACCGTGCTTTTTAGGTTTCCTGTATTTGTTTTTAACATCATTTTCAGACTATGACAAATGCTCCAAAATGGTCTAGGGATCTTACCAAATTGCTGAATCCAAAAGCGGAAAACGACTGGCGACTTTTAGCTAAACGTCTTCAATACAGTAATGATGATATTCGAGCATGGGCTCAACAACACGATCCTTGTATGGCATTGCTGAGTGAGTGGTATGCCACACACAAAACAAGTGAAGCAAACTTTGCAATATTGAACAATCTCCAAGAAATGAACAGACTTGATGGAGCAATTATTGTTGAAAATGCAATGAAAGCAACTGGTAGGAACATCAATTAACCGACGTGTTTCTATTTTATTAACATGTAAATTGTCTGTTGTTAGTATTCTATATCATTTAGGCTATTCTTTTGTCGTTGAGTGTTTGAGTGAATTCATTTGTTAAATCCATACATATTGATACACCACTTGTTGATGTTGTATATAAGTTTAGTGCTCTGTCTTCAGAAGTTTGATAAGCATATCAGATCATTACCTTATCTGTCATTATATCAATATTTTATTCGATAAATAAAATATCTTATACTTAATTTTTTATAATTTTAATGAAAGTAAACATTGCATAATTTCTCTATATACCAGAGGAAGTTGTTGAAGATGACGAGTTTGAGTACCCTTCACCTCCCCCAATCTTCGATGTTTTAGATAATTTCTTCGTCTTTACTTTTTCCTGTCATTGTATTCGATAAGTAAAGATTGTTCATACTCAATTGAAGCTTAAGTTAACTTTAAATTTCTATATACCAGAGGACGTTGTTGAAGATGACGAATTTGAGTACCCTTCACCTCCCCCAATCTTCCTTAGCTATCAGTGGGGTGTTCAGAATGAGGTGAAACTATTGAAGCAACATTTAAACATGGCAGGATATGAATGTTGGATGGACATTGGTCAGATGGGTGGTGGAGACAAATTGTTCAACAAAATTGATAATGGAATTAGAGGCGCCAAAGTAATTATTTGTTGTACGACGGAGAAGTATGCACAATCACCGAACTGCAACCGAGAGGTAATTTGTTTGTGTCAATACTAGCATCTGAACATAAAGTATGGTTGAAAATTTTACTTGTGCAGTAAAGTATTTTAATATCTTTAAAACTCTTTTTTAACAATGGGCAGTCTCAATAAGCTCAACAGAGACAAAACCCGCCGTACAGAATTGCTAGATATAAAATTAGGTGTTGTAGAAACCTTTGACTTCTTCTGTAAAGAATCATTAAAATAACATGCACAATTTTGAAAAATAGAATAATAATGTGCATACTGCATACATGCATTTTTGTCGGAGAAGTGTCAAATCTTATTGTTTAATTCTTTCAGGTAAATTTGTCAGTGAATTTAGGAAAGCCTATTATACCATTGCTGATGGAAAAGATGTCATGGCCACCAAAAGGATCAATGGGGCCAATCTTCAGTGAATATTTATTTATAAGATTCTTTCAAAGGTATGTATTAAATATCTTTAAAGGTATAGAGTATTATAGGATCATTTAAATTCTCTCAATTTCATAACTGTTAGGTGATCATTAATATTTGAATTTACGATTTATTATAAACGATCTAAACCTATAAATGTTACTAATTTTATTTGTGTTCTGTAGGAATGGTGAAGAGACGAAAGATCAGCGATATTGGCCAGTTGCCAAATTTCAAGAACTATTGATGCAGTTAAATTTCTATACAGTTCCTGACCCGTCACTTATTAAACAGGGTAAATTTACAACTACGCCATTAAATCGGTAGTGTTTCTAGCTAGTGAAATCTTGTTTAAGTGTTTAATAATAATACCGCTTCTAGAACAAAAATTTACACGTTTATTTTTACATAACATGTCTATTTTAATACAATCTTTCACCATGAGGTATACATGTATAAGTATATAGTACATGTATATGTGTTATAACACTTTCAAAGATATTTTTGGTATTTTTTCAGAATATTCCAATTGGTGGAATCCGATAGTGGAGGAGATTAAAATTGATAAAAACAAAAACGCAAAAGGCACAGAAGTTAGCAAGACAAACACGGTAATAAGATTTTTAAGATTTTTTTTATCAAGTTTAAAAAAAGAGATGCAGAAACTATTACTTTTATTGTTATACGCAAATTATGAATGAATCTTTATTCTCTTTTTGTTTCAAGACTTTTTTCTGTTTGTTCAAATCCCGAGCGTGACGTCGGGCTTTTTTTTAATATACTAGCTTTTATCTTCATGTCATACTTAAATTTCTGCAATACAAGAAACAACTTTTAAAGGATCAGTTTTTTGCCACCTCGAAGACCATAACAGCGTCATTACCATTGCAATGCCGTCACTATCTCATGCAAATCATAGTATTACTTATTTTATTATAATGTTTGCCTTAATACATTTCTATGTAACCTAAAGTATATAACACCTAAAATATTGAGATCGTTAATCATTGTCATTAGTAAATTTTTCATGTTATTGGCTTTGGCAATGTTTCAAATCTATGAGACACTTCACATGTGCTGAATATGCGTCCATTATTTTTTTACAATATTCTTTTCTTTTAACAGAATGGTCAAGATGTGGATGAATCACCGTTGGTATTTTTGTCCTATCAATGGGGAAGACAACCTCAGGTTAAATTACTATATGAGCGTCTGGTATCCAGGGGTTACACTGTCTGGATGGACATATTTCAGATGGGTGGTGGTGATTCACTATATGATAAAATAGATCGTGGAATGAGAGGATGTAAAGTCGTCGTGTCCTGTGTTACACCCAAGTACGCATTATCAGCAAATTGTCGACGTGAAATAAGCCTTGCTGATGCCTTAAAGAAACCAATTATACCATTGGTACTGGAAGCAATGACATGGCCGCCAGATGGCCCAATGAGTATGGTGTTCACAGAACTCCTCTTTATCAATGTTCACCGTGACCAACAAATTCAAGAAAAATGGACAGGACCAAAGGTAGATGAATTGATGGGAAAGCTTAAGATCTACATACCAGATAACGAGCAAATCCATTCAGGGGGGAATGACAAAAATGACAGCAATACGCCTACTAAATCAGAGCCTGAAAAATCCAAAACAGAACACACACCATCAAGTTTATTAGAATATCAAACAAAAACGACTTCGTGTCACGATAGGAATTCACGAACAATTTTAGAAGCATGTGACGTTCAGAAACAAGAAAAAGTAGATGCTGAATCTGATAAAAACCAGGGACACCATCCAAAGAAAAGTGAATCACAGACATCGAAATCTTGTATTCTATTATAGAAATGCATGCAAAACAATGTGTTCTCACAGTATTTAAATGCATTTTTTGACTAATGTATGAATTATGAATTTGTAGTTGACGTAGTGCTTTTTCTATGATTTCAGTAACTAACGGCAATTAATACATCGTAATCTTGATTAAACTCTAGCTATAGGTAAGCATAAAGAAATAAAATACATTAATTAATGTCATTATCATGTGTACAATTTAATATTTCCTAATTTCCAACTTATTTTCAAATAACATTTATAACTTTATTTTTTTGTAGACCATGTGCTTTTCTTTATACCGTTCATACAGGTATGTTTTCCGTAACTGTTTTGGAATTCTGAATTCAGAAGCAAAGAGAGCAACCAACTAGTCATGCAAAAAGTAATAGTTATGTGTAAATCAAATAAATCAATACCATCGGGCCTGGTAATAATGTCCACTTTTACGTAGAATTAACTTTGTTTGATCTCAACAGAATAAAATACAGCTTACTGTATACATCCAATAACTTATTAAATTTATGATAGAAAATACATATGTAACGGGTGTCACCTTTACTTTTCTTGGTATACAGTATTTATTAAATACATGTACTTGTAAATGAAATATTGAGAGATACTGATCAAATAAAATGCGTTTTTTCGCTTTCCGTATTTTCACTTTAGAAGTTTATTTTTCACTGCAGTGAAACAAATTTCCGTATTTTCACTGTTGTCCTGGCGGACCACTTCCTTCTTAAATCAGCCAATACACAACAATAAAGGACAAAGGGAACATTTTTGGATTCGCAAGGTCTAAAATATATATGATAAACAGATTTTTTCTATAGATACGGGATTTATTTTCACCAGTTGGTATGAAAATCATCATATTTCACTATGACTATCCTTTATTTATCACTAGCTTTGTAAAATACTTACTGCCAACAAGAGCTACGCTCCATTTTTCTCAGTACTGGTATGCCATTAACGTTTCATTCTGCAAAAGTTGATGATGATGAAATATTTTATGTTTGAAGTGAATTAATTTCGTTGACGGTTTTCAGGGTAAACAATTTATTCTCAGTCAAAACAAAATACTTTATTAAGCAAAATGACTTTTATGATTATCTGCCCTTAAAGTTTTGTAAGTGAACATGTATTTCAAGCTTTAGAAGAATATTATTGACAGTTTTTTAGAAAGAAGATGTGAATATGTTAAGATTATTTGACTCAACGTTTTTTTCTAAAATGTATAATAATTTGTAAAATATGTCATTATTAAAATATGTCATTATTAAAATATGTTCAAACCCCTATATTTATATTTTTTGTATTTTGCCTTTAGTTACTTGTCTGAATTTGGGTACATATAAGATTTAACAAAATGTTTTGATTCACAATGTCTTAAATGCCATTTACAAGTGGAAATCAATTTGGCATAAGTAACAAACAGGGGAAACTGATGGATGTAGATTGTTTACATGAGATCCATTGCTAAAAAATATTCCAGTTCAGAAGTAGGTCATTCGGCCACATAGGGGCAATATCATTTCTGACAGACTGTTGTACATAAACAACACTCAATACCGCTTACTTAACCATTACTTTTAAAGAAGCGTTCCATGAATAAACAATAATATAAGCTTAAATGGGAGTTAGTTCAAACAGTTTATTACGTCCATATCACACTGACCATAACTTTGGGAGAGGAGCATTCGTCTCCGAAGTGGTGGATAAAATATGACTTCTTGTTCATTTTTTACTGTCATCGCTAAGTTAAATGCCGAGTTTTTTTAAATATTTAAATGTTTTACTGAAAACACCTACTGAGTCTGGAACCCACATATGTTTTCTTTAAGCTCCTTACATGTACAAAGTGCAATTCTTTGCCATTTATTTACAGTGTGACGAGGCGAAGCCGCTTTCATCATACTTTGGTTACAACCGCACCAAACGGCTCCTGAAAACGTTTCCAATGCATCGAATGTATGAAAATTTCTCAAACCAACCATATTTTTTGTTATTTCGGGAAAATTAGATACATGTATATAAACGATTTGGCAAAGAAATGATTACAACGCAGACGGACACTCGGTCTTTGTTTGATTACGGCCATTGACAATTGACCCGTGAATTAATTTGCCGTAACGTAATAAAACAATTATTTGATTACTGGTCGAAGGTCATATAAATACAAAATTTATAAAAGAAATAAAATGAAATATGGTTAGTTTGTGAAAGTATCATGCATGCATTGCCGACGATATCAGGAATCGTATAATATAAAATTGTTTCGATTTGAAATTCACCAAACTTTGGCGAAAGCAACGAAAGCTATGAACAGTAAGGTCACTGGACTGTACAAAGGGCTTATTGGGAATAAGTAACTTTAAAGGTACTCCACTAAGGCATTTGACAGTAATGTTTCATTTCATGTAGATGTAGACGATTTACTTATATGTTTTCGGGTTTTGGTCCTCAGTGGAGTTCTTTTGATTGGGGCTTTCAAAACGAAATTATAATAAGGAGTAATAAATGCCATATTATAAATAAGTAATTGCTAATTTTGACTTAAAACATAGGAGCTGGTAAAACCTTATAAAGAACTACGAGTTACTGTATGTATAGAAATATAAGCGGGCTTCAAATTTTCGCGATCTTCACGGTAACATTCGATCCGCTAATTCATTTTAGCGCATATATTTCCACACCAATGATATCTTGATAGTCATATAGTAGTGACTTTATAGAACACTAAAATGTCTGCACCAAAATACTTCTGAAATATTCTGCCATGTTGTTTAAGATTTTCGATCACAAATTGAGGACATGTTAGATGGAAAGTGGCTGCGCAACTCCTTTATCCTGAGGAGTTCCGTGAACACCTTTCGAGAAAGGGACAAAATGCTCTCCGGCACTTTTTGAAAGGGCAGACTAAAAACAATTTCGTCTATGTTATTGTTAGGGATCCTAATTTATTGAGACTGGTTTCCTAATTTTTCATGGCATGAATTGGTGTACATTGTATATACAATTATAGTAACGCCAACCAAGCGAAGTATCAGTTTTGCATGGACCAAACGTGGGCGCCGGAACATACTTAAGTGCGTTTGTGTCCACTGTATAGAAAAAAACTCCTCACGGACCATCAGTCATTGTATCAAGATACATGTATGTCCAAAACAAGAGAATATTGGTTTCTTCTTTGTTTGCTGCGAACAATCAATAGTTTAGTGTATCTGAGTGCTCAGACTCGAATGAAGCTCCAGTTTGCCCTGAGAACCGCGACGGAGCGGAATCAAACATAATAATACTGGAAAAGAGCCAATCGCATCTTTTTGGCCCTTTCCGTCACATTGTATTTTGATAATAGCCGAGGTGTTCCGATTGGAATAAAGCTTCATATATGATTCCCGCCCCAGTACGGATCACTTCCAAGTTCTGGAACAGTCTATTACGTGCTTCCATGTTTTGTAGCGTTTACCCCGTTTAATAATGAGTTATTATAATATTTCTATATTTGTTTTAATAATATCCAGTAAATGCACATAGAAGGTTGATTTTTGCTGTCTTCTTAATTATCATAGATTTGGTTTGTGAAAAAGATGCAATATAGAGCACCTGTACTGTTGGAATTCTCATACAAATTATAAAGATGTCTATCTCCTGATCGTAGGTTTTAGTTCGGAATTAATTAACATGAGTGTCTCCACACTTTACACCAGTATTTGTTTGTTCCTGAAAACGAACTTGATGGCTCATATCAGCTTCAAGCTGTTTTCACAACCGATCATAAATAAATAATTCTAAGTTGTTGCTACTTAAACTGGATGTAAATGTATAGTTATGTCTATCAGGAGTCGTTTGCGTGCCCTAACACATTTGATCAAAGTTTGCGTGCCCACACACATATACTTCAATTACTTCAAACAGATGAGCGAAATCTTAATATTCAGGAAATCTGCTATATCATTCGATATTGTGTAAATACATATACTGAAGTTTACACAAGAATAAATGTAAACTGTGTACATGGAATTATGAAGAATTATGTTTCGGGTCACCGTGAAAGAAACGGGATGAACGCGAGTCAACGCACGGTGCCAGGATTAGCAAAGATTATACACCTAAATAATTTTGGATATCGTACTAGAAGTTAAAACTGTCAAAATAAATTGCCACGGGAGTCACGCTGCAGATTAACTACGCATTAATCTGTAGATCTCTTTCCAACGTAGCTTTCTCACCTTTCCTGTTATGCTTGCAAAAATATTTCTATGCGGCCCAAAATCAGACGTGGTTCTTATCTTAACGACCATAGTATTGAAACTTTACCACATCTCCCATACAACCATGATTTTATTACATTAGTAAACTATGCCCAAACACAAAAATATCCCACCTGCAACTACAGTGCTACACTTTCTAAAACTTTTCAAATATCTCTATTATACTTTTTATATACCTCTCTAAATTAAAAGGAAACTACATACAACTTTTCATGCTATTATGAAAAATATAATTGATTATTAGTGCGTACACAAGTATGTTTCGCGATCAGTGGTGTAAATAATTATTACTACCAGTATTGTGTTTCAATGATCCAAATAGAGAGAAATAAGAATCCATAAAGAAAGCGCAACACGACAAAATGTCGCCAAAGTCACCATTACGTAATAGAATGCTTTATTTCATATTACGGCCGACTAGTTTTATTAATAATCTAATCGGTAATTTTATATCCAACCAATACCGATTTGTTCAAATCTCATACCATTATTTCGCTAAGATCACTTTAAAGTTTGATATTGTCATCGTTCATATACGTTTCTCTGTTGTTCCGAAGTAAAATTCTTAATTTGCAGTGGCATGCCGAATTAATAAGCACATTATCTATAAAACTATAAAGATTTTATTTGTAACTAAGATTGATTAGAGATACTAGAAAAACATTAAATGCTATTTCACGACCAAGTCTTTCTTTTTACGAAATTACTTACATAATTAGTCTAACAGAAGTAACTTTAAGTTCATTGGTATATATTGTTCTTTTAAATGCATCATCAATCGGTATTCACATGATTCAATAAAGGTTACAAACGACGACTGATTTTTCTAAAGTCTGGATCTAATTGCATTTGAACAGGCCTGCATTTCACACGACCAGTTTTGAGTCCATCTTACGTATCTTCACAATAAGATACACGATTTAGATGCCTGTTTCTGTGATTCACCTTTCTTTTGAGAGTTCTCTTGGTTTTTCACAGATTTTGTTTCTACATTTTCTTGTTTCTGATCATTCTTTTGTGAATTACTGGCCTGGTATTTTGCCGATTTTGCTTCAGATTTTGGTAAACTTGAAGATGTAGTAACTGTATTGGGTTTTTCAGGCTCTAATTTAGTAGGCTTATTGTTGTCATTTTTGTCATTTCCTCCTGGATGGATTTGCTCGTTATCTGGTATGTAAATCTTTAGCTTTCCCATCAATTCGTCTACCTTTGGTCCAGTCCATTTTTCTTGTATTTGTTGGTCACGGTGAACATTGATAAATAGGAGTTCTGTGAACACCATACTCATCGGGCCATCTGGCGGCCATTTCATTGCTTCCAGTAACAATGGTATAATTGGTTTCTTCAAGGCATCAGCAAGGCTTATTTCACGTCGACAGTTTGCTGATAATGCGTACTTGGGTGTAACACAGGACACGACCACTTTACATCCTCTCAATCCACGATCTATTTTATCATATAGGGAATCACCACCACCCATCTGAAATATGTCCATCCAGACAGTGTAACCACTGGATACCAGACGCTCATAGAGTAATTTAACCTGAGGTTGTCTTCCCCATTGATAGGACAAAAATACCAACGGTGATTCATCTGCATCTTGACCATTCTGTTAAAAGAAAAGAATATTGTAAACAGATAATGGAAGTACATTCGGCACAATTCAAGCGCCTCATTGATTTGGACCATTGTCAATGCCAATGAAATGAACATTTTTTAATGTCAATGATTAACGATCTCGTTATTTTAGGTGTTACACACTATAGGTTAAAAAATGTATTAAGGCAAAAATGTAATGAAATATTTTAGTAATACAATGAACTATGATTTTCATGAGATAGTGACGACATTGCCATGGTAATGAAGCTGTTATGGTCATATGGTGGTCTTCTTCTAGGTGGCAAAAAACTCATCTGTTAATAGTTGTTTCTTGTATTGCCGACATTTAAGTAGTATATAAAAATGAAATATAAAATGAAATAAGATTTCAAAATATGAAAAAGACCTAACGTCACACTCGGGATTTGAACAAACAGAAAAAAGCCTTGAAACAAAAAGGAATAAAAATTCATTTATAATTTGCGTATAACAATAAAAGTATAAGTTTCTGCATCTCTTTTTTTAAAAAACCTTACAAATCTGATTACCGTGTTGGTCTTGCTAACTTCAGTGCCTTTTGTTGCGTTTTTGTTTTTATCAATTTTTATCTCCTCCACTATCGGATTCCACCAATTGGAATATTCTGAAAAATACCAAAAATATCGTTGAAAGTATGGGTTTACGTTGTTATAACACATTTACATGTACTATAGTTATATATGTATACCCCATGCTTAAAAATTGTATAAAATACATCATTATATGAAAGAATAGATTTGTCTGTGTGTTTGTTTGTTTCATCTCAACAGTATTTCAGTCATATAGGCGGGTAGTTTCCTAACCATCGTTCCTGGAGAGTTCATCAGTACTAGACTACCTTCCTCCGTGCTAAACTACCAAAGCATCTCCCGGGGATCGAACCCACGCCAGAGAGGTAACTGGATTAGAAGTCATCGACTCTAACCCCTCGACCACGGAATAGACGTTTTTGTATTAGAAGCGGTGTTATGATTAAACACTTAGACTAGAATCACTACCGATTTAATGGTGTAGTTGTAAATTTACCCTGTTTAATAAGTGACGGGTCAGGAACTGTATAGAAATTCAACTGCATCAATAGTTCTTGAAATTTGGCAACTGGCCAATATCGCTGATCTTTCGTCTCCTCACCATTTCTACAGAAAACAAATAAAATTAGTAACATTTAGATTTAAAAGGTAATTGGTTTAGATCGTATATAATAAATCGTATGATCACCTTACAGTTATCAATTGAGAGAATTTAAAATGATCCTATAATACTCTATACCTTTAAAGTTTTTTAATACATACCTTTGAAAGAATCTGATAAATAAATATTCACTGAAGATTGGCCCCATTGATCCTTTTGGTGGCCATGACATCTTTTCCATCAGTAATGGTATAATAGGCTTTCCTAAATTCACTGACAAATTTACCTGAAATAATTAAACAATACGAGATTTGACACTTCTCAGATAAAAAGTATGGTATGCAGTACGCACATTATTTTTCTAACTTTCAAAGTTTTGCATCTCATTTAAATGATTTTAACAGAGAAAGTTAAGGTTCCTACAATACCTTATTATATACTTAGCAGTTCTGTACGAAGGGTTTTGTCTCTGTTGAGCTTATCGAGACTGTACATTGTTAAAAAAAGAGTTTTAAAAATATTAAAATACTTAACTGCACAAGTAAAATTTTCAACCATACTTTACGTTCACATGCTAGTATTGACACAAACAAATTACCTCTCGGTTGCAGTTCGGTGATTGTGCATACTTCTCTGTCGTACAACAAATAATTACTTTGGCGCCTCTAATTCCATTATCAATTTTGTTGAACAATTTGTCTCCCCCACCCATCTGACCTATGTCCATCCAACATTCATATCCTGCCATGTTTAAATGTTGCTTCAGTAGTTTCACCTCATTCTGAACACCCCACTGATAGCTGAGGAAGATTGGGGGAGGTGAAGGGTACTCAAATTCGTCATCTTCAACAACGTCCTCTGATATATAGAAATTTAAAGTTAACTTTAGCTTCATTTGAGTATGAACAATCTTCACTTATCCAATACAATGACAGGAAAAAGTCAAGACGAAAAAAATTATCTAAAAATCGACGTATATATAAATGTATATTCAACAGGTAAGCACACAGATAAATATATCACCAAAGAGTGTACAAAATGAATAGAACTTAGTAGTATAATGTGTAAAGCATCATTCAAAAAGAGCATGCATTTTAATACAATAAAACAGGTCCATTAATTTGTTCCTACCAGTGGCTTTCATTGCATTTTCAACAATAATTGCTCCATCAAGTCTGTTCATTTCTTGCAGATTGTTCAATATTGCAAAGTTTGCTTCACTTGTTTTGTGTGTGGCATACCACTCACTCAGCAATGTCATACAAGGGTCGTGTTGTTGAGCCCATGCTCGTATATCATCATTACTGTATTGAAGACGTTTAGCTAAAAGTCGCCAGTCGTTTTCTGCTTTTGGATTCAGCAGTTTGGTAAGATCCCTAGACCATTTTGGAGCATTTGTCATAGTCTGTAAACAGTGAAAATTGTTGTATTTTTCATGCTATAAATGGGTATCACACATAATAATGCATTATAACCATTCAACTTCTCCGACCTAAATAGTGATTATTGCTAGTTTAAAACTTATTTGTTAAACATATGAGGTATTGCTTACATGACACTAACTAAGTGATTTTGAGGTATGATACTAAGCCAAACATATCATGCATAGATACAAGTTGCACCTATTAGTGTCTTTATATTAAAAATAAGAAATATTAAATAAGTTTGGAAAGAACTTGTCTTTTTAGCATTACTTAACATTCCATTTAATAAAATAAGCATTCTAAAACTTAAAGACATTCAAATTTTGAAGGAATCTTATCGTAATGGAAAAAAAATAACATCGCCTCTGTACTTCTGTATAACAATATTCTTGGTAAAATATACCTTATTATCAATTTCTTCAACTTTAACTTTTGTATCTGTAAGATCTTCTTCAACATTATCAACTCGTTCACCTAGGTTACCCACATCATCCCGAACTTTTGATATATCTTTACCCTGTTCTATCACGTGATCTCCAAGAGAAACAACCGTGTTCATGGTCGCAGCGACCTTCGTATCAATATCGTCTATATCTTCTTTCATCTCCAGTAAATCTTCAAACACACCTGTCACGCTGATTCAAAATTATAAACTTATTTAGTCACAATTGATTAAGAAATTTATCATTTTATAATGTACATATACGAGTTTAATTGTATTGAAAATTTATTTTCACACATCTTTTGCTTCGAACTTTACCAAAAAGCAGTCTAAATAAAATGTAAAAACTTATGTAGATCCTCGTGCAACGATTGTTGCTTGGGTGTGTAAACGAACTACATTCTTTAATGTTTCCGATCATATTTTTGGCCTATCTACAATAACCTTTCCAATTAAAAATTTGGACAACCTGATAGCTTCACAAACTGCTGAAATGTTTCTTTTCTCTTAACGATACATATCAATATTCGTCAGAACAGCACTGTTATTTTTATTTATTCTTCGATAATATCTCAACATGATTTATACCTTTTGCCATCTATCGCATTGATGAGATTTTCAAAAATCTCTTTAAGATCCGGAGAGTCGCCAGCCTTTTTCTGCAAAAGCTCAATTTGGCTTCTGTACTGCAGCATTTCCTCTCGGTTTGTTCGAACAAGTAAGAACAACTGACTCAATATTTGCTGTGTTTTAGTCGTGTCTGATATTTTTATTTGCTTCAGCGCAAATTCAGCAGCTTTATTGAACAGTGACTGAAAATCAATTAAACGGGAAATCGGTAACTAACCAGCAGGCATTTATTCGTGTTTTACAACAGATATAACTATGATAATAAATAGATAACTGAAATTGAAGATTGAATACAGAAAAGTTATTTCTGCAATGGTAACAAATAAACATGTCTGTTTGCTTTAATATTGTCCATCCGTCCGTTAAGGCACAAAAATGCCGCTTTTGCCGACGAGTACAGACCCCGGACATGTCATCAGTCATGCTCTTAACGAAATAATTTTGACGCACAATGTTGATATAATTTACCTCCGTGCAGCCAAAGAACTGAATTTTGGACCAAAAGTAGGTCACTATACAGCGGGCAGTGAGTGCCTAAATGTACTGTAATCAGTGACAATAATGTAGGCGGTTAGCCCTGAAAAGAGATGTTGTTGCCAGTAAAAGTCCGCCGTTCAAGTCGTCTAGGCATGCGACATAGCCGTCTACACGCTTACAGTGAATCTTCAATCATCTGCCGATGCCCTGTGTCTGGCCATGACGTACATGAACCGAGTGATGAGAGAGCAAACGAAAAACAAATTTATGTACTTTGTAAAATAAAAGTTGAAAGCAAATAAAACAAATTATCTTTGTTATATCTGGAAACCGTGCAGAGTTCTTTTAACAGTAAAAACAACATTGAATATAAACAAAATAACAAAACTGCAAAAAAATCATCCATTAAATGGCCTGTTTGAAATTAAAAGTATTGTCACGTGTTTTATTCACATGAATATCTATCTTTAATATTGTTTATATAAGCTCTAATAAAAGCAAGATTTTAACCTAGTATTGACTATTTACGTCACTAGAAAATATAGCTGTTCACTTTTCATTTTAAGGTTAATACCCATTTACATATTTATTTCATCACCATCTAATACCTTATCTAAGAATCCGACAAGAAATCAGTTCAAAGAAAAGTAAAACATTTTGTTATTGCATTAGTCTATATCGCCATCTATCCACACACAAAGTTTCATTAGTCGAACATGATCAGCCAGAAAGATAGCCAGACCAACTGATTGTTCGGCGGACGAACTGACTATCTGGTAACTGACACACGGATTGATTACCGTTAAGGGGCTTATATGAAAATATAAAGTTTGCATAATAATATTATTCTACAGACTACCTTGTCATAGCAACCTAGACGTAGAACAAGCATCACCCTGAATATTAACACTGAGCTGTTGTAACCGTTCCCATTTACAAGTTTGGAAAACTGTTGACAAACACTTGGAGGATTCAGAGTTGCTATTTGATTTAGAACATGAAAGTATGTCGGCTGCGTTTGATAATCTTCCATTGCAAAGTCGAGTAATTTGCCAACTTGATCTTCGGTAAATTCCTGAAATACATCAACAAAAATAAACAAATACTACAACAACAAGAAACAATACATCAATAACAATAAACCAATACATGTACATCAACAACAGTAAACAAATGTATTGTATATATATATGAATGTTCCGATACACAGTCCACAGGGTCATTGCTACGCTATAAACAGATGCTCATAAATTAAATTTATGGATAAATTAAACAAATGATTCTTGTCTTATTACCTTTGATGTGGTTGATGCGGCAGAATGACAAATGCATAATTTTGAATTTATATGATTCCTTAATTGAATTTGAACAAGGTTTACTGCAACTGCAGTATCTATCTAATTTGATACCATTTACATGTATTACGAACAAATACAAGACATGACGGATTCAACAATGTTTCCTCAGACATAATATACGTGCTCAGTTCGGGATTCCTTCGGGGGCGTTGTTAAATAGAGCATGCTGAAGAAAAATGTAACAATATCTTTACACGAGGAAACATTGTAGAATACGTGCTATTTTATGCATTGTCCATCTTTATGATTGATCCTTTGTTATTTGACAAGAAATTTAGCACAATAGTAAAATGTGTTGATCGTATATAATAAAGGGAAAGAGTCATATGGAAAGAATAACTTCAGCGGTGAACGAATAATCAAAATATATCAGAAGTTACCAAAATAAATATCATACTACATACTTATGAGGTAAGTTTCATCTTATTTATCATAACTGAAAATGAATCATTAACCTTTGGTTGTTTTCCTGAAACTTCTATCAATAACGGAACAACATAAGCTCTGTCTGTGAAACTCATGTTCTCCATTTTCTCTATAAATCTTTGCAAGTTGTCATGTATCGGTTGCGGATTAAATGAATAAAGACCACGCAAAAGATCTGAAAAAAAAAGAAAAAAAATCCGTAAAGAATTGAAAAAAAAATGTTTCAGGCTCAGTTTGATTAAGCATGTTCATGGACGGAACTGGAAAGTGCAAATAACTCTCTGCCCCTTAGCACTAACTTAAGCAGAATTCAACATTTGAACATGAAAATTGTGAAATAAGATTTAAAACACAATCGCAAATGTGTTCATACGACGATTATCATGGAATCTTCAATGTGGAACTTTAGTGTCATTCCATGAACAGCGGTTTGTGGTCCTCAAACGAAACCTATATACATATATGTGTGTTATGGAAAAGAGCACTTCATTATAATTCAAAATTAAACACTGCTTAAATCAGAATCCGACATGTAGCTGCATTATATGAATTATATGTACAGATCATTGAAGCATTAAGTATAACATGAAGTTGATACATGAATTAATAATGTTTTTAATTCCATCCGCTATATGATATCTCTTTAATTTTGTTTAACCGAACACTGAGACTAACGCCTAAGATGGATCGAGGAGAAGGAAATATTATTTGTAGATTAAAAAAAAGTATGTATCACATCAAACACATATGTTTCTATCTACATGTATACTGTTTGAACATACAATGTATTCTTTCTTACATGTATTATATAAGATAGAATAAAACAAACACAATAAATGAGGCACAACTCGTCTCTTGCATTTTTTTAAAAAGAGGATTCAAATAAGTTTATGATTTTTTCCAGACAAAAGATGTAACCAAAAAATTGAGACCAAAGGCTTTGCTTTAACATGTGAAAAAATGAAATCGTGCATGTGCGAGAATATATTTTCAACGTTTTTCTTTACTTTAATGTATGTTTTCATCGCTAATAACTTTTTAGAACCTAATATTTGACCTCACTTTTACTTAGTATAATTTTATTTTTTTAACTTAACTGCAATTTGTGCCTCATTGTACTTTTTTTCTTGATGTTTGTCAGCTCATTGTGTCATGTTTGTTCATTAAATGAGTGAAATAATGAGTTTGACTTGACTTAACCAAAGACGTATTAACATTTTTTTTATTAAATTAGATTTAACAACTACTAAACTAAAACTAATCATTTCGAAGGTAAACATACGTATCGACTCTGATGTTTTATCGGTCAACAGGAACAACTCAACTACTTCTGGTGTAATCTCAGCTATTTCAGGTTCCAAAGCACTGTTTATAATTTGAAGGGCACCAAAACTTGACATCATCAGATAATTGTGCTCCTCTTCCGCTGAAATCCTTGCCCATTTTATAATATTCTTGATCAACGATAAGCAACGCGACAGCGTTTTGGATGATAAATGCTGCAGAAATTTATATGGATATACATGTATAATAAATATGTAGGTTATACAATAAAACCGATAGAACAATTCTCCAGTTTTTGAAAAATTCAAAATAGCTACAAGTAATCAGTTCAAAGATTCATTCCTACTCACTATCCCTTGAACGTATTCATTTTCAAGACCAATATATTCCTTGATTTCTGATCCCTTTTTTATCGACACTCATTAAATCTACATTTAAATATATTTGATTAAATATTAACCAATTATTGTTTTCAATATTTAATAATATACTGACAAATACATAAGTATATGGCAATTGAAAATATTTGGCTAATGGGTTAAAAAGATTTGAAGATATCTACCATAAATAACAATGATCAGGGATTTACCGGATGCAAAATCCTGCATCCATATACCCCTTAAATGCCTAATCAGATGTATTATTATTTACCTATTTCATATACGTGGATGCAGAAAATTATAACACTGGCTTCATAAATATTGCTTAACATCTTAAAACCCAATTGCGGTACATATGTGTTTGCTACATGTAAGATTTAATCAGTAAGTTGTAAGGAGTCAGACTACTTGAATTAGATGTCGGATGGTTGGACCCCTTGAATTTGTGTTTTGACTCCTATTATTGAAGAACCTGCATACATTCGACCCATGGAAATTGGAAGTAATGTTAATGCCTGAATTATCCCGACTTGATAGATATGTGTTTTTCATGCTAAACAAGTACTTACGATTGATAAATACGTGACTGCAGTCGCATAGATTCCACCAAAGACAGTCCAACAATCTTCGTTTCCGGAGTCAACCATTTTATCTGTCAAGCTGTCTCCCTCACAGCAGGTGGCATATATCGACATAAACCTTTCGTGCTGTGAATCTGTTACATTCTTCCCGTTACTTTAAAGGTTAAATTTTTACAAGATATATATATATATATATATATATATATATATATATAATATATATATATATATATATATATATATATATATTATGTATAAGCAAAAACGCTAATTTAAATTTGCCGTAGCTTTCGGCCTTACTAGAAGGCCGCAAGGCCGAAAGCTACGGCAAATTTAAATTAGCGTTTTTGCTTATATACGGCAAGTTAGAGATTTTACTTTTATATTATGTATATATATACATTTTGATTAAATAATGTAACCTACAGACTTTTAATGGTCAAAAAGAGAATTTCAATATCAAGTTACTGATCCTGATATTGAATTTATTTCTATATACAGCTTACATTGATGATTGTATCAGCACTTCTGAGGGTTCCATGAATGAATGACGTACTATTTTGACATCCAAGCATTACCATCATCGTTTCAAGTCTTTTTAGTGTGCTAGGAAATTACGGCTAGTCGTTTCAAAATCCATCAAAGAACCACAGGATAAATGACCGGACATGACCATGAATTACTTTAACAAAAGTTTATCTTAAAAGATTAGTTTGGCTATATGTCACCCTATTATTTGGAGTTGTGGATAAAATATACGAGAACAAGATGCTGTAAAATTTCTGACTTCCTGCATCAAAGTACTGAGCGATTGCCAATTACGACACACCGAGTATGATCAGAGCCTACAAGGATTATCACAGGTGACTAGTGTTTTCTCATTTTTTTCTTTAAGATATTTGACAAAAACAAAGTTTGACAATTTTTGTTATCTTAAGTTAGATTGATAACCATCTCTTTCAGACTTTGTTTCTTTTAAATTTTATATCAAACACAGCAGGCTACTCTCTATACAGTTTTCTTCTTTAATCATATTATTATCATTAAAAAATCATAAAAATCACTTACTCATTGTAAGATTCGAGAACAGCAGTTACAAAATCCTCAACAGTTGAATCATTGCTTAAGTGTGTATCAGCTGTCTTAAGGATGTGATCCACTTTATCTAAGATGTAATCTACAAGTTCCTTATCTTTGACCTAAAAATAATACATGTATGTAAAAAAAACCACTAAAATATATGTTTTGTCTTGCTTTGTTAGCTATTATAGACCCGCATGAAGATAACATGTAATATCATTCACATAGTCATATAAATATTATAACCTAATGTGACTGATAGAACAGAATGTTGCTGCCAAGGTCGGCTGACATAACATGATCAATGTGAATATTCCTTTTCATTTTATGCTTTTGAGTTGATTACAGATTTATCCGTGAAAATTATATTTCATTATTTCACACTGAAAATTATCAAAATAAAATTTCACACTTTTCAAAGATTTCCCCAATTCCCCATGTGGTAACTCAATTTTATTTTGGCTGAAAATTCGACATTGTCAGGGCTACTCAAAGAAAAGCAAAGCTGAAATTGAAATAACTTAAATTTCAAAAGTAATAAAAAGAAAAAACTCACTCCAATTCATTCAAATAATCAAACACACTTCTTTCAAATTACCAAACACAAAATATCGTCTCTACATTTTTTGTTTTATTTTTACAGTCTAAAAAATTATTCACAAATACACTTCTTTCAACATGCAAAACTGCTCTTGGTGACATACGTATTTAAGTATCCTACGAGCAATAACTGACTCATGCAAAATGAAATATGAAAAACAAGATCAACAAGGAAAGGCGGCGTTCAATGAACTTGAAAAGCAATGTCAATCATCATCCCGAAGAATAAGTAAACAAATTTTGTCTTGAAATTCATTTAAGTTTTATTTTTTCGAAAAACGAAAAGGTAGTTCCGTGTAGGATTGTTTAAGGCTTCTAATGATCAGGCTGTTACAAAAAGAAAATTATATTAAGCCCGGTAGAACTTTTTTCTCTGGCGAAGTTAACGACGATTTATAGAATATTTAACTTCAAAAACATTGAAATGCTCTACCCTTCGGATTTTTTAAAAAGTTTATTAGAAAAATATCAACCCGCAATAAGAACTTGTCCATCGTGCAACATAGATTACTCCTGGTTGATTTCTAAAATCTGTTTATATATTTTTTTCGAAAATAGTGGAGCCAAAGAAAAAGAGATAGAGCCAAAAGGTTTGATGATCAGCCCAATATTGAATCATATGCGTGGCATAATACAGGATGTCACTTATTCGAGGTCAATCATGATTTTTTACAAGGTTATGTAAATTTTAAAAACATGTGTCCGTGTAAATTCGACAAGATCGAATATTTTCGGTTCTACCGCGAATAAATGTTTCCGAATAAATGTTTCATAAATGGTGCTTGTAACGCGATTGTTCCTGCCAAAATGTTATGTTTCTCAAAAAGATAGACATTAAATGTGCAGAACAATGACAAAATTATGGAATGCACGGGACACATTAAATGGGTCACTACTACCATTCAAAATACAAGAGTTCATTTTAATTTGACTTTCTGTAATCACTTGCTCTAACGTCAAACACAAATAAGCCACGTTTTCATGAAATTGAAAGACTTTTGTAAGGTGGGGAATTCTCTCAGTGAAAATGGTTGAGTTAGTGTCACTCGTTCTAAGGATATAACACGTGTTTCAGTTATTTTTCAAGATACTTACTCTCTTCTAGATATTACTTACGAGAAAAAGTGAAATAAGACGTTCATAGAAATTAACACAACACTTAACACTTTTTTTACGTCAAGACAAAATATAACATATTCGTATTTGATTGTTTATATACAGAAATAATTCCGCGAAAATTGTACAATCCGAACCAGTCTTGCATTGATATTTGACTTGAAACTTACCTACTGCGTTACGCTTACAATTGATCAATTTGTCGATATTTTAATTTATATCATAAGCCCTCATGCTTAAAGATAATAAACACAATATGTGAACTGTCTTACACCGTAGTAGTACTTGATCGCCGCGTCACTAAATAATTATCCTAAACTTTCAGTACTTTTATCACCAAGCAATGCATATTGTTATCCTAAACTTTCAGTACTTTTATCACCAAGCAATGCATATTGTCAAACAAATCTTGTTTAAAGATAAAAGAAGTAACAATAAAATTTTGTTTGTTTGTTCATAGAGTATCTATGAAGAAAACGAACGAAATAAAAAGGCAGCATCCGGTGTACGGACTAAAACTATCAATTATTAATATACCTAGTTATAGTAGAAATAAATTATTACATAATCATATTTCTGCGGCTTCACATTTTAGTACGTCTAGTTTAACTTTGAAAGCTTTCACTTTTTAAAAGATTATTGGCAACGCTCTTTACGCCAGCTAATTATCGCCTTGCGCTCAGCAACCGACCTTTCGCTCCAACTCCTGCCCTTTGGCACCACTATTTTCGAAAAAAAATCGATATAAAAATTTAAGAAATCCACCAGGAGAAGTTTATTTTGCTCGAACGAACGACTAGTTCTTGTTACAGGTTGATAATTTTCTAACACACCTTTTCAAGAAATCCAAAGTGTAGTGCGTTTGCATTCTTGGAAATTCGATATTAAACAAATCGTCGTTTAATTCGTCAGGGGGAAAAGTTCTGACGGGTTTGAGATAATTTTGTTTTTGTAACAGCTTACATCATGGGAAGCCTAAAACAATACCACACGGAACTATATTTTTCGTTTTTCGAAAAAAAAAACTTCAATGAATAACAAGACAAAACATAAACATTTCTTACAATTAGCGATTTAAATCGGACTTACGCTCGATCTCGGAAATGTCGTTCTCTCGTTTTCCGTACACCACAATTTTGAAGTGGAGCGACAGTTTGCCGAGCGTGTTAACGTTGATTGTCGAACTTATTTTTCAGCTTAAGTCTTCTGAATTTATGATAAATTCGGCTAAAATTGCGGCTAAACATATATAAATATTTAAGTTAATATCGAGGAAATTGCAGTTAAACTTGTTTTGAGCATAAAATAAAAAGAAAATTTCTTGTTGTTGTGTAAGATGTACTTTTGTTTCATCTTGTGAACTTTAAAAACAGTATTCTCACTCGTGGCTACGCCACTCGCGAGAAAACTGTTTTAAAGCTCACTCGATGAAATAAAAATTCATCTTTCACACAAACAAACAAACATCCTCTATCTATCACCTTCAGTGGGATATCCTATTTATTCACGTGATTAATCTTCTTTACAGCCTTGTGACGTTGGATGATGACTATAGTAAGTGAGGTATAATAATACAAATTTCTTAATGATGTATATTAGGCAGTTGTAACAGTGTAGTGTAAACTCAACACAAAATCGATGTAGACCACATGTAACTATCACTGTAACAGCTGCCTTAATTACAATATTAAGAAATTACCCAAGCTCTTAAGACAATTTGGTGTTTTTAAGCGGCACTGGTGGCCCGGGCGTGAGGTATGTTGCACAAATGGAAAGACTCAATCAAACCGAGTCTTCAATTTTATTGTATATTCTTTATTACTCGCACTAGAGACCGCCCCTCTTCCGGTGTTATATCTTCAACAGTGCTTTAAAAGTGTGACTATCCAAAAATTACATTGTGTACTGATAAGAATATAACATATTCATTGGTACTGAACCATTTCAAGAAACTGACGCTAGTACAAACAACTGTTGACTATCTTTACTCTTTACTGGTACTGAAAGACATTTCATACAATAACACCCATAAAACGATTCAACCCCATAGCAGTGGAGATAACTCAAAATATCATACTAATATAAGAGTACATGCGCATTAAGAACATAATTGTTACCGTTAAAGTAAGATATTTATCGTCTGATACTGTGTTAGCTAAATCTGTCTTCTCAGGTTCCTGTGTCTCCAAACAATTAAAAATGAACGCAACAATATCTTTTGAAAGCTCTTTCAAGATCTTCCCTTTTCTGAAATTCAAATCCATATGATGACCAAAACTGTGAAATACAATTTTAGATGCATTAATCAAACAAAACCTAAAAATTAATTAAGGTTTAAGTGTACATATGTACAGATGTTTTCTTAATAAGTGCAATTATGTTGTTGCTTAATTTGAGATACTGATGCAATTCTTTTTAAAATTGTTTTTCATTAATATGATTTAAGGTACCATTCTTATATGTAACCAAATTTGGTTCGGCAATTTCATGCACATGATGTCAATGAAATAGTTCACCCATGGCGGATGATCGGTTCTACACATGATATATGTATTATCTCAACTTTCTACACTATGAAGTATCGATTTAATAATATATTTAAGAAACACTGAAAAAGAAGAAAATGTCATTGAAAAACGTAAATGCTTTGCATGCAATTGTAAAAAGTGCGCATGCAAACAGCATGATGCAATTAAAATGTGTGCATTTTTTTATATTAATGAACTGTAAGTATTGTTTTTAAAAGCATTTTTTGGTTGAAAACTAGAAATGTGTCCATAAGACACGGGTGCCCCCCCCCCCCCCAACACTCCATTGTTTTTGACTCTAGGGCTACACGTAATACAAGTTGAAAACTGAAAATCTTCAACTTAGTCAATAAAAACCTCTACAAATACTGAAAAAAATGCACAAGCAATCCCCAAGGTGCATAACTACACATGCTGACCAAAATTCTTGTATACTTTCAGGACTACAGGTCAAATACGTTTTGAGCTATGAATGAACAAATCTATAATTGATACTAAGTCACGGACAATAACAAATGCAAAAATTCCACATGCAAAACGCCAAGTGTACAGATGTTGATCATCATTCCTGTAAAGTTGGTTAATTCTAACCCAAGCACTCAACATACACATAACACAATATTTTGGAATGCTTTTTCCTAAGTCAGGGGCAATTACTCTAAAAATACTCAATACATCAGCTATAAAACTCCCGGTTCACAAGCACATATGTCGACCAACAGTTCTGCAAAGTTTAATGACTATAGATCAAATACTTTTTGAGATATACACGGCACAAATTGAAAACTGAAAATATTTACAAATTCTCAGGCTATTACTTTAGGAATACATTGTATTGAATACATCCACAGCCAAAACCCCTGGTGCAAAACTTCACATGCTGACCAACATTCTTATAAAGTTTATTGACTCTAGGTCAAATAATTTTATAAGCTACGTGCGACAAAATTTTAAAATTGGAAATGTTTACTAAGTCAAAGTCTAACACAGCAGAATTAATCCATAAGCAAAACACCAGGTGCACAACTTCACATGCTGATCAACATTTCACTAAGGTTTCATGACTCTAAGTCAAACATTTTTTAGCTACGCGCAACACAAGATGAAAATTTTACGTTCATACTTAATCAAGGACAATAACTCTACAAATACTGAATAAATCCACAAGCAAACCCCCAGGCGCATAACAATACATGCTGATCAACATTCCTGTAAAGTTTCGTGACATTAGGTCAAATACTTTTTGAACTACGTGCGACACAACATGAGAAGGACGGGTGGACGGACGGACAAGGGTGAATCTAAATGCCCCCAAGAAGGGAGGGGGGGGGGTAAAAATGCATTAAATTCACATGAAATGTATCACTCATGTTCATCTTTGGGATGGGTAAAAAATATTGAATCGTAAAGACTAAGGAGGAAATCGTGAAAGCAAACATGTTTGTGTATACATTACTTGAACAACTCCATCAATGTTTCAACAACGTCTTTTAAATTGCTTAATACATCATCAAAATCACCGTCCTCATCTTCCAACTGGTCACCTTTCATCACACCAATCACTTGCAAGAACTGTTGTGCTTCCGGTATCAAGTTCTCAAATATTGACAATATGAGCAAATTAAAGTACATATTTTTTCATTGCTTGTGTGAAAGATTAATTAAATTTAATCAAAATCATTCATTTCAAAATCTAAGATACATGTAATGCCTATGATTCTTCTCGGTTATACGTTTGCTTCAGTAATTCATCATTTGACAACATTGGAAACAATAAAGTCAAGTAGCACCCTCAGAAAAAAGAAAACAACGAATCACCTAATGAATAGATAAAGCCTTTCTCCCGACAGGACTAAAGTTTTATAAACACAAAAATCAATTATATTTATGTGCTGAAATCCTATACCTACCTTCCATGTAAGTATTTTTGTATATCCCTTTTTGCGTAAAGTTGTTTCTACAGAATGCACCAAGTCTTTCCTTCCGGATTTAATCATCAGCAGAAGAACATCTAAAATTGGTTTTCCTTGCTCAGGAGTCCTAAATTGAATAAGGGATTAGTCAAAAAGCATGAAACTTGTAAGTCTTTGGGTTTGAATTTAGTAAAGCAGAGTCCTAAGTGTTACAGTTACTTTTCCAAAAAATGAATGACACATCAGTGGTATGCAAGGAGTCTATAAATGCTAGCATGGTCATTTTGACTACTTAAAGATGGTACTTTACAACTGGAGTGTAGTAGGTACAGTAGAAATAATTTATTATCAAAGTTGGCAATGTTACATCACCAATTACATTTTAATAATTTCTGTCATACCTTTGTTTAAGTTTTTCTCCTTTTTAGAAATACACAGTGTTTCCTTTCAATAGATTTTAAACATAAATTAAGAAAAAATAAAAAGTCTGAAAAAAATAACATGTATTGAAATTCGTAATTAAAATCTTACATGTAAACTTTAAGTATACAGTCTGAGAACGCCATATCAATCATCTCTTGTTTACTTTTGTCTACTTTATTTCCATCCGTCAGTACACTTTCAATCATTGCTAAACTCCCCTCAAATATACTTTTGTCTATCTGTTTATAAAAAATAAGTGGTTTTATAGCTTCAGACCAGGATACTAATTTACGTGTTGTTTTATTTTTGAAGGTGGTAAATATATCGCAATTGAGAAAATCTTTTGCAAATAAAATTATGCTTATATTAAGTTGAACAATCGCCAGACAGTCCACTATTCATTAATCTTTACAAATCTATGATCAAATATGTTTGAAATAAAATCAACCGTTACCATTGACTGTTTCATATCCATGTACAGATTCAGTCTATAAACATCATAAATTCTGTCACCATTTTCTAGGGGCGTCTTTCTCTTTGAAAATTTTGTGATTAATGACATAAGTTCGGGAAAAATATCTTTTAAAGTGTCATTCGTCCTGAAATTGAAACGTTTTGAATTTATTCTGTCTTTATTTTCAAATAGTATTTACATTATACATATAACATTCATTTTATCATGAAAATTATTCTGAATTAAACATTTAATATATTAAATGGAACAACAATATTTTAACGTTTAATCAGTTTATATCTTAATGTGATATTTACAACTTTATTGAATTTGAATTGCGGATTATAATATAAATCTGAAGGTCATGTTACCTGGCTACCTTGATGATATTTTCTAGAGACTCTTCGTCTCTAAGTGACTTTAAATCACCATCAAATGTACACAATGATTCCTCTATAACCTTCAGATAAGCTTTTACTGAGCCCATGTCTGTGAAGTTCTAATCAGATAAGAAAGATATATTGCATTACTGTAAATAGATCAAAGTCCAATTTTAAAAATTGGAAATCCTCTATAAATCTTTAAAATGATTGTTTACTATCGTAAAACAACACAAATATTGGAAAAAGTTGTCACAGTATTAAATATTTTAATCTAAAATAGCCATTTTTATACCTGGAAAGACCATTGCCGATTGTGCAATATAGCATGGTCTCTCGTATTTCGCTCAAACTTTAAAACTTGGAGTTTTTTTTGTTAACTGAGATATTATGAAACATATGTGTTTATGATCCCTTTTTTAATGTAGTATATCATTTCATATGTACCACAATTTTTACTTTCATCTAAATGAGTGAATATAAATGTCATGCGAAACAGATTATTTATCTAATAACATAATGAGACTAGATTACTTCTTCCGGAAATTTGTCCGACATGTCTCGTACTAAATTGCCAACGTAACATGCCATCTCTGATGACAGTTTTGATATCTGCTGCTGGTAAAACATTCGAAGATCAAAGAACGCTTTCATAACAACTGGCTGCTCACATTGGCTCTCTCTAGATATATTGAACAATAAAATAAAGCCATATTGAATGAAATATGTAAACCCGTCGAAACTCCATTGGACGAAACTGTTTGCTTTTTTTAAAATACCATAATTATTATATAAAGAGTAAATATGTACAAAGGTGGTACACTAACACAGTTGTCATAAAGGAAAACGTAACTCTGTATTTCAGGATTGAAACGTTTGGGCAATATGTGTTAATTTGGAGCTTTTCCGATTGTTATGATAGACATGAAAACATCTTATGACAGCGAGCATAACAATCTGTTCAATGAGTGGTATGGGTTTAGTCAGCCTAACCAGTAAAAAAATTTTCGATATCTGAAATGAAAATTTACCGCTTCCAAACATATCTAATAAATAAGGGACCCACTTTACTGTATTGGAACTATTTTATGGATATTCTTCATTTAAACAGAATGTAAGAAAGTATAAATGTTACACAACATACGTTAAAGACGACCGAAAGAAATAACTGGTTCTGTCTTTTAGGAAGCTTGCATACGTATGTTCTTCGTCCGTTTCATTCTTCGCATCATAGTTAAATTTGATCTTCATCTGTGACATGATCTTGGCCAGTTCCTCTGCGTCACTTTGCTTTTGAAATATGATTTAAATGGGGAAAAACTCATTCATGGTTTAATGTTTTGATATTCTTGATTTATCAGTCATTTATTCATTTATCATATTATTAATGAGACATTTACATTGTACACACAAGCGCATGACATTAAAGAAGACGTTTGAAATATTGTATTGTTCGGGTGACAAAAATTTGTTACAATTTCTTTACATATTCTGGTTATTTATTGCACATACTACTCTTAGCATAAAATTATCATAACATGTTTGATATTTCAATGAATATTTTAGATTGGTCAATTAGAAGTATAAAGATTACCTGTATATATTGCTTAAACATTTGCCCCTCGAACTTTGACATGAGGTCTAAATGACCCGAGCTTGGTCTGGCACACAATAACGCTAACCAGGTATAGACATATTCTCTACCGACTTCCTTCACTTTGTCTTCATCATCTTCATACTCACTTGATATTAATCAAAATGTAAAATAATTATAGTAAACATTTGAGTTACGTGGTTGAGCTCTCAGCATGTAACATGTTTTCTGTGATTTCATATTGAAAATTAACTAAAATAATATTATCTCTACAAATTTTTTCCCCAAATATGGTAGAGGCTCTTGACTCTGACGACGTTCAGATGAAATAAAGGCTTATAACTTTGCTTACTTATGAAAATACTGACACTTTAAGGCAATTTTCATTTTTGATGGTTTCCGGTACAGTTGTAGACAATGAAGTGTACGAACCTTTGGCGAATGTGAGATGATCGTTTAAAAAGATCAGCATGTGCCATATCTTTATCTGATATGTAATGCAAGACGAGTTTCCTTTATCTGATATATAATGCAAGACGAGTTTCTTTCTCAGTACCTGTTTAATTTCTTAAATATTGACTTTTCCGTGCGTTCTGATCCTGGGATATATACCTTACGATTGGCATCAATGACGAGCAGAATCTCGAGCCCGCTTGTCTTAATTCAAACCTGAACCTATAAGCTTTAGATCAAGGAGAAAGATGTATACATAGGTGAGAAGTGCGCAATACATCCTCTTTATGCCCAAGACAAAATATTGACATTGCACCATTTTAGGTGACCTTGATCTCTGACCCGGTGACCTGGTTCATGTGCATGACACGAAGTCTCATGATAAACATTTGTGCCTAAACACTTAATTCATGTTATTTGAAAATTTATCCATGCACAAAGAAGTTATGACATGGACAAGTTTGGATGCACGCACGTACACACAAATACTGAACAGCCATTTTCACAACTATGTAGCTCAGTGCAAGCGGGCTTGATAAAAATCATCTGGCAAGTAAGCATTATACTTCAAAGCATAAGCAAGATACAGTACTGACAACCAAATTTTGATATATTTATTTGAACTTTGAATTCTTGTGACATTGACCTTCATTTTGCGCAAGACAACTCAACTCACCATGGAAAACATTTGTTCTTAAGTATACATTAAAATTCATCCTTTTATATAGAAGTTATACTCGCAAATGAACAAAAATAGTATACAGCACAGCTAGGTTTGAAGTGCAATTCAAGAGTCAGAAATATCGACAGAACCCCCTATGGTTCGGAGTGTTAGATTGTTTTAGGACTAATATGATATAGTTTTCATTTACAATGTTTTTGTTTGTGAGAGAATGTTCACACAAAAATCATGTTTAGGATTCAGTTAATTTAAACGAATGCAAATGAAATAATTGTCCTTTTTCGATTACGTATATAACGAAGTAAAGACGTATCAAGCAGTTTTTATCTTAAAGCCATTTTTCATGTACATACCTTAGAAATCGAACAAGAGTACATACAGTTGAATATGCCAGCCGGTGTGGTTGTGAGTGTCTCCCTAGAAACTTTGATATACAAACTTTTTCTCGAAATGCTGCCATGCCATCCTAAGAAAAGATGAAAAACTACACGTTCAATTCGTATTTAACCCAAACCCTGCGAAATTGGTGTTATGGATTTTCCCTACATTAAATATAAAGCTACAAACAGTATAGAGCATGGTCAAACTGTACGGATGTGAAGGCTGGCTAACTCTATACTCACCGTGTATAAACAGTAATGTGCAAATAAAGCATGAATTGTGCCACAGTAATGCGGTATTGTACATCAACAAGTTTGCTTCTTTAAAAAGAAGCATGCGAGAGGTATTTTTGCTGCTGTGGAAGATTTGTTTAATTCGAAAATATTTGGGGATATTATATGGCATAAAAGACACAATGAATGGTTATAAATTACAATTATTGAACAAAATAGAATTTATTATATACATGCATATTGCAATGAAAGTTTTACACTTCATCTTTTTTAATGTTTTAAAAGATTATATGCCGGAGAAATGGACCTTTTTCTTGGCGCATTAGGGATACTTTTTCTACAAAAAAAATTGTAAAATCACTTAATGTAAATTAAATGATATATATCATTTAAAATTTGTATTTTAAATTCAGTTCCCTTTGTAGAAAAAGTATATAATTATATATTAAAAGTAGTATCAAAATAAAAGTTTCTTGTAAAGTTCAATAAGCAAATTTTCGGTCACTGTTTTGTTAAATATCAGGAAGCATTTCCTCTACATTTTCCAAAAAGGGTATAAAGTATGTTAATCAAACAATTTTAAGTCCAGGGTTTACATAAAAAATGTTAATATCATTTGATTGGAAGAAACAGTATATACTGTTATATACTGTTATATACTGTTTATTGGAATAAACAGTTTATAAAGCTGCATGCCTCCAACCACAATATTAGAAGAAAATCAAACTTGAGGTAAAATTTGTGCCATTTGCGCCAAAAAAATCTCCCTTTGCGTTATTTAGACATACCGGATTAATACACGGTTCATTCGGTCATATAATATGTTTGTTTGTTGTTTGTTTCATTGTACGCCTTTTCCCCAACAGTATTTTAGTCATATAGGCGGGTAGTTTCCTAACCATCGTTCCTGGAGAGTTACACCAGTACTAGACAACCTTCCTCCGCGCTAAATAAAAAAAAGCACCTCCCGGGGATCGAACCCACGCCAGAGAGTTAACTGGATTAAAATTCATCGACTCTAACCCCTCGACCACGGATGCGGTATATATCGTGCATGGTGATATTGTTATAATGTTTACTGTAACTATTTATCAGAACATGAAATAGTAAAACGTTATTCAGAAAACAATACGGTAATCGATTTATACAGTTTAAAAGATTAAACGGAATGAAGCATCCACGTAGTGTTAAGTAACGTAAACGATATTTTCCGATTTTTCTATGTACCGATTTGTTCACTTCGATGTTAATTTTTCGTTTAAGTTAAGCCGTATTTTGAAACGGGGCATGCGCAAAACAATTTTTGTAGACTGCTCCTAATGATTTTACGCTTAAAATGAGATTCATTCACTGCAATCAGATACGCAAAAATGGATGCCGCCAGCAACCAGTCTGAACATTATGGAGACCTCTCCAATAATATCTGTCATACGTTGCGTTTTGGATCGCAATATCCGCCCAGATGGGACCCGCCCATTGGGCGATAACGAGGCATGCCGAGTAACCGCCCATGGGCGGGCTCTCGAAATGGTCGTGCGGAAATAACTACCCAAAGTAAAATCAAAGCACTGAATGTACTGATGGGGAGGCTATGACAGAATGTTTCAGGCTTATAGTTTCTTTTCTTTTTGCTTAAAATGTGCTGTTAAATAAGAAGATATGCACATTGCACCATTTATCGCTCAGCCATTCATATATATGGTTAATATGGTTGACTATTCATTTTGTTAATATTCCAGAACATTTCATTGAGGTCTACATTCCGATTGTTAATCATGCAAATTTTGAAAAACCTAAAAACCATTTATAAATGACACACCAGCAGGTATGACGACTGTTCATTATAAGATCATAATACCATTTTACAACTGACGGTTCCTTATCAAAATATTCTAGGACTGTTCATCATAAATACTTTATGTCATTTTAATATCATTGAATGATAATAACAACTGCAAGTTAAGCAACATTTTAATTGAACATAAAATTATCCATATTTACATGTACCATAATTGAGATCAATAAGACACTGTCTTGTGATGAGTATTAATATTCATGCTCTACGGACAGAAAGTTGTCTTCTCCCGAAGCAAATCTCGAATAAAATCACGTTTCAGGAAATTATTCTCATTTCATTACTCGTCGCTGACTTTGACGGCTTCGGATTATATTAAAGCTAAATATTTCTTGAAAAATACATATCTGCAAAGCTTATTCAAAATTGAACAAGAAAAGCATTGATGCAAAGCATCAAAGGGCGTCCAAACAGCAGGTGCAGATGAACTAGTAGATATATGATGACAAGATATTCTTATAAACTTTTCAATGGTTCATTGGGTTTTACCAGAATTGTATATCACTTTTGAATGAAGGACGAAAGACATTGTTCATTATTTATAACTTTGATCGGCATGCTAGAAATTAGAATATTACTTGTTATTTCTTTATGATCGTGGTTATTAATAGCAACGGATATACATGTATACAATCATTTATAATCCATATGTGTAACGCATGATCAACACCATACTTGTGTAATTGTCCCTTATTATGTTATTGCTATTAACGAGGACCCCCTCTTAAGGTATCTGTTCACACTAAGTAACAATATGACACTTGTTATATTACCATTTTGATCATGTTGAGCATAATTGTTTATTATACAATAAATGTAATTTCTATTTTAATAAAAAAAAATACAGATTTTATGAATATTGTTTTCTTTTCTTTTTTGTGTGTGTTTTATGCGCTATTTTAATACTGAGTTTTTACGTTTACTACTATTTTAAGAATTCAATTGTCATAATGATCGACGATTATAAGTCAAAACTTAACTGGAAAAAGTCAGTAAATCATGGTTAATCTTTCAATTTATAATAGTGTTTATTCTTAAACCATATACATGTACATTTGTATTTTTCTTTATCATTTTTTAAATTATCAATCAATTGAATAAATCATAAAATCTGATTTGTAACTTTGAATAATTCCTCGATATCTTTACTACACACGAATAACAAATTATATAAAATGTTTTAAAGTTGATAGTGTCATATTTATGCCATAAAAATGTACATTTTTTCTCAATTATTGTACATATTTATTGTTTTTATCTCATATAGATAAAATATAACATGCGATTTGTGTTGTTGGTTTTTTTTCTCGAATTGTATGTTTATGTATAATAATAATCAATCAATTCGAGAGTTGATCTGTGTTTATTAATTATTGTAACCAAACTTAGTGACAAACATTCATTTTGAAAAAAAGCATATTTATCTGTAAAATATTTGTTCTGTTCTGTAACGATATCTACTCCAAAACCGGGAGAGACCGGACAATATACGTGTGGTACTATTCGCCGGTCATTAGTAAATCCCGGGAGAGACCGGGAATTACCTAGGAGTACATCCCTCTATAAATAGATTTTCGGAATATTAAGGTCATCAACTCATCATTCTATTAACAGCTTTCGGAATAACATACCATAATAACCCACTGTGTACTACAAAATGATAAGCAAAAATACCCCGAAGAGCGCGATTTATTGACGGAAAAGGTTATTTCATTTGAAAATGTTTGCATTGCGAAATTCTCCAGTTCGCCATCCATTATACATATCGCGACTAATTAACAATCAAGCACCCTCATACCGATCGGAATGATCGGCTTTTATTATTGGCAACTATAAAAGGCTCGAGAAGTTGCTGTCGCCCTTTCACAAAATCTCATTTCATTCCAATAGGCGCCGCGCTTCGGCGCGGACGCCAATCAACCTAAGTGAAAATTGATCAGGAAGTTATATCTTCTTTTGTTTACCAACTTATGGTAGTTAATCGATAGATCTATTTCAAACCTCACTAGCTTGAAATATATACTGCGGTAAATCTGTTGTTAACAGGATGTGCGGTTATAACGTAGGTTTTCCTTGTCGACCATTTCCCGCAAATAGATGAGAACATCGAAGCGTCAGTGCTATGAATGGTGTTATAAAAAGCGTGTTTTGGAGGTTTTTGTTGAAACTTCTCCAAATCCCTCCAGAGGTATGCACGTCGCGGAGAAGGCACACGGCAGGTCAAGGTCAAGTCATCTCAAGTACCAGAGGTGATTGGTTGACCTGTCGTAACTTACTCTGGAGGTTTGGCGCTAATGAATGCCGTTTTTGTTGTCGTCAGTCAGGAAGTTGATGCCTTGACAGTACTGTCGTCTCCTTTACCACTAACGAACGAAGAATGGGCTACCAGGAAGATTCTGCTTGAAAAAGACGTCCCCGATGCTATAATCTCGGACATATGGTTATTCCGGTGCCGAGAATAAATGAACTTAAAACACACACTCTTGTTGAAAACAAAACAAAAAAACAACAACATATTTTCTGTAGTAATTTTTCAAGTGTTGTAAAATGAAAACGAAATTCGTCTTATGCCGCCAATTATTTTTAGAACACAAACATATGCTCGACTGTAAGTCATTCGTATATATATGCGTTTTTTTGTTTTGTTTTTTTAAAGCTTCTTATTCTTTAATATTTTTATGTATGTCATAATCTGTATTGAAAATTTTATTACACATAGACTATCAAATTATGATTCGTTGCCCTAGAATTGAATAAACTTTCTAATTACACAATACGGGTCATTCATTTGATTGAAGACTGATCTTTGCGTCTTTCTCTGAAATAATTATTTCCTTGTTAAAACATATTTGACCACATATTTCTGTCATTTAACTGTTCACTTTACTTCCGATTTTTGTTGTACCGAAACACATGTTTCTATTTGTGTTTTCTATTCGAATCTATAATCAGTTTAATGGGATCACCACCGGGTAAACGACTACTAGGTACTTTGGTCATGTTTTTTACCCCAAATATTTGAATGTTTCTATTGGGATTAAAATGAGCGTAGATAACTAAACTACTGGTTGTATAAATCCCTGACCTGTCTAATTCTAATAATGAGATTAGTGGATATATTAAGACTTTCACTACAAAATATTCCTAAACAAAAGAGCACATGTTTAAATTTATTCCTTTACAAATAAAAGATCAGAGTAGGGATCTGTCAATTGCCAGACATATTTTTAAAAGATACTTTTATGTTAAAAGTTTGATTAATGAATTATGTAAGATGAAAATATAAGTATTGCTTTTTTTTATTTTGCTAATATTAAATGTAATCTTGTGGTGAAATTTTGTGGGAGGGTCCTTACGGATTTTGTAGTTAAATAGTTTTTTTTTCGGCGATACATGGTTTAAGAATATAATGTTTTCAAACTATATGTTCATCACCATTAGTGAATTTTTAGTTCTAAATGTATGCAAAATATTTACTAACAGCTATATGATATAGCGGTTAATGAGCGTTTTCCGCGTACAGCCTCCTAAGGTGTACTAATAAGTTAGTTTTCCTTAGTTATCACGCAAGCATGATCCATGTCTCTGATGTAAGCGACAGTTTACCATTATTTGTCTTTTTATTTGTCTTTAAAAAAATATTATGGACTATTAATGGTTTATAACAACAAAAGAACATGCATGATATTGAGACTACGGTGTTGCAACGTTCTAGTTAATGACCCGTCATAAACAGTTGGTCGCTGCGTAGTAATTGGAAAATTGTTATCAAAAATAATAAAGAATATTTGCCACCTAATTAAAGCATTTATCTATAAATTTTCATTTATGCTTTTTGTTTAAAAAATATTGATAAAAGTTATTATATAGAAGGGATTTCATACCAGAACTATTTATTACCAACGTACGTATGCCTAAACCTGATTACCGCGGCAGTATGACGTCACGGAGTAGTGATTTTGAAAAAATAACAAACAAAAATCGAGAATTATTATCTTTACAAATTGCAGATATGAAATTAAAGAATGAAAATATTTTCATATTGTAAATGTCTGTGATGAGTGATGAGTCAGCTTAGAAAAAATCAAGGTACTATTTTTTGACCTGATTACCGCGGCAGTAAGATTTGACGGACAGTTATTAACATTGGGTCGGCATAGCCTCCCCAAAAAAAGACAACATGAATGTTTTTTAAAAATATGTAAAGTTTAAGTAAGCAAAAACATGAGAATAGATGGAAATAGTGTAATTGTTCATTGTGAAGGCTAGCTTAGACTGTATATAAAGAAGAAATGCCATTAATTTGTTTAGTTAGAATTTGAGTTACACCGTCGCATTAACATACTACTACATAATAAAATTGATTGTTAACAGTTTGATGCCAGCACTATTAAGCCGGTGCTAGGGGGCGTGAGGGATGTTGCACTTTTTCATTATCCCTCATGTACAAACTTAATGAAACCGAGTCTGCAATTTTCATGTAGTTGTGTTGTGATTAATGCTTCCGAGGGATCACTTTGTTTCCAGATTTTTATACTTCACAACAGCAGGTGACAAGTGCTGTGTCGCAGCTGTAAAAAGTTGCCCCGTACTTCAGTGTTGTTATATTTTTCTGGTCCTTCGGGATAATTGATGCCAGCACTATTAAGTGTTGTCTTTGAGAATTGAGTACCGCTCAAGCCGGTGCTAGGGGTCATGAGGGATGTTGCACTTATTCATTATACCTCATGTACAGACTCAATCATACCGAGTCTGCAATTTTCATGAAATTTTGTTGTGATTAATGCTTCCGAGGGATCACTTTGTTTCCAGATTGTTAGTATTTATGTTATTTTTTTAACATGAACATGTCAATAAGACACCCGGGGCAATAATGACATTTTTAATTAAATGGCACTCACTTAAGCTTTTTTAATGCCATTAAATATGAATATGATATTCTACATTAAGCTAAATATAAAATTGTTGTATCAAACAAATTAAATGTCGATAAATTTAAAGGCATTTAAAGTACACATTTACCTTAACTTCTTCAAAGTTAAACTGATCATCGTTGTTGCAGAGACTTTCATAGTCAGTTAGTTTGTTGCAAGGAGTTTCATCTTCATACTCACTGTCTTCCTTCACTGACAAATAATCCAACTTCCTGATGTACGCACCAAGCTTAGGACGAGCTGAAATTGTTTAATTGTTTATTTTCGAAATTTACTCATTTCAACTAATATCATATACTAGTTTTATATGCATATATTGTTGAACAAAGTTTTAAGATATCATATCCAATTAAACATGATTGTGTTATCCTACACGATATTCATTCAATTTACAACACCATTTGTGAAAATATTAAAGAAGAAATGGTGAGATGTTTTCCATCTACAGTAATACAATAACATAGAGAAAACGTAGACAAGCTCATAAACCCTACTGGAAGAAGCCTAGGATAGCATGCAATCTAAAGAAAAGAAATGTATTTTCTGGGAATTATCGCCAACGTTCTCGTTTAAGGATGGACTATATATCACTCGTCAAGGAATATATTTGATAAATTTATCAAACAAACAGAACGGGATGTAATTTATCCCCAACTCTGTTCAACAACCTTGTGAATTAGTTCAACGACATTGATTATGGGATTACAATGGCTGATGTGAGAGTGTCAATTCTCATGAAAGCTAATGACAAAGGGGGGACTTGAAGTGGTTGCACACTAGGTTCAAGCGAGAACATTGGTTACAAACTTGGCAAAATGGCTACCGAGTCATGCCTATGTACAAAGTCGCAATATTTTCTTCAGGAAAGTGGCGTTGCATGTTATTTTGAAATTCTTTAACATGCCATTCCTTAAAGCAATGTTTATAGGAAATTCGGTTTAAGGTTTCAGCTTCCTATCATCTGATATGACGAAAATATTGAAGTTATAAATCGGCCACACTCTAGGGTGGTTTTTAAGTTCACCATACAAGACATAATATGTATCTTTCAATACCGTGTAAATGATTTAATTTGCTTGTTCCAAATAAAGTTTCAATACACAAAAATATCTTGTTCAAGCGCATTTTGGTTTAAACTGTTTACTGTTTACCAAGCTTAATAAGTTAGACATAAACTGTACTTACACATTTATTTTACTTCTCGTCGGGTCCCGTTTAGATATCCTTGTTCGTAATGTATAATAAATAGCAAAGTATGCGACTGAAAATCAATTATATAGTCTATAAATAGATCAAGATACTTGAAGATAGTATGAACATAGTTACGCATAAACATATCGGTTGCATTGATAGATAATGAAAAAAAAGATCTATAGGTATAGATAAATTGAATAAACTGAATAATCATGTTTCTATGGAAGCCCTTGGGGGACATTTTGTTTACTTGTCATCACTTATTTGTTATTATTCTTTAGTTATTTGTTATTGCTTATTTGCTATGAGTTAATGCATTGCTCGGGCATTTTGTACATCGTAAAGATAGAAAGACGGTAAAAGCATGTCATATATCATGTAGTGCCGTCTGATATACCAAACTCCAGAAATGGTTTGACTAGAAATAAAGTAATAAAAAATTATTTCCTTTAAGGTCTTAGGTATGACTAAATCTAACGAGACGCCACCCGCAATACTCACCTGTTAACGTTTAGGTAATCAAGAGTCGAGCGTTACTTGGTTGTGTATATGCTATACAACCATGCGAAAAAGACATCTAAAGGATCATAGGCTAGCAGTGATGCAAATAATGAAACCCTAATCCTAGGTGCAACTGAAGAACGAAAGGCCCATAGATTACAGCAAGGATATATATGCATTTAAAGGGCCTAATTATGTGTGATGACAAATTAAAACCGTTCGTATTCAGTATTCTTGGATGCATAGACGATTATATTCGCAGAGTCATGTGGCTTGAATCAGCATCTAGTAATAATGATCCCGCTTTTTGTGAAATACTATCTAGACTGCTTGAAACAGTTAATAATTTTTTCAAGAATTTTACAAGCAGATTATGGAACAGTAAACGTTACACGGAGCCCTTTGCAACTGCTATGCAGTTATGCACGAACTGACAGTATGGCCGGATTAAAAAGTGTTATGTATGGAAAAAGCCGACAAACCAAAGAATTGAGTCCAAGTGGGAGATGCTTCGCAGCTTGGGTTTAATTGTGGATAAGTTTTTTCACAGATATAAATGATTCGGGAATGTTCGATTTTAAAAAGCCAGCGACAAAGGAATGTCTGAGAATCTATTTATGAATGCTTTGCAAACATATTTGGACAGAATTCCACAAAAATGAAATTCGCATAATATATAACGGCAAAAAACGGTAAGCTGAATTGCCATCGGGTAAACCAGATGTCAAGAGCTTACAAAAGACATACGAGTATGGGATCTAGAAGACGTCCGTATTTGCCTCAATTTGAACGGTGAAGAAAAAGAAGTTTGCTGTTCAAAATTTCAAGATTGTAAACATTTTAAAACCTGATACTCGAGTCCCTGTGCATCCATACGATGCTTTACGACTCTTCATAGTGCTTTATAGCACTTTGGAGAAAATGTATGAACATATTATCAATGAGATATTTGTCTTTGAAAATCGTGAAAAAGATCCACTGGCCCTTTCCTATTCTTATTTCAGTGATTTTTTGTCTTATTTTGAAAGTAAAATTAACTGTATGTATGGTGTTTTGATATGGAGTAAGGTAACAGCTTTAACAATAATGAGGTTAAGTATTATAAAAAATGACTTTAAATTGGTCCAAGGTCAAATTAATTTTCAAGCAATGTTTGTAAGAATATTATAGTTTTAGTTCAGTCATCCATGAAGTTTAAAAAGTTTGAAAGTTTGACTTATACACACATATGGCCAGGCCAATTTGACCCCAGGGACCATGCTTTATACATATATAGTTAAAGTCTTAAAAGGTTATACTTCTTGCAAAATATCAAAGGTCTATGCTTATAAGCCTGTATCTGTATTTAGTCTTTGCACTAATGTCCAAATAAAAGGCCTGAATTTCTAAATGTCAACTTCGCACAAACAGGCTTTTTAACTTGTTATGATATTTGTCATGTAAGTATTTCCACGCTAACAGATTACAAGTATGCAATTTGGATCAAAAATTACAACCTTATATGACTTCTTAAGTAATTCCTGACTTGCATTAAAGAATTATGCCCTGTTTTAGCAATGTATCTCAAGTGAGCAAATCCATTTGAAATTACCACATGTTTTTACATTTTTAATTTTATGTGTATAAAATTCATATAAATACGGTGGCACAAAGGTGACATGTGTGTGTTTTTATTTATCTCGTTGCCACGAGATACTATGTCGTGGCCACGAGTTACTAAGTCGTGGCAACGAGATACCTAAGTCGTGGCCACGAGTTAGCTAAGTCGTGGCCACGAGATACTATCTCGTGGTCACGAGTTACTATGTCGTGGCCACGAGTTACTAAGTCGTGGCCACAAGATAGCTTAGTCTTGGCCACGAGTTAGTATGTGGTGACCACGAGTTACTTAGTCGTGCCCACGAAATAGCTAAGTCGTGGCCACGAGATAAATAACCAATCAGAATACAATATATATATATTATGAATTTTTTAAACTTTATAACTTACTTTTACATGCAACATTAATCTTTGAAAATACTGAAGGTATTCACTTTGAACTTGTCTTTAGGATCATATTAGAAAGTCACCTTCCAAGGCCCATCAGACATTAATTTTAACTATAGCTCATTGTTGGGTCAATTTTGTGGCGAATTTGTCAGTTCGTACGTACTACACCTGTTAACCTTGTTTATACGATAACTTTGGAAGGAATAAGTCCTGGTTTATTTTATTTGAATGGGACATTGCCCATGGACAGTAGATAGCCTACAAGGTAAATCCTTTTCTGATGAATAATTTAGAAGGGATAAACCATGGTTTATATATCTCATCATTGCACCTGATCAGTAGATGACATCTAATAATTTCGAGGTCTTTGGTCAAAATCAGGGTCATAGTGACGCTAAATGTAAAATTATTGACCTGTCAATAAGTTGTATAAATGGCACTTTTACAGGCTGGTGAAGTATGGACATCCTTGTGCTATCGCACATATCTAGTTAAATAGAGAAATTCATATAAATGGTGTAATCTGATTGGTTATTTATCTCGTGGCCACTAATCATTTTTCATTGACGCGCCTATAGTATAACGCTTACATTTTGCGCGCTTTACACTATGTTTGTATAACGCTAATGACGTCACGTCAAATATATATGCACGGCAGGCAATACCATTTTTACGGAGTCGCAAAATCGGCACGAGTGTGTGATAAATATGTTATATCCAACAAGGTCAATATTTTTTCGTGATTAATATGTTCATTTTGTTTCATATTTTAGTACAATATAAAATGAAGTATAATATCAATACAACATTTTTTGTTTGTCCATAGCCCCGTAACATCCATGCTCACAAAAAAATGACTGGAGCCTCTTCGAGTCTTCGCTCCTGAAATGACAAATCTCCGCCGCAGCTGGAAAAAAATATATCGTAGAAACAAAACACAAAAATACACTCATAAGCAAAGAAAGCAAACTGTAAAACTAACCATAGTTGTAAGGCAGCGAGCATTCCAAGATAATAGACAAATATCATTATACGTGGTTCGAATAAACGTGAGTAATTCATTAACACTTACCTAATATAACAAGAAAAACAACGATGTTCATAGTTATTTTTATTCCTAGTAAATATTGTACTTTGATTCTTTTTCTTCAAAAAAAATAAATGGCGTTTTAACTACAGGAGTTAATGGGTCGTGGGTTTCAAATTTCCAAAAAGACAAGAACCGGTTGAACCGGGTGATGCTCCCCGAGAAGGTTTTGGACACAGGAAAGTATAAAAAAATGAACAATGGGCAAAAACTCCAAAATTAGGCAAGGCCGAGTTATGTTTTTTTTGCACTGCACTGCTATTCAATGAGATCTATCTATCTATAAAGTTTCCTGATGATATCTCTTATAGTTTCAGAGTTATGTCCAAGGAAAAATTCAAAGTGTAAAATGAACAAAGGGCAATAACTCCAAAATTAGACAAGGCTTTGTTAAGGTTCTTTAAGCATTGCAGTTCTATCTAATGATATCTAGCTACCTACACAGTTTCATGTTGATATATCTAATAGTTTTAGAGTTATGTCCCGGAAAAAAGTTAAAAAATAAAAATAAACATAGGGATATAACCTCAAAATAATGCAAGGCAGAGTAATGATTCTTTAACACTGCACTTCTACCCAATGAGACCTATCTATCTACAAAGTTTCATGTTGATATCTCTTATAATTTTAGAGTAATGTCCCGGACAAAGTTCAAAGTGTCAAAATGAACAAAGGACAATTACTCCAAAAGTAGGCAAGACAGTGTTACAGTCTTGTGTTCTGCAACTTTCTTAATGAGATCTATCTACCTACAAAGTTTCATGTTGATACCTCTTATAATTTTAGAGTTATGTCCTACACAAATTCAAAGTGTGAAAATAAACAAAGGGGAATAATTAAAAACATAGGCAGGGCAGAGTTACGGTTCTTGTGCACTGCACACCTACTCAATGAGATCTATCTACCTAAAAAGTTTCATGTTGATACCTCTTATACATTTAGAGTTATATCCCAGAACAAGTTCAAAGTGTAAAAAAAACAAAGGGGAATAATTCAAAAATTAGGTATGGCAGAGTTACGGTTCTTATGCACTGCACACCTACTCAATGAGATCTATCTACCTACAAAGTTTCATGTTGATACCTGTTATACATTAAGAGTTATGTCCCGGACAAAGTTAAAAGTGTAAAAATTAACAAAGGGGGATAATTAAGAGTTATGTCCCGGACAAAGTTCAAAGTGTAAAAATAAACAAAGGGGGATAATTCAAAAATAAGCAAAGGCAGTGTTACGGTTCTTATGCTCTGCACATCTGCTAAATGAGATTTATCTACCTACAAAGTTTCATGTTGTTATCTCTTATAGTTTAAGAGTAATGACCCGGACAAAGTTCAAAGTGTAAAATAAACAAAGGGGAATAATTCAAAATGTAGGCAAGACAGTGTTACAGTCTTGTGTTCTGCAAACCTACATAATGAGATCTATCTACCTACAAAGTTTCATGTTGATACCTCATATAATTTTAGAGTTATGACCTGCACAAAGTTCAAAGT